GAAAACTGTACGATTTTTTTACCAAGCTGTGCGACGTCGTGCGTAACTTTTCCATTCGTGCATAAAATGCTTTTTACAACACTTATTACGTAATATACTATTAAAAATTCTAGTCTCATTTTTTCACATTTACCCCGTTTTTCCAAATTCCTAACCTCTGGATAAGGGTTAATTGTATACAAATCGGAATTTTTTTTAGCCTTGTCAGCCAGGGACTGGTAGGTATCAAACCCCACCCTTATGTACTATTTTTTGGGAAAATAACGACGAAATACAGTGAAAAATAAAAAGTTTCGATTTTCCCACCCCTTCCCCTTCGTGACACCCCCCGGGAGTGGGTGGATACCTTTGGGATTATTTTTCTTCAAATCTACAAATGTTTAGCTTTAATATAAAAAAAAAATGCGCATTGATAGCTCACTTTGTCTCCGAGATTTACGATTTTGAACCAAAAAAAATCGAAATCGCCCATAGTGCGGCGTATAACACGGCCGCACTGGGCGACTGGGCAATAAATTTCAGTTGTTAACAAGTGGTTGACAAATTGCATAGCAGTGCAGTGCAGCAATGTGGAATTTGGTGTGATTCAGGTAATTTAAGTTTATTATAGCCACCTTCTATTAATCATTCATATTACAATTGCGAAAGGGGAAAGAGGGATATTTTGTTTACTAATATTATTACAGAGACGACTATGAAACTCATTAAATTTTATTGCTACGCGTTTTTATACATGTTCAACTGACTTCGGAAAGAATAAAACATTTAAAACACCCTCCCCTTATTTTACATTTCAAAATGAAAAATTTGATTTAGGTACTACAACCTTATTATAAATATAATACAAAAATGAAGCTAGGTAAATGCTAGATTTCGGTCAGAATTAACAGTAAAATATATTTCAATGAGAGAGAGCATCCAACTTGTATATACATGCCTCTAGCAAAAAAACATTGGACAAACTGCAGTCGGCGACCGTAAATAACGGTCAGAGGGACCAAAAATCGGTTATTAGTTTAATCGTAGCGAGGGTTAATTAAAACTTTGTATTTGTGAAACATACTGGGACCGAACAAAGCGTCATTCAGCTCCGGAACTGCTCTGTTCGGGTTCATAGCGGCATTATCTTCGAAATTTATTGGTTTTCAACGTAAAAAGGACGACGTTTAGAACAATTCCGTTCCCTGCCTCCAGAATAGAATATCAAAGCTGGAGGATCAGTCGACGAATTGCATTTCCTCAGCGGAAGCCGCCGCTATTTTCTTAAGGCTGTAGATGTAATCTCGATTCTAATCGCGCTTCTTCGACCTTTATCTCTGAATGTGGAAATATATTTAGTTGGTTGTTATAAGGGGTAGTCGATTTCTAATCTTTTACCTCTATACGCGTTACGTTGCCGTTGTATTAGACGCTTCCAATTTTTAAAGATAACTCTAGTTGATTAACATAAAAAGGTTTTTAAAGAAAACCAGAGTGAAAACTTTTTAGATATACAGTATACAGAGTGTCCCATTTTAAATTACGCACCTGAATATATCGTCAGGGAAGCCACCAATCCAAAATTAATTCTTAACGAAAGTTGTTGGGTTCGGAAGGGGACATCCGATGGTGACCTTGACATTATCCTTCAAGGTCATTTGAAAGGCTCTTCTTTGGAATGACCTTTAAAGGTTATATCAAGAACAAATCCTATACAATATGGAATTTGTGTAAGAAACCCAAGTTATTTTCGAATTAAACTTGAGATCAGAACTTTTAGATCAGATATCAAAATTTATGAGATAAATTATATCTTTCCCTTTTTGCTTCTTTATATATATAAAAAAAGAAATGTTGTTTCTAATGTAACCTTTTTATTCTTACAAACTTTTGAAATATGTAAATATGTTATCGTAAAAGTTGTTGGGTTCGGAAGGGGATATCGGATGGTGACCTTGACATTGACCTTCAAGTTCATTTGAAGGTGAAATCTAATATTTTAAATAGAAACCTCTATTTTTAGCCCCAGATTCGGAAAGAGCGCAAAATTTTACTTTTAGATATGTACTTAAGGCTCTTCTTTGAAATGACCTTTAAAGGTTATATCAAGGACAAAGTATTTTAAATAACGCACCTGATTATCTCGTCAGTGGAGCCACTAATCCAAAAATAACCCTTACAAATGTTGTCAGGTTTGAAGGGGATATTGGATGGTGTCAATTAATTTGATCTTGACGAAGAAAAGCCTTCAGTACCTATCTAAAAGTAAAATGTTGCACTTTTTTTCATCCGGGTCAAAAATAGAGGTTCCTATTTAAAGAATTAAATTTGATCTTCAAATGGCCTTGAAGGTCAGGGGTCAAGGTCGAATTGAAGGTCACCATCCGTTGCCTCCCTCCGAATCCAACAACTTTCGTTTCTGGATTAGTGGCTTCCCTTTCGAGATATTCAGGTGCGTAATTTAAATATTTTGTCCTTGAATTAAGCTTTAAAGGTAACTCAAAGAAGAGAAATAAGTGCCTATCTAAGCATAAAATTTTGCACTATTTTCGAATCGGGGGACAAAATGGAGGTTCCTACTTAAAAAATTAAATTTAACCTTCAAATGACTTTGAAGGTCAAGGTCAAATCCAAGGTCACCATCGTAGGTTATTTTCGGATTGGTGGCTTCCCTAACGAGATATGCAGATGCGTAATTGAAAATGGGACACCCTGTATATCTCAGAGACCGGAGATTGAGACAAAAAATTTATTCGTGGACCCGTAGAACATGTTAGAAATTAAAACAAGTGAAACATAACCTCACAATTTGTTTTAATTTATATTATTTTGTATTTTCTTCATTAATGCGTCGAAATTATTGATGGAGTTTATTTATTTGTTATTATTATTAGTATTACTTTATGTGTGTTAAAATATACAATACAGAACTGAGAATGTCAATAATACGAGAAATAAACTCTAAGCCTAATTTAATTTTGAACTGTGTTTATCTTCACTAAACATATCTTTTAATAAAGGACTAGCTACCCTCGAAATTATTTTATCTTTCTTGAGATAACCAAGTTTTATTAAGAATAAGAAAATATTTTGTTCCGTTGCCGGTAGATTAGACACTCCCACTTTTTTAACTCTAGTTTTTTATTTGTTAGTTACATAAATACCTGAAATTTATTTCGTTCTTCCTTTTGCGTTTGCGTTGTTGTTATTCTATTGGAAATATGTATAAATTTCTCCTCGCCACTCCCCCCCGTCGTCATCCTCGTTGTTGGTGACGTCAAATTAATTTGTATGGTTCAGGGATGTGGGGGATTGTTTTGTGAGCCCGAGGAAGGCTTTAAAGGCTGTCAGATTAGAGTTTAATTAATGTGAAATAATTAATATGCCACAGAATTGCGATACTGCAATGCACGGACGGTGATATACAATATGGAATTTGTGTAAGAAACCCAAGTTCATTTCGAGTTAAACTTCAGATCAGAACTTTTAGATCAGATATCAAAATTTATGAGATAAATTATATCTTTCCCTTTTTGCTTCTTTATATATGTATACCTATAAAAACTTTTTTATTCTTACAATCTTTTGAAAAATGTAAATATGTTATTGTATAACTTTTCGCAAAGAATTTCACTGGAGACTTGGATTTTTATCTCAACGTTTCGATTCCGAGAAAGCAACATAATCTTCTTTTTTGTTTTTTCAGCGCGTTTTTGATTTTTTTTTGCCTTGTTGTTGAAACCCTAAAAAATGCTGTCTTCCTTCAGCACATAATTCAATTTGGCACCATAAAAAAATGCTGATTAAACTTTGCTATCCTACTTACTGTCATGTCTTATTATGCTGCTAAGTTGACAAAAACGGCGAATGGTAATGGCTTATTGTTTGAGTGTAAATCTATTACAATCATATAAGTACCTACGCAGTTAATTTGCAAAAAAATAGCAGCTATAGCAGCGCCATTCAATCCAGTTACTATAAAAATACAGTTTATGCTTTGTAATCTGATTCGATGAACCCAATGAACAGAACTTGTGTCTATCAAAATAACGGAATTCTCGCGGAAAACAATCGAAAAACAACGAAATACCTGTTAAAGTATTTCTCCCAATTTTTTTTCAAGAAACGCCACTGTTGAGTATTAACAATCGGATTATCTTAACTTTGCGTTAAAAGTGACCTACATTCCTTGAACGAACCTATACATCACTTTCCTGGTAGATCCAGCTTAGGATTCTGACAAATAAATCTGATTGTAATCCGTCTGTCAGATGTAACAGCTGGATGAGGGCAATCCAAATAAGCAGGAACGTCTAAAGGGATTATGCCTTTTTGCTTTTGCGTGATATAGCGTATTTATTAATAGCATATTTGTAATTACAAGAATTGCAATTTTTTCTTGGAAGTCAGATTTAAAAAACCTGGAGGGCTGGTACTAACTAAAAGCATGAAATTTCCATCCCCTTTTGAATGGTAGCAGAGTATATCCTCATCACTTTGAAATAATGAGTGTGATAATAAATGAATGGTGAAGGGTTTAAGGACATTTTATAACTCCTATGACGATGTATTTTTATGAATAATAGCGTTTTTAGCTTGTCTTGAAGCGAAAAAAATATATAGAGGTTATTAATGAAGGTGAAACCAATTTAACGTTGAGTGGGACTAAAAAAACCGAAGGCAATTCGGAGCGAGGTTACTTGGTTAATTGAACCTCGTATCGATGTCATTTGACCTCCATGTTTAGGAAAGAAAAACAATTATATAAAAAATTCATTCATGAAATTATAAGTATTGGGCAATGTAATTAGCAAAGCTATTGGGAATATGGTCAAATGTATGCAACCATTAATACTTTATGTTCAAAACAGCGGTTCTAAAACATTTTTTAATCACGGAGGTTTTCATCGGAAGATAGGTGCTTTCTTTGGGGAAAGATGATTAAATCAATGAAGTATTTTTAAATTTCCGTGATCCTAAATAAACAATGTCTTTTCTAAGCCACTTTATGTGCTTTTCAGGTTACCAGTGCCTTGGTTGCTGTTCGGCATCATCAACGGAAAGCCCGTGGTGGTGAACTCCGGCGGGATGGTGTGTTCCATAACAATCCTCTTCATGATGCTCATATTTGTCATCATGTCAATCGCCTGCTTCCGATGGAAGATGAACAGGGGACTCGGTTTCACCATGTTCTTACTGTACTTCGTATTCGTGGCGGTGTCGCTGATGTTCGAATACGGCTATATAGTGTGTCCTGTCTAGAATAAAGTACACAACACTAGGGACATTGTTATTTAATAGGGAAATTGTACTGATCTAACTGACACCTAATGCAACAATAGATGATGATCAAAGAAATAGCGTTAATGGGGATAGGAGATCCACCAAACGTTTGCGGGTCATGTTCATTTATTTCATACCAATGGCAATGGGACACTCATTTTGGATAAAATAATTAATAAAATAATATTCCTTTGTCATTTTAAAGAAATAATGTATAACCGGCTCTGTTGTCTGTTATTGATCGATTCTCCTTATTTATTTGTAAAATAATCTTTCAAAATGAATGTCAGGACTTTTGAACTACCTCAATAATAACGGCACTATATACGCAAGTGAAAGCCATGTCCTGTGCGCCCGCTGCTCTGTGCAATTGTATTTGTCTATTCAGTATGATTAGAAAATTTAGATCATAAATGAACACGATTTGTCGCAAATTTTTGGTGTGAAGTAATATTTATGTAAAACTAAAATGTACAGTACTAGATAAAATATTCTCATCTTTTTTGCCCGGGTTCTACATTAACATATCAAAATTTTGAAGGAAATCTGTTACGTTTCTCCAATAAACTCACTTACACAATACTACAATCGAAAATTCGGCGTCTATTTTATTTTATATATTTACAAAAGGTCTGTAAGACCTACAGTGCGAATTAGCTTTTAAACCTTTGTTTAATTCTACTTCTTCCATAGTCCTTTCATTGGTCTTCATCTTCTTCTACATGCAGAATAAGAACTTTGTTACTTACCTAAGAAGAGCATTGTTTGTAGTGTTGAGTAAGTGGTAAACGTAGCTTAAAAGTATAAATTTCTCTAATTGCACTTGTTACGTTACACAGACCTTCAGTAAATTTCAAATTAGAAACCTGTACTATGTAAGAACCCGCGCTCATTTGCTATAACGCTATTGGTGTTCAACGGGTATGCACAAAAACAATATCGACTTCCATTATAGTGTGTTATAGCATAGAAATATCCCCGACCACGATAGCAATAATATCTATTTATTAATAATAGATCTTAAACTACTGTTTTTTACCTAAGGGGACGTTTCATACAATATTAGAACTAAATTACCAAAAAAAACGAAATAGAGATGATTGACGTAGATTTTCATTTCAGCTATTTATTTTATAGAGGTTTTATAGAGAATTTTTTAACGAAAATTTTGATAAGATGACGCGGAAGACATCAATATGAATAAACCACGGGGTGTTTTAAATTTAGTGGTCGATTTCTACCTATTTCATAACTCCATGACGAAGCTTCTTTGCTCAAAGGAAATACTTGCAATATATAATACTTTAAATAAAAATATGACGCGCTATTTATTAGAAGGAATAATAGAATTTGTAGAAAAAGTTCATTAGACTTAATGCGTAAAATTACACAACACTTTGGATTAGGTGCTTTTTACTAAAAATATAGCTGATTTACAGTTTACTTTTAAAAAGTATTTTAATATCCAGTTTATTGCTACTGTACACAAGCCTAAACGCAATGTACATTTTGGTACGTCTTTACACAAAAAGTTTTTTGACAGTATAATAGTAACAAAGATCAACGCTACATTATAGCACTCACGTCTTACTTTTAAATTAATTTATAATTTAATAATTTAATTTAAAGGTTATGTATGAATGAAGATACATTTTAGACCTTAGAGCATATACTTCATGAAGGAAGCACCACATGTTAAAAAATGTAGACGCTGTAGAGAGAAATGGCGATAGATTGGGTACTCGCTCCCTCTCTCTCTCTCTCTTAATTTTATTTAAATATCACGAGAATAAGCCTGCGCAAGAGAGAAAGAAAAACTGTCGCCGTAAACGTGCTTCATCCTTGTCCATTTAGTATAAATGCTTTGGACACTATGTTTATTTTACAATGGCAACTGTTGGCTGTTCCGCCAAAAATAAATTGTTAGTTTTGTAAATAGCCAATAGACGCCCAAGCTCTAACGCCCACGAGCTTCACAATAGGGCCTTTCGATTTGGCACAAATAGTAGCTATTAGAAGCAACTTAGAGTTACTCTGAACTGATATTAGTTGCTAATAGGTACTATTTTTGCCAAAATGAAAGCCCCCCAATATCGCCATACGACGATTGTCTGTTATTACATGAAACGATTTAGAGCAACGTCGGTCATCCTACTCAGTTTAAAGCAGCCCCGAAATGAAAAACTTCCCGAGTATGTTGCACTGTAGAGTTAAATAATTATAGTGAAATATACATATCTAGGCTGTAGATAAATTCTAGAATTGAATTATTGTGTAGAAAGCATGTACATACATATAACTAATTGTTTGGGCACTGGGATCCCGCTTGGATCTTTGCTGAAAGTGCCTGCTGTTATTTGTTTTACCCTATGTGATAAGCAACCAACCATACAGCATGTTTGAATGAACCAAACATTTCGCACAAGTTTTTTATAGTTTGTTGTTAAAAAGCTTACGGTGCCTCCGGTTATTTGTGACAATAGTTGTAGGTCGTCATTAAAGGATAGTAGGTTTTTCTATTCATGTAAAAAGATTGGTGCTAGTAATATTAATTAATTTATGATATTGGTAAATCGTAAATATCATAGAAACTATTGGGCCCAACCTGTGTAGTAACTTGCTTAGAACGTAACAATTCCAGTTTTATGAGATAAGTAAATTTATGACGTGGGGTCGTTGAGAACTGTCTGTAATTTTTAATTTCAATTTTTAAGTTGCTCAAGGCTAACGTGTTTAAGCACAAAACATTTATGAAAGTTCAAAGAAAATGCACAAAGGAAAAGTGGTGCTTTATTTATACAAATAATCGAAGGCGCTCAAAATTATGTAGATATGTACTTAGATATGAATTAATAATGAATAAACATAGCAACATTTTTATTGGTAGATATTGAAAGGTATAAATAAATTGATTGTACATTTATTTTTTACGCCGATTTAAACTGCATCAAGTTTTGTAAATTACAACGTAACATGTTAATTTTTAAACACCTTACTTTTATTATGTATTCATACATTACCTAGTACCTTATCTTTTTTGTCTGCCATCAATTTTTTCAAATTCCTTTTTAAGCGTATAATTGATACTGAACACACGCATGACTGTTGGCTACCCCGAGCTTTGCCCCCAATGAAGGAATACGCTTTATTTAAGTTTTAAAAATATAGATACGGATTCCTTGGGAAACCTTATAGAAATACGTAATGACTGTTTGTTATATAAAGTTTAATTAGAGTTACTAAGAATTATATAAAATTACGAAGCTCATATAGGTACACCATACATTAATGTTGTAATTTATAAAATTATATACCGCATATTTGTGGCAACGTTTAGTTATGCGACACCTATAGGCTGTAAAAAGCAGGCCCGGATCCAGAGGGGGTGGCGATGTGGCGATCGCCACCCCCAAAGCACAACATTTTTTAAAGATTTTCAATTTCTCCAAACGACAACAGGCAGTTAGTCGATATTAATGCAACTCCCCCTTCCTAACCTACACCTTACGTCATCAAAAAAATAACAACAACAACAACAACAACAATAATAATAATAATAATGATAAAGAAGTGCTTTGCGCCACCCCCAAAACCAGTCTCTGGATCCGGGCCTGGTAAAAAGAAACTACGTTAATACGTTTACTGTTAACCTCTTTCTTTCTCTACTTTCATATACATATCTAAGCCATTTCTAATTTGTGATTATATGTATTGTGATCTCCCATAGATATCTGCACAACGTTTGTTACAAGCAAATGTACTCATATCAAAACTATGCTTCATTTAAATGTGTTGAAAATCAAAGAAAAAATATTTCATATGAGCTATTAGATGAGACTAGCATATTATTATTACCAACTGGACTAGATATTTTTATTGTACCTACCAAATACGTTAAATGTGTCTTTAAAATATGTTGTTACTTAAGTTAAGATATTACCTACGCTAACAAAAAAAAAACAAGACGGAGCGTGATCGTCAACGCGATAAGATATAGTAAATGGCACATTTAATGCAGATATTCTAGAAAACGTTTATGAAAAAAAATATATAAATATCCAAAGCAACATCGATTAATGAAATATTATTGTTAATTTGATATCTATTGTTATATTGTGATATTTAAAAGCCCTTTATTTTTGTTATAAACGTGTTTAAGTTTGAATTTATTAAAATATATGACACAAAACTTATTCATCTTTACAAACATGTATAAAAACGTTAGAAAAGAAAAATTAATTATTCGAATAATAATCTGCTTTTTCGACGATGGTTAAAATTCTAAATGTTTTCCAATTAATTTTAATGTTCCTTTTTTTATTGTAAAATTAAAGGGTTTGTAAATAATACACTTCTATCTCTCCCCTAATATTTTCTACAAGGGTTGATAGTATAGTTTAATAAAAACGTGTAATAATAATATTAATAATAATAATATTAATGAATACTAATAATAATATTAAAAATATAAGGTTGGGCGAATGGTAAATATTGCAAAAAATAGTCCAGTAGTCATAGGCATATCATATTTCAAATTTCTGCTTATATTGTTAAACCCTTCTAAATATATTATACCTATACTACACATCCATCTAGTGCTAGGATTACTTAAGTAGATTTAATATAGTCAAATAATATTGTTATGACAATTGTGGATATACACTTATATCTTGTTGAAAATTGATTATTAATAAAAATATTAAGTTAATATTGACTTTTTATTACTATTAAAATGAATATGTTTGAGGTAATAACTTCTATTGGATTAATGTCATCAGAACTGACCTTCCAAGAAAATCATTTATTTCTTGGCATTTACTTTTTAAAAATTTTTGTTTGTTCCTGCGATAGAATACAGAACATAAATCCCAACAACCAAAACATGTTACCTTTTGGCGCATTTGCAGTTTGGGCTGTATTAGACAATCTTTATTTAAAATAAACAACTCATGTTGGAGCAGTTACGTAATGATGGGTCCAGTTGCATTTTATGATGTGGAAATATATTAATTTTCCAAATCTGTGATTAATCCTTTTCGGTAACAATATTCGTTATAATAACGAACACTCATTGTGCCTCTGATCACAGCAAAATTCAATCAAACTTATATCTTCCCTATATAATTACGTTGAAGTTATTAGCGGTTTTTACTTATTTCTATCTTTGTCATGGCTATTGAATTTATTTTGTGTATGATAAAATAAACATTACATATTTGTTAGTGATAGAATAGACTTCCTTCGGCTGGCGTTCGTCACCTTTTTAAATTATTAAATTTTTATTTAGATTCACTACAAACGAAATTACGTGCAGCGTTACTAGTTTTTCTTAGAGTAAATTAAATAAAACAATACCACAATTTCTCTTAATGTAAATAGACCCAGGCAAGGGTCTATTTACATTTTATCGCTGTCCTGTAAGTACAATCTAGTTCTACCAGAGGGCGGTACTCTCGGCTCGAATTGGATATTGGATATAGAAATGTAGACTTAGTATTTGGTCTGGTTTGTAGTAGTCTATGGTTAAAAATGTTTCTAGGCATGTTATTTATTCCATAATACATAAATAATTGGACAGGTAGAAACGAGACCATTTTATATATTGTTATTATTTCAGTACCAAGGTACTGAAATAAGTTCTTTCAATCTTCTGTTAAGATCAGTTCTCCCTAACCTCTCTTTCCACATGATGACAGCTGTCAAAACTTTAGATTACATCATGCTTTCAACTATGCATCTCTCTTTACCACATGAAACTATACAGTGCAGTACAAATTCAATAATTTACGGTATGTCGTTTATTCATATCAAACCATACACCAAACTTTTTCTTATTGTGCGAAGTTCTAAAGACGAGAGGTACGAAGAATAAATCTCGAAAATGGAAGCAACGAAAACAATTACCCAAACGACAAATCCAGCCGACAATAATGAGTTGAACATTACTGTAAGTAGACACGTTGAAGTAGAGGTATAACGGTATCGCAGTGATTATAAAAAGTGAAAGACCACTTCTAACTAGCTAAACCAGGTCGAGTTCATAAAGTAGAGCAAGGCGTTTTACTTTTGCGCTCAATCTCTTCAGTATGTGACTGATCATCTAGTATGATTTTACAGGAGAAAACAGAGCTCTCAGCAGATGCTGTTGTGGAAGACAAAGAAGCATCACCGAATAACTCGGACTATGATAGTGCAGACAGTTACAGCGATGAAGAACAAGATGTTAAAATCAGGTCTAGAGCATCAGACCAGGAAGATCGTAGCAACTCTGACACAGGCGGTAGTCTCATTCTAGAAAGGGAGGAAGGCGATGGCCAAGAGAGTGTGCCTTTGAAGAAAGTAGACGACGACGAGGATAAAAAGAATCCACAGTATATTCCAAAAAGGGGTACTTTTTATGAACATGACGATCGGACCGCAGATAACTTGTGAGTATATGCAAATTTATAAATTCATAATTTATTATATCATTGCCTAAATTATATAAGTTTACATTTGTTCTGAATGATACGCTTTTAATTTATATTTAAGCGATGTCGGATAACTTTGTTCAAAAGAAATATATGATAAAATAAAAACAATTTGCTTTTTTAACAGGTGTGAAATTATATTCTCTCTTTAATCTCATGATATCTTGGCCTTTCACTAAATCAGTGATGTGTATTAAGTTTTAAAATTGCAGTTGGTAATTAGTTTAATTGAGTGAATACTAAAAGCCACAGTATTTTATACATTTAACGTATTTTATATGAGCGGAGAGAACATCATTACTTTTTTAAACAGTTTTATTTTAATAAACTTAGTTATTCAGTGTATTATTGTACCAAAGTAATTCAAGGTTAACAGTAGGAGCAAGAGAGATGAGAAGATTATCCATTCTTTTGAATTTCTGTCTCTTCATGTTTAAGTAGTAAAAAACTTCAGTCTTGTAAAGAATTAAAAATTGAAACATCTATATCATAAATCTTCTCATTATTTTAAATTTTTGATTATTACTATAATTCAATATTTTAGAAATATTTCTCTAATATTAATTTTAACATTAAACTAATGAATTTTTGTGTAGAATTTTAAAATCAGGTTATTTGATTTCCCATTTTTTAAGTATATTTTTTTTAATTTGTTGTAAATATTTAATATGTTTAGTTTCTTGGTCATTTTACTCCAAAAAAGACGTTTTTGAAGTTATAATGACTATGTTTCTGTAACTAAAAAAAAAAATACACAATTGATTCTTTGATTCTGATACACATACATATTTGCATGGGATTTCCTTGAAAGACATGCAACCACAGACCACCTAGACTGGCCGTATCTAATTCCAATGCACGGGTACCAGTGAATGCAAAATCCGGGGAAGTGGAGTGTGGAAGGCAATCGGATCGCGCGCATCTTTAAGCAGATCCGGTTTAAGTAATATTTTTATTACATATTAAACATTATATTATACTTATGACAAATATTCAATTTTAAGTTTGTAATTCAGAAAATAGTATATTTTAGTGTCATATTAAATAAAACTACAAAATAATTTAAATATATTTATTATCCTCTAAATAATATTAATTTATTTAATATTTGTCTTTTCGTAGATTTTACCGAATTAAATAATTTGACTTCAAGATTTATTCGTACATCGACTTTTCACATTCAGCTCTTACAAGTTCTATTAAATGATTACAATTGTTAGGCAAATTATCAAATTGATGTTCATGCAAATTTTCAAATATGTTCACATTCAGAAATTTTTTTAATACATGATAAACAATTTTATTTTTCTGTAGCCCAAGAGTTCTGCTTTCATCATTATTTAAAAATTTTATTAATTTTTGTGTTTCTTAGCATATTACTACGACATCTCGAGATGGATATGGCAAACAACCACGATCTTTAATAAAAATTTATTGACTGTACGAATACCGAATCTGAAATTAGTTTTGTTTGCGATTTTTTTAATGGAAAAAAATATTTAATTAATTTTCAGCTATCTCGAAATGACGGGAATTGGTCAAATTTCATAAAAATTTAAGACTCGCATAAAGTAAATAATTACTAAAAATATTTTACAGAAATTCATTCATTATTTTATAATAACAATATCACGTTAATCACTACACTATGTGGGCGAACAAAATTATAAAGCTAACCCTGGAAACTTGTGACGTTAACCGAAAAATGGCGTACATATTTACCTTTTATATATTCCTTTTTTTTACTTACCTAAAGAAGGAAACTTTTCGCCTCTCTTCACCAACTCGATCACTTCTATTTATACAGTGTTTTACAATACACTTGCCCATGATAAAACGTCTAATTATCGAAATAACAGCGATGCGTACACGTCAAATGCTAGGACACGACTGAGCGCTGGGCTCCAAATCAGACTCCAAAGTGTTTTCACCAAAGTCGCTCTATAAGCCAATCTAGGTGGTCTGTGCAAGCAACATTTAACTTTACATTTGTCGATACTCTACATCATGATCATTATTCCCCTACTTTAATATTATTTTCCATCACGCACGCTCGCTATGGGACTATAGTGTAGGGGGTTATGTGCACGGAAAGTGCTAGATAGTATCACGTCGTTGTACTATCTGGCACTTTTCGTGCATATAACCCTCTACGCTATATGTCCCATAACAACTCGCACTTGTGATAGAAAATAGTATGTGCAACTCGTTCGGAAAAGTTATCCTCACTCGTTACACAATGTACTATTGAGGAATTCCAGTTAAACGTAATAAAAAAAGCAATTATGCTGTTTATTGAGTTTATGTTCAAAGTAATTTGTTTATTGTGTAACATTTTGTATAGAATTTTGCCGAAGAAAATGATCCTATAGTTTTTTCATTGTTAGCAATGTTTGTAAAGAGAAATCGCCATTACCCTTTCAATTATTCAGTTAAAACTATTAATTTTCAGTATTCAAAAATGCCTCGGTATAGGTTTTAAAAATTTTCAAAATAGCTAGGGATTTCGATTTGTTAATGTCTAGATTTAGCAATTCATTCGCCAAGCTTTAATAGTCAGAAGTAGTTTATATCGTGTATAAAACGAAAATTTCCATTTCTGTTGCCAATATTACGTTTCAGAGAACCCGTTGATCCCGTCGAAGCAGAGAAAGACAAAGAAGCTAAGAAGAAAGTGTGGCAAGACAAGAAGGAGAAATGGAAACACGACCGATTCAATGACACGGAGCAAGCACCCAAATCTCGATCGGAACTCGTATCAATTTACGGATATGATATTCGTAATGAAGACGGGCCTCCTAGAGCAAGAAGACGAAGGAGATACGGGTGAGTAACTCATTAATAATTACTGTGAGATCATTAACATTCCCCTGACTCGATAATACCGCAATATTTCATAATTTTTTTAGACGTGGTCCCAACAAATACACCCGTAATTGGGAAGACGAAGATGCTTACAACAAACCTGCTCCTGCTCGACCCAAAAAGAAGGGCAAGCCTAGGGCTGAAGAATTTCCGCCTCTTGTACCAAACGAATCGGCATCGCCCGATAGGGAGAGACAGCAATCAGAAAGTAATACTAATCTAGAGGAGGCTTCAAATCACAATTTAGCAGAAAGGTACCGACTTCTCACGTAAAAGTTTGCATTTATAATATTACGAAATGTTTTCTTTTCACAGGACAGAGCCTAATAGAGAAAATAATGCTAACCAAGCCCCACCCATTGCAAACGACGTAAGTAACAAGAGCAGCGCTCAAGAACCCGTTCAGAACAAGAACATCCAGCAGCGTCCTGGCTCGGGCCGCATCGTGAAGCCCAAAAAAGAGATAAAGGACTCTGATTACCGCGGATTCACCACCAAAACTCGCCAGCAAAGGAAAATCAAAACGGAGCAGCAGAAGGTTCTGCCACCGCGCAACCAAACCGGTAAAGAGGATTTCGTACAGACCCAGAACTTCACCAATAAGAATAACGTGCAGGAAATTGAAAAGGATATGAGCAAGTTGAGCGTGGAGGGCAATTTTAAGGGCGGGAAGCATAATAATCAACGACAGGGTAGTGTGCCCCCTCGCCTCCAGTCCGAGCAGAAGGGTTCCAAGCGGTATAGCTCCATGAGACAGAGGTCCCTGCCGGAGGCCAACACACCGCCGGTGCCAAATTATCAGCACACTAGTTTTTACCCAAACGGTAAGTTTTTTTTGTATTTATATACATTTTTGTCTTCTAGTCGGTACAATTCAGGATTAGTTTCGTTAAGCGTGAAGTTAAAGGAGAATGTAAAATTTATAAGAACGTGCTCAAAAACATTCTCTAATATTACACGTTTAAGGGGTTACACCACTGTAACAGCCTAAAAAAAGCGTGTATTTAACTTTTTTTTTTATAGAAGGAAAGGCAATAGAAAAAAACTGTTTCAGTATGTTATTAGGCATGTATTTAAGTGTACAGAAAAATGTTTTCATTAAAAGATATTTCAAAATGGCGGCACTGGAGCCATTCTCCTGAAACATGTTGCCGTCGAGGCGTTCTGCGGCACGCGCTAGAACTAGTGCAAATTTCAAGCTGGAACAAAACAAAAAATTTGCTATTAATCTACATGAGTATATCTAGAGAAATGTGTACGGGAACCCCATAAAAAATTTTATTATACGAACACACAAACACGCTATATCGCCACTAACCACTGAAATAAATAACTAGAGTTTATACTTACTCTACGAAGGTGCTTCACTAAATACCACTTTCAGTTTTGCTATAAAAGTAAACTTAATAAAATACAACACTACATTATACAAATTCTACAAACACCTTCTCATAAATCAATAAGCTGTTAACTTAAATAAATGTAATAAAATGAAGTGGAACATTGACCGTTTGTTTTTTCTGTCGGCCTAGTGCCCCGCTGTCATATCTGGTAGATTGATATTATGTAGTTCATCTAAACTAGATTAATGTGAGAGGTCACTGACATTGAGGATTCACAATCTAAACACAGTGCTTTAAAAAAATAGTAACATACTTTTTATTCAAAACTTATTTTAGTTATTATTAAAAATACTCGAAATCTATCAGATTAGTAAGTATTTTTATTTATTTTTTATGTCTGTTAGTTTTATATAGTTGGTTTGAAAAGAGTAATAACAGGAAACATCATAATAACAGGAAACATGATAAGCGCACACATATAACAATACTACAATTTAAAAACGACGACAGCTCGACTATTTGATTTAAAATAAAATTAATTCTTGGTTAGCATTTCGAGGAACACGTAGTATTGTTACAAGGTTTGTAAGAAAATAGGTTTCAATATTTCAAGAAAATGTTTTTTTTTTTGCCAACATTATTGCATTCTGATATGTGCTGTTATATTTTAATAGGATACTCCTAACAGAGGTTTGTTATTTTCTATATACAGGATGTTCCTAAATAAGTGTCGCAAAGGAAAACTATAAATTCCTCTTGAAAAAAGAAACAATTTTTTCTTCCATTTTTTTCTTCCATTTTTCTCTCCGGGCCTTCCTTTTCGAGATACACGGTGTCAAAACTTTAATTTCTTTTTAGTTTTTTGCCAATATCTTAGGAACTGTTTGAACTACAGGACTAAGCTTTTGTACACACATTACCACTATCAATAGCTACTGTTGGTAAATTTCGCTAAAATTGTTATTTATTACTACCTATTTTTTGAATTACAAAAGATTTTCAAAACGTTAGCAAAATGGTTGTTTTTGTTCTTAAACAGTAATTTTTCTTGAAAACGGTTGACTTTAGAGTAATGAACCAAGAGAACTCTTTTCGTCTAAAATCCATTAGCGCTTTAGATTTGCTGTCAAATTTCAATTTTTCCAGTGGCGTAACGCCCCGTATAGATGTTCAATTTTAAACTGTACTATTTCATAGCTAAGTTACTAGAATTACAGTTATACAGTACAGTTATACAGTAAAATCTCATTAATCTGGCACCATTAAAAACCTAAGAGTGCCGGAATACTGGAAAATTCAAATTAACGAAATATGTATAATGTAAACAATATTAAATAAAAAAAAACGTTACTTTTAATTGTTTATTAACAAAGAGATTGGTACATAGATACATACATATTATATTTGTGTGTGCATATACAGGGTCGGAAAGTCCCCATGATTCATCGGCCATTACGTAAGAGCGATAAAGAAAGTCATAGAAATCCGTGCGATAGAGAAGGATGGCAATAATGAAGGCGTCTCATAGTCACCGCCCGTTTTGCCCTTCCACAAATAAGATCCACTTCCACTTATAATTCAGCGACCGGTGGTCATCTTTGTTTTTGCTGTTTGGCTTTTCTTTAATAGATGTCATTACTTATATAATTTCGACTTCGGTATTCCGATATGTTAATACCATCCATTAACAGAGGGCAGCACAACGCGTAACAAAGAAAACTTTTTACAGTAGCTAGTAGATACCTCCGTTTGTAAATCTAGTGGCCTTGATTCCCCCACTGAGAAGTTATTTAAATGGAGTATAGTGCTCAGCTGCATTTAAAGTTCATTTAGTGGTTATTTAAGTATACTTTTTAAAATGATTTAAAAATCCCAAAAAATAAAGCAAAATTCCCTATTTACCCAATTTCAAACAAATCTGTAGATCTGGCATCACTCGCTACCCTCTGTTAACGGATTGTATTAACATATCGGAATATGAAATCGGAATTGTATAAGTAGTGACATCTATTACAGAAAAGGCAAACGATGAAAACAAAGATGACCACCGGTCGCTGAATTACAAGTGGAAGTGGATCTTATTTATGAAAGGGCGAAACGGGCGGTGACTATGAGACGTCTTCATTATAGCCATCCTTCTCTATCGCATGGATTTCTATGACTTACTTTATCGCTGTCACTTAACGGCCGATGAACCATGGGGACTTTCCGACCCTGTATATGTATTTGTAATGTTTTTATGTTTGTGTAAAATAATCTTTAAACTAAACTCGACTTAAACGCGGAAAAAATAACGCTGGATTACTGAATAGAGTGCCGAATTATAGAGATTCTACTGTACTGGAATAGTATATTGTGTAATAAGTGCGGTAAGTTGTCTATTGCCAACGAGAGCTGAATTTAAAAATAATATTATTGAGTGTGTATTTAAATTTTGCGTGTAGACAAACAGCTATTTACCGACCTAAAAAACAAGCGAAAAGATATGACTTATGCCTCATGAGTAATAAGAAAATATATGATTTAATTATAACAAAACATGTGAATATTACATTTATTTTTCCAGACTACAACCAGCAGAACGCACCACCAACATCACAGCAACCTTTGCTCCACCAGAACCCCCAAATGCGCCCGCCTCCCACTGCCCAATTGCCTCCTCCCGCTCTACCGCCCATCGCCCAAGTTCCAGTTACCGCGGCTCCCCTTCTGCAGGCCCCGTTTCCCCAAGCTTTTCCTCAACCTCCACCGGCTTTTCTGCAGCCGGGTGTACCCCCACCCCCTTTCATCCCTCCGCAGACGCCTCAGATCATCAACTACGTCCAAGGACAGCCTCCGTTTACTCCAAATTTTCCGGGATACCAGCAGCAGTTTAATTCTGTGGTAAGCATCTTAACATTTTAGCACGTTGTGGTTTTTTCGGGGTGTGTATCAGAATTCTACCAAAAAATTGCCTGATGTTCTTCGGTATATTCGAAAATGTAAGTTCTATATCAGTTTTCGTCTTTCGGTCAAATTTCTCAAATTTTTTTCGTTAAATTCATTGCTTCCTAAAACTAGTGGGTTTTTCTCAGTTACAAAAAATTTGCAGGACCTGAGGTACAAAACTCTCAAATAATACTTTTAAATTTCCACCTTTATGAGATTTCTTTTATATTATTTGATTTTGGTGGTTTTCTTTTAAACATGAAAATTGTTGTATGGAAAACTTTCTCAATCACAGACGCAGCCGACGGAACTGTACCAACCTCAGGGAGGAATCACTTACTACTCCACCGATCAACAAGTAGCACAAAGACCCGTGCCTCAGAAGCGTCCCAAAGCGGCTATACCCATCGTAGCGCCTCCTTCGGACGAGAAAAGAGACGATGCGATGCAGGTACCTCATCAAGATGCCGAATCGGTTCGACTTGAAACTAGTGAAGGGGAAATCATACATCAATGATCCCATTTCTTCACAGTCCTCAAAATGTATCGCTTGGAATTGTAACGAGAAACCGAGATTGTCAGGAAAGTCCGATTTTTTATATAATTATAATTTTTATAGAATATAGCGTGTGGAAGATGTATTTTCCTGCTCCTACTGGTCGACTGCGCTAATTGTGTACACTTTGCAATATTCAATTAAGATTTTGATACGGTTTGGGATAATAGGTTTCTTATAAGAGCGTGTAAGTGTTCTTTCACGATGAGGTTTTCTTCGTAATGACGAGAGGTTCTGTTAAAACTGTCCTATGAAACAGATATATAATCAAAAATATTGCAGAAGTAGACTTTCTAATTTATATTTAATTTATATTTATTAGGTTAAAAAAAAGTTAAGGTGCATCCTGTAAGGGTTGGTATACGTTGATTACACGAATTAAACGTTACAGCGGCTTCTTTAATGTAGCTGTATATGTTTTAATTTATAAGAGGATATTTTGTTTTATTCTTTTATTTTATTTATTCTTTTTTTGTATCTGTGTTAAGGTACAGTTGTTACGATTTCAATTGGAACCGCATAAAAACACTTACTTCGTAAATTCTACAGAATTCATAGGCCCCCAGACAAATTTTGAACTGATAAATAATAATCCGTATTATACCAACAACATACCATGCCAAGCACTGCTCTGCACTGCACTGGCAAAGCCAAGTGAACCACAACATACCATACAAAAAATTATTTACGGCCTAGTGGACCAATACAGGTTTGCTTTGATGATCAGCACGCCGCCGTCGATTCTACATCAGGCGGACTGGTTTACTAATACTGGATTCACTGAATTGCTATTCGAATATAAATTAAGAGACACATCATGGCTAAAGCATAGGAAGAAATTTTTGGAGAAGTGCAGAAGGTCCTGTGCTTTAAGGTTCGCAGGTTCCAATTGAAATCGTAACAACTATACTCGTGTTATATTTAATTTCATTATAGGAATATAAAAATAAAGATATATTTATTGAAAAACTACATCTATTATTAAAAAAAATACATGTGAAATGTTGTTGCTGCAATAGTTTTTTAATTTTATATAAATTAAAGTTGGTATTTTTAACTGTTGTGGATAATCATGAACTATTATAGATTTACATTGTTTAAATAAAAGCAGATGCATAATTGTGTAATCGTTTTCTTTCGATAAAAAATTAAAGGTATCGGTTGCAACTATAGTGGAGAGAAATTAAAAACTTTTCAAGAAAAATGGAAGCCTGGATTAAAAACAAAATTTACAAAAAATGCTGGTTCGGCCGTTTTTAATTGGCCCTGTAGGGTATGAGACAGAAATAGACCCATATCTACATTTACTCAAAGAAGAGATAAAATTTTCTTCAAAACAATGTGCGTTGGATCTACTTGCGTTGTTAACGACTAGAAAGCTAAATTGAAGTTAATATTGAAGAATTACGCTCTAAAAGATACTTTTTATGCCGAAATTTTATACAGGGTGTTTTTAAATGAAGTAGCAAAAATGGTACCAGTGAATGTAGAGCCAAAAATAAGAGGATTGAAGTAAAAATACCTTATATGAAAGTTGCACCCCTGAGGAATGCTAGAGACTCGAAACTTGGTATGAGCATCCTACTAATAAAGAGAGAACTTTTCAATATTTATTCAATCATTGGCGTATTTTACAAAGAAGTGAAACAGTCCACTCCATTGCAATATTTTTTTAGAAATTTTTTATATGAAGCAAATTATTTCAAAATATTTATTGGGAAGACTGATTTATTGCGCAACTTTTTTACCTCTTGTAATTTTTCGATAAAACCGATAGTTTTCTAGTAAAAAAATTAGATGCGTCATTGTTCACTAAAGGGGTAATTGCAGAAATTTGTAAAAATAAAGTAGGCGGATGTCATAACAAAATTGTTATTTATCATATTAATAAATTGACACTTTCCGTCAACCAATTATTAGTACCAATTGATTAATTTATTATCAGAATAATTATGACAAATAATATTTATACCAATGACGAATATGTCGACATGCTCCAAGTGTTTTTCGAATCCACAAAAATAGTAACGCTGCAGTAAGATTATACCACCAAAGATATTAAAATCGATTGATTTGTCATAGACAAACATTGGCCTCGGTGGAAAGAAGTCTTCACAAAACTGGTAAAATTCAGCCCAATCGTTAGGGTGCCGGAAGAAGGCGTAATGTCCGAATTGTTGAAACTGAGGAAGCTATACTGGAACATCTGGAACAAGACTTGCCGTTAGAGAATGGTTAAATTTAAATTACCCAAATCGCTGGATTGGTCATTGTCCTGATGCCTCTGTTTGTTGGCCTGCACGTTCACCTGACCTAATGCCTATGGATTTCTTTTTGTGGGGACACATAAAAAGTATTATTTATGCCACTCCTGTTGCCTCCTTAGAAGAACTATGCTTAAGAATATTTCAGGCAGCAGATGGCCTTCGCAATAACCAAGAACTGTTTGTACAAGTGCGTTATAACTTCAACAGACGTGTTAGGGTATGCTTGCAGCAAAATGGAGATTATTTCAAGAATATTCTTTAAATTTAATTTTGCATTTCTTGTTTTTCGTTTGTATTAAATTTTATTTCAGATAAATTACTTTGCCTATACATGTCCCATAGTTGTAAGTTCTCAAACATTTTTCATTAATTAATAGCAAATTATTCTTAATGTTATTATTAAATTACCAGCTTATTGACAGAAAATATCAATTTATTAAAATGATAAATGACAATTTATTTGTTATGACATCCGCGTACTTTATATTTACAAATTTTCGCAATTACCCCTTTAGTGAACGATGACACATCTAATTTTTTTTACTAGAAAACTATCGGCTTTATTGAAAAATTACAAGAGGTAAAAAAGTTGCACAATAAATCAGTCTTCCCAATGAACATTTTTAAATCAATAATTTGCTTCATATAAAAAATTTCTAATAAAATATTGCAATGGGGTTGACTCACTCCATTGCAAAATACGCCAATGATCGAAAAAATATTGAAAAGTTGTCTCTTAGTAGGATGCTCATACCAAGTTTCATGTCTCTAGCATTCCCCATGTTAAAGAAAAAAATTAAAATGTGAATTTTAATCCCCTCTTTAAGAGGTATATTGACTCAGGGGTGCAACTTTCATATAAGGTATTTTTACTTCTATCTTATTTTTGGCTCTACATTCACTGGTACCATTTTTGCTACTTCATTTAAAAACACCTAAAACATGTCTTTTATCCATTATTTAACCCTGTATACTTTTAAGATTCCCCACGAGTGTCCGCTACATCTACATCTATACATCTTTAATAAATAAATACCACAGGATTCTAAATTAATTTTTTACTGTCATTAACAAGGTAAAACATTTTCTCTTAAACAAAAGTACAAATTATATTGGAAATTATTTTAAACCCTACTATATTGTATTCCTAATCTTAATTTCTCGTAAGAATTAATTCCCTTATTTGCTGCGTCAGCCACTCCACACCCTCCTGCAGTCCTTCACCCGTCAGTGCATTGCTAGCCGAAATATGCCAAGGTTTATCCATTATTCTATCCAAACCTAGTGCAGCGGCTATCTTAACGCTACTAAGCGCTTCTTTGCTATCCATTTTATTGGCAAAAAACAAGATGGGTATTTTTCTGTTGCATATGTCTGGATGTTGCAGTAAAAGATCGAGTTCTTCTTTTACTACAACGAGTCTTAATCTGTCGCTGCTGTCTATGACGAATATTATTCCATTGCAGTCTTTGTAATAGTGCTCCCACAAGTCTCTGTAGCGCCCATGACCTGACATGTCAAATGCAGTGAATGCAAGGTTTTGATCTAAATAATATTGCCCAAAGGTTATTAAAGTTAATTATTAGTAATTACAAGAACTTACTTTGGAATCTTTCTATAGAAAAACCCACTGTAGGCACAATTTCTGCGACTCTTTCTTCCTCATTTTTGAACTTGTTCACTACTGTTGATTTTCCACTATTGTTAAGACCCACAACAAGAACATTAACTTCCCTTTTCTTCACGCCAAGAAAATGAGCTAGTTTCTGAAATAATCCCATTTTATCAAGAATTTTAAGTTTCCATTACAATTTTTATTTTTTCTGTTAGCTAAAGTCAATGTTCATTGTCATAGTTTCCATAGCAACGTACTTGAGAACGTGAAAAATGTACGGCTGTATTTATAGGAATATATTAACATAAATTAGTAATCATTAACAAATAACATAAGTATTAATCATATCTTAAAATGTTCAAAAATATATATTTTAAAACCAAATTTCACTTATTTTCAAATTCTAATAATTTTAAAAACTCAACCTACGAACCTACTGGACATAAGAGCTACTTTAGAGGACTTTTCAAAAACTGTGATCGTGTTAATTTGATCTAGGATCGTTCCTAAAGTAAACCCGTTTGTGTAAAAAATAATTTGTTAACAATATTTTAATGTCAAATATTACTTGTCTTAATGTGCTATGAAATTGAAACACAGTTGTCGGGAACTATAGATACTTATATTTTATTTTAAATACAAAAATACTTCTTATTGAAATCGGAAAACAGCTGTTAGTAGTGATGTGGTGATCTATCTGATCTCAGATCATATTATCAAAAATCACTAAAATAAATATGAAAATATGTTTTTCTTTCACTCTTTTTACAACAAAACTTTGCCTTTATACTTGGAGAAATTGTAAATTTTTTGCTACCGTATAGGTCCTATTATCCTTATTAAGGATTCCACTATCTGTATTTGGAAAGATGAATTGAGCTTCTTAATTTTTATAGTAAATATTACTCCTGTACAGTCGGTTCACTTTAACCATACATTCAAAAAACATTTTCAACTAGTGCGACTGAAAGAAAGATAAACATATTGTTCGTAAATCTTACTGAAATTTATACCTCAAATTTCGATGGTAAGTTACAAGCACAAATCAAAAATGCACGGTATCTATTCGAATTAGTGCGGATGCTAGTTTTTTCCAAATAGAAAAGTTTGCACTTTTTGTTTGGCCATGAATTTTAGCTCGCACGCACGGCGAATATCAAATCTGGGTTAGACGCTAGTGCAAGTGCACTAGCGTACATTTAACCAAAATGATGACGTGTTGTTGGGAAAAATAACCTGCGCTGGCCAAGTACCCAAAGGTGGAGGCCACAAAACATGAAGAAGAAGATGATGATGACGTGTATTTACAGATTTTGACATTTGAAAATTAATGTTTTGTAGTGTTTAGGTTCTTGAAACGGCGAATATTTGATAGACACGTATAAAATAAATTCCAAAATCCATTTATTTTTTATACTTCAAAGACAATGATTTAAATTTGTCTAGTGTTATTCTTGTAGTATAGAAAATTTAAATAAGTAGGTATATAACCAAATATTCCTTTTTATATTGATAAAATTTGTTTTAGATAAAAATGTCTGATATTGGAGACTGGTTCCGATCTGTGCCCTTTTTCACCCGTTACTGGTTCGCTGGTACAGTTTTATTCACACTTCTGGGAAGATTTGGAATTCTAAAACCTATTAATTTAATATTACTATATGAACCTTTGAAACGATTCCAAATATGGAGGATAGTCACCTCTATACTGTATTACCCACTTAGCCCGCAGACTGGTTTCCATTTCCTAATTAATCTATATTTTTTGTACAATTATTCTCGTAGATTAGAAGAAAGTAAGTAATAATTTGATATATCAATCGTTTTAATCTGTACATAACCGATATGTAATACTATTCGTTTTTAGGTACATATGCTGGGAAACCTGCTGATTATTGTTTTATGTTGATTTTTAACTGCCTCTGCTGTGTAATTTTGGGCCTTGTGGGGGAAGTATATGTAAGTTACTTATTTACTTCACATTTTATTTAATAAAACATTAAACTTACATACCTAAATTATATAATTTTAGTTTCTGATGGATCCTATGGTCCTTTCCGTTCTATATATCTGGTGCCAGTTAAATAAGAATCTAATAGTCACCTTTTGGTTCGGTACTCGCTTCAAAGCCATGTACCTACCTTGGGTTCTCCTTGGATTCAACCTTATCATCAACGGAGGAGGAATTATGGAATTGTTTGGAATTTTGGTGGGTCATTTATATTTCTTCCTCATGTTTAAGTATCCACAAGAGTTGGGTGGACCTGCCCTTCTCCAGACACCGGGATTTTTGAAAAGCATCTTCCCCGATCAAATCGGAGGTGTGCATGGTTTCGGTGTGCCTCCCCAAAGGGCGGCAACTGATCAGAACGCTCCCAGAGCCGCAGGAGGGTTGTTTGGGAGACATAATTGGGGAAGGGGGTACACACTAGGTGGAAACTAGTTTTCACCTAACGTCTAGAATAAAGGTATTTAATATTAACTGTTCGATGTAATAATGCTTCATAATTATTAATAAAGTATTGTTTGTAAATTTATTTTATTTATATAGGTATTGCTTTTTATAGAATAATAATAATTTAAATAATTTTTAAAATACTTAGAAAACCTGAAGAAACAAGATATATCAAGAAAGGAATTTTGAATTTCCCGCTTGTAATTCTACATTTTACGCTACTAAACCCTAACCCACAGGATTGCTCGATCCCTATACGTTCATTGGCCGTTTCTCGACTCTTCTGTGACGTCATTGCGGACATTGTTGTGATGTGTAAGAATCCTGTCATTTTATGGTACTTAGTGCCACAAAATATCCAAATAACAAATAGGGGGGATATTTTGTGCTTAGTGCTTTGACTGTTGTGTGCATTCTTTTACTAAATTTGTGTTATGTTTTTCCTTAAATTTTTAGCAGTAGTGTGTGACTGTATGTAAATTTGTAGAACTTTTTTAATCTTTGTGCACTATTTGTAGTAATAATAATACGGTAAGTTGTGAGAAACAAATACAATTCTAGTGGTAACGGTAACCTATAATCTTTCATAATAGATGCCGGGGCGCCGTTGTGCTATGTATGGCTGTAATAACAGCCGTATTTCAACGAAAACGGATAATCCGGAAATAGTTTATCATAATTTTCCCAAAGGAAAACAATTTGGATCTAACATTATTCGAAAGGAATGGATTAGATGTTGTAAGCGGGGAGACAATTGGAACCCTAGTACCAGCCAAATCTGTTCTATTCATTTTGTTGAAAATGATTATGAACGTGATATGAGAAATGAATTATTAGGTAATAATTATATTATTTGTTCAATGTTCAGGTTGTCATAAATAATTGCTGTATTAATTTGTAGGTTTGCCTCCACGAAAACTACTTAAAACAACTGCTGTGCCATCGTTATTTCTTCCAAACAAACCACAGGATGTAACAAGTTTGCGGGCACAAAGATATAATAATAAAACAGAAATTGAAGAATTACAAAGAAAGGAGAAAATAAATAAATTAATTGTTGATCAAGTTGCACCAAGTACTTCAACTACCCCAATTGAATCAAATCTCTGCCTCGATGATATGGAAACTTGTAATGAATCTGAGATAAATATGCAAGTAAAATATAAAAAACTGCTTCACAATTATAATGCATTAAAATCCAAAGTGAAAATTATGAAGCGAAAACTTAATCTACAACAAAGACAATTACAGTATTATAAATTAAGGGATAAGACGAGGAGAATATCTCTGAAAAAGAAAGCAACAAACATTATGAGAAAAATTCACATAGATGGGATATATGTACTGTGATCATAACATTTGTAGCAGAAGGATTTTGCAATTTGTGAAAAAAAATGTGAACCTCTCCTAGGAATTTTCAGATTGACTTTTCAACATAAATTATTTTATCGAGGAATTTCGAATTATTTCAAGAAATAATAATTTTTGTTGAAATTACAGCATTTTATTGAATGTTAATTTTATATTTGTGATCCATTATAAAAATTACATAATACTATAAATTCTACTAATGTCATCACTAATTAATAAAGTCTCGATAAACTTACATTTAAGTAATTTATGGAAAATAAAAGTTGCAAAAAAATTGAAGAAGCCAATCTGAAAATTCCTGGGGGGGATCACAATTTATAATATGTATAAAGAAAATAAAGTTCCTACTTTAAACATGATTCGAGATAAATTAAAGCGATTATTCTGATTATAATTATAAATCTTTAGATACTTTACGACATGTTTGATTACAATGCGGTTTTAAACATAATACACATAATTATGGAATCACAACGTATAGTTGCACTTTGGGAAGATTATTTATTAAAAATTAGTCGACTAAAAAGGAATATAGCTCGGAATATAGTATATCTAGACGAGACAGAGCAAAATTTTTCTGAACGCCTATGAATTCTTTAAAGTGAAAGTTAAATATTTTTATGCGGCTCCAACTGATTTCGTAACGACTATACCTACTTATATTATTTTGCGTTACGCGTAAAATATATCGAAACATCGATGTTCTTTTGATGTATCAAACCCATCAATGTGACGTTCGCCGATGTCATACATCGATCATCAAAATATCACCACTTTTTCTAATGAAACTAGTTACTGTTTCGGGATTTATTTTCATAAATGAACATTAAGAGCATACTCTACACCACTAGTTTAATTATTTGTAGTTTTCTTTTTATTTAATAAAAAAACTTACCACTTACTATTTTTTTACTACATTAGTTTAGAAAATATTTAGTGTGCTTAATTGTTTTTGAAATATCAATGGAATAAGTTGCTAGTATATGTTTAAATAATAATTACGTAACTTTATAAACATATATTTGAAAAGATTTAACAATAAAATGAGTATCTGTATATAACTTCTGAAAGTGCAAATGAAGCAGAAAATAATAATTTTCATATTTTAGAGGAAATTTAAAACATTCTTATTTATCTAAATTAAAAACGTGCAATATTAACTTTTTGCGGTGTTTAAAATACATTTCAATAATAGAAATTTGTATAATTTTATTTACAGCGTTACAGATTTTAAAGTTTATATTTTAAGCAAAATTATTTTAAACACACCATTTTGAATATAGAAGTAAATAAAACATCTTATATGTACTTATAAGAAGCATTATAAGCAGTTTGCGCGTATGCAGATTTATCGGAAGTGGTCCGCGATGACGTCACGACCCCTACTACCGTGGCGAAAATGTCTGCTTATCTATACAATCCTATATATTATTCCTTGACCCTAATCTACAGCGGAACATTTGAAATAATATAAGTAGAAAATAATAGATGCAGGCTTAAATATTTCTACACTGGAATTAAGATACAAGTACTACCGCAACAGTTAGTTCGACGTATAACTTTACGCAGCGCGATATCGATTCTGATTCGAACTAGTTCAGTTTAAGGTTGATGATGATCATTCTAGGTCTATGGTTTTAGTCGATCACAAACTTGGAGTATTTCAGTTAAGAAGATTGTTTCTGTGATCTGTGCAGTTAAGTAAGGGTAAGGATGTTTCTAGTTTTATACGAATTGAACGAGGAGGCCCGATAAATCAGCTGTGAACGGTGCAAGTGTAGTGTCATCTTCCTGTGCAAATCAAATGCAGTGCAATGTAAAATGGCTGATAATACTCCCCCCGTATTGCATTTTGAAGAGTAACGGTTCGAACGACCAAATATGTGATAAAAACTCAAAAAGTAAAAACTACGTAGCATAAGTGCATTCCAAAACCGCTGTCATGGCAAAACCGTAAGGATTTTTTAAAAAATTTGCCACTGTTTTGATCGTTACTCAATATTATTTGTTTGTAGGAAGCATGAGTAAAATGTAGCATTAGATTAACACATTATCGAATAATAATAATACTCATCTCACTGCCCTAAACTACAATGGCTACAATGATGTATCCAACGCTGACTAAATCTCAGAGTATGCGTTCTAAGAGAAAGTCAGCTGTGGAGTTGCTTGCCGAGAGCAAACCCTTTTACGTCAAATCGGAGATAGTAAGGGACACGACTCAGGCCCTGCCATCAAGACCTAACTCGAACTTTGGCTCCTATGGAACTTACAACCGTAGCAAGTCCGTTAATGTGACCGGGCAAGGAATAAACTATAGACCCACAACTCTCCCTCAATGTAAGTTATTATTAATTTAATAATTAGTTTTTATACTGAATGAAACTCCTTTTTTTGCTCAATACATTCATTAACATATTTATAGTAGCAGTCGGAGACCCTGTTTTAACATAATTGTCTATGATAATAAACATTTTTCTGGCATCTGGTGGTAAAACAAATTGATATTACATTTTATTGTTTACAGCAAAGGTGTAACAACAGCCGTTTAACTCATTCAAATATTGTCAGACACGTTTGTCTTATTATGTATAATGCACAGAAAATTTAGCGTTTTGGTTAAGTTGTTGAACTAAACTATGTGCAGGAGTAATCATGAATAATTAGGGTGTCAAATGAAATGATTATGTGATAAATAACTTCACATTTTTTAATATTTTATTAGTTTATATTTTTTTACAATTATTATTAATCTTATGATGAATACTAATTTATATAAAGTTGTGTGTGTGTGTTATAGCTGACAAATATTAGGACATGTTTATAAGTTCCAATGGTAAATTTTTTAGCCTGCCTTGTTGTAAACTTTAATAAAAATATAAAATGTGTTTTAATCTATCAAAAAATTTAATATCCATTACTTGTCACATCAATTTGCAAAGTTTAACTTGAAAAAAGTAGAAATATATTTTATTGTTCTTCTTGCATTGATTAAATGGATTTTAAATTATTATTTTAATATAACTACTGGTGTAAAATATAGTATTTTCATAAAATATTTTTACATTAACATGTTTAATTAGAAAATTATATAATTGTGCAAAATATACAGAGTAGATACATTTAAGAAATTAGGATTGATTAAATATAAAAATTTGTATTTGGAACAATCAGTAGATGAACTTGGTACTTTCTTTAACCTGACGATTAGTGGTATATTTATCTTATGGTTTACTGTTATATATGTATCTTAATGTGACAACTATTAAATTCACAATGACACATTTGTTGCTCAACAAAATGATGTAGTATTAGTGTAAACAAAATCTTGTGAAATATTTCGAGATTTTCCGTTACAAAAGTGTAACAATGTTAAGGCAAGTTATAATCGGTATACCTCATCTAAATTTGCTGGAAACTACTTGAGTGACCTTTGAGATCTTCGAATTTACCCTTATGAAGAGGCATGAGTTTTTTTTTTACTATACAGTGTCCAAGGGTTCACAGCAAAATAAAAAATCCTCATTATTTTTTTTTCCAATATATTCAAATTGTTAGTTAAAAACCACTGAAAGTTACATATTATAGTGTTACCTTACAATTCAAGTGTAAAAAAAGTATTAAATAAGTACTTGACACTCTGTATCTTGGTTGTTTTTAACATTTGAATCAAGGAACGATAAGTTAAATCCTAATATTCCGGCACGAGGGTTGTGTGATTTTGCTGTGAATCATTAATTTAGTCCAAATGTCAAATGTTCTTCGCCATAACAAATAAATTTGTGAAAAAGATAAAACTTTTGCGTAGTAAAATAACAATGAATAGTGGTCATTTCATAGTCTTTCCGAAGTCAGTTGAACATGTAAAAAAACGCCTAGCAATAAAATTTAATGACTCATAGGTGTCCCTAAAAAAGTTTTCTACTAAAGGTAAAAAATTATAATAATTTGTATACAATGTGTAGAAAATTTCTATTATATGTTCATTTGGCCAACAACATATTTTAATTATTTATGTCCTCAAACGATTTTATTATATTGATGGTAAATTTCGATTTGTTCCATTTCAAAAGGTCTCCAAAATGCCATGTTATAATAATATTTCTCCCTTTCGTAATAATAATATCAATTTAACAGAAGGTGCCTGTAATAAATCGTTTTGTATGTTATGCAATAAATCAATAAAATAATTTATAATAGTATTAATTATATTTTATATGTAAAACACGAAATAAATGATAAAACTAACAATCTTTCTAATTAAACCACGATAACTTTATCCTGCCTTTTCTTAGTCCTTATTTGGGTTGTTCATTTACATAATCATATTCATATGGACTATGGTAACAAAAAAATTTATTTGAATAACCATTGTCGGTTGCAGACATGGCTGTATCCCCCTCAAGGTCCTTGCCCCCTCTCACACACCGCCGTTCAGTACATTCCGGCAACAGCGACATGTTGCAGAACAAGCTGCGTCAGCTACTGGTGTGCGACAGCGCGGAGGAACTCTGTGTCGAACAGATGGCCCCGCTCAGTCCGCCCGCCGAATATGCGCAGCGTTGCCATAAAAGCCTCCCCGACCTACACTGCAGAGGGGAACCTAGCTCGAATAAAAGTAGCAATAAGAGCCTCTCCAATAGGGACAGCGGGGGATCTAGCGGACACTACACTCAACGCAGCGAACCGGCGCCACCACCTAGACAGGTAGGCAGTTAATTCATTATTGGATCGATTGTGTTGCATTAAAATTAGATTTTTTTTTTTGCTTATTAAAACATATCTATATAAGTAACTTCAATATATCAAATTAAAAATTAGTTTATCGTGAAAATGTGTAGGTCAGCTTATTTCGTCTGGCCGGTGAAGGTCGGATGCGCAGTGGCAAAGTATCGGAGTAGCCCATGAAACTCATTTCATTATAAGAACTTATAAACATTCTCGAAGAAAGTAATGAAGCTCACATGAAAATATTCAAACAAGATTTTAAATGGTCAAAGCAGAGAAATGACAAATGATAAATAAATCTATAAAAAAATATATATATTTAAAGGTAGTAGGTAATATACCTATATATATATATATATGTTGAACTTCAGATTTCCGCGGATATTATATGTGTTGTCAAGATGTTTCCGGGTTCCTCTCCGCGTATGGTTTTCTTGATTCTGGATAGAATCGTGTTCTGGACGACGTTTCGGCAAGATCACACTTGCCATTTTCAAGTCTTCTTTGTTCTACTTCGTGTAATACGTTGTGAACTGGTGTTTACCTGCTCTGCTGCTGNTATATATATCGGGACTTTTACCGTTATTGGTACTTTGTCCCAACAAGACCATTAAAAGTCCCAATCAATTGCCTAGTCCTAAATAATACCCCGTGGCCTGCACTTTTTGTGTCTAAAGAACTTTTTAGAGATCAGTCTTTCTTTGGAGGATTGGAAGTTTAAAGGTTCTGTTGAAGAGAGATGGCTTTATTTTTTTGAAAAATACCGAAAAATTCCAAAAATAAAAATTCTGTGAATATTTGTTTGCAGTTCCCCATAATGCCACAATAGAGACAGTTTTTTTGTTAATGTCTGCTTAGTGGACAGACGAAAGGAATCGGTTACTTCCAGAACCGTAATATGACATGTGCAGAATTTAATCGGTATGCAAAAGGACAAAATGAATTGTTAAAAATGGTGAAATCGTCTGAGAAATATTTATCGAACAAACACTTTTTCTCTTCCGCAACCATAAGTTAAAACTTTATTGTTATTTATACATGTTATGCGTCTGAAAGTATAATATAATATTACTAACAAAATTTCGCTCATTATTTCTCTCCCCCCCTACACCGTTCCAACAAAACCTTGGCCAAATATGGCAATCCTAAATATACCAAGATTTTTATCAATTTTTGATATTTTTCCCAATCGTCTTGATCCTTTAACCTTTTCTATTTGCTGCGTGCACCTCACTGACTGGATGAAATAAGTTGAACTGTAAATGATGATAATAGTGGGTAAATTCGCAAAAAATTTAAATATAGGATTTAAAAATTGGACACTTGTATTTAACTGAAATTTCATGAATCTAAGCTTTCAGTTATTTTTTATGTTATTTTTAATTATAAAAGAGTAAATAAATATCGAAAAAAGTTGTAGAATATAGGAAACTGTAATTTTTTCTTTAAAATCTAAATAATGATCTGTAAAAACCAAAAGAACAGCATTTTAATTTGTTGGGATACCACAATAAAAAATAAGGTATAGGTACCAGTAATCGTATCAATGTTTGTAGTTTTAATATATTTTACATGCATTCCATGCAAGATTAAACAATCTTAGAAGAAAATAATTTTGTGATAAAATAATTTGTTCTCATTTTTTTTATCATTTTATTTGTTTATATTTTTCATTTCATTATGAAGGATTCCTGGTTCACTCAATATAAAGGTCAAATTCTGTCCTGAAAACTGACCTTTTTTAATTTTTTTCTGTAATTCTCATACTTTTTTATATTTTTCCATATTTATTATCACTAAAAAATGACTCCCACTTAAAGTTACACCCTGTATATTTGTGTCCCAGTATCCGTCACAGCTGATGAATATTTCTAAATTGTTCAGTCTATATGTTATAGACTTCAATAGAATATAAAACTTGTTTTGTTAAAGTATCAAAAATCAATATCTAACTTTTGTCACACCAATTTGCACGAAATAACAGTGTTACTAATTTTACAAAGTTCTGGCTATTGACGGAGTATTTGAAGGACATTAAACCATGAAGGTAATTGTAATCGTTAAAAAAACTCCTATTTATTTTAATGGGATGTTTCTCAGTCACCTCTTAAAAATGTGTATTATTGGCCTGAAATTACTCTCAAAAATAAAAAAGATATGCAGAAAAGGTATCTGCTGTGGCAGTATCCAATGGAGAACAAAATTATTTTCGTGAAGATCATGAAGAAAATATGATAGTATCAGTCATTGTCATTTTATTTTGAAAGTACAAATCTTATTGTTCGTCTTGCATTGATTAACTGAATTTTAAATTGTCATTTTAATATTTTATTATAGTTTAATTCAATGTGATGAAGATTCGTACAGTAGTCACAATTATTCACACAAAACAAAATTTTTTATAATACACTGGGAGGCATTTTTATGCACAATTTTCAATGAAGTTTTTGTCCAGAATTTAAGAAAATCTAAGCAAGTTATAATCAATATCTTTTCACTGTACCATTTATACAAGTTTTCTTCAGGGTGTAAGACAACTGACAATACATTCAAAATAAAGAAAAAAAAGTATATTTTTACCTATGTTAGTCACACACCCAGCAGAATGCTTTTAGGAAACTATTGACACATGCATTAATAACAATTATTGAGGATTTTTACAAATTTATTAGACAAAACAGGAAAGGTACGTTTTCTGATGTTTACATGTTCTCCGTGATCTTTCATTGCAAAAATTAAAGGAATCCTTATACCGCCTTATATCAACATTTTAGATATTGTCAAAAAGAAGGTCATTTCCTTGTTCTTTTGCTGTATTACTAAAAGTGCAATATCTTGTTTATAATATGCCGGCCTTAAGAAACCATGGTCAATAATATGACAATCTGATGGCAGAATTAGTAAGGAGAACTTGGTACTTTCCTTTGATTACTGGTACATTTACCTTAAATACACTTGAGTGCTATTTAAAGTAGAATTTCAAATCAAGTGTAAAAATTTTTCTGAGATTATGAGGATAAATCACATCCTAAACAAGCGCCGGCAAAATTTCAGGAGACCCGCCGGGACTCGGGCTCAAGCACGCAGCACAGCGGCGGCAGCTCGTACTACTGCTGCCAGGAGCCGGACTGTAGAGCCCGGCAGGTCTACCCGCCGCCCACCACATTCAAACGACAGAAATGCCTTCGCTATAAAAGGGATCGCCCGATTCTCCGATCCAAATCCGACATCAGCGACCGCTACTGGAGGCCCCCGGAGCCCCCCACCAGTCACCTCCAGCAGTTCTTCGAACACCTAGGCTTGACCAGCGACAGTTACGAGGAGATGTTGAGCAACAGCGGCTCCTCCAAAAGCCCGATATTCTTTTCGGACGTATCCACGGTAGATTCCAGCAGACCGATCGACAACGCGGACTACTACCCGTCGACTTATAGATCTAGTGAGCCCCCCTCGATTGTCGAACGCAACGCCCGCATCATCAAATGGCTGTGCAACTGCCGTAAATTGCAGCTTACTTGAATCCCCTCACGCGGGTGTCGGTAGGTACCTACGTTTCTTTTCACCGGCGAATACTTAGGATGTATACGTATCAGATATTTTAGGAGAAAAGTATCTCCGAGGAGTATTATTGCTGTATTATGTACTTAAATACCGAACAGTGTTAGGTGTCGATCGCCCGTCGTGCATGTATATGGGATACTTTTTAATGCATATCAGTCGAAGTATATGTTGAAAAATGATAAAAATTCGAAAACCTTTTTTATCGCTAAAAAGAACGTATTTTTCGCTTGTTGAAATTTTTTTAGACTGATGAAATTTTTCTGTCTCCTATGGTAAAATTGGTTGTGAGGAAAATAGATCTAACATTAGATTTAGAAGTAGCTTCGTTGGGACATTGCCATTTTTATTTTGATCCGATTTGAAAATAAATGGAAAACCGTAAGTTAAAAAATGGTACCTGCATATGTTGCAGAAATGAGTGCGAAAAATTTGGACCATGGGCTGTCGTCTTTTGTTTTTGAGACACAGAAATGAAGTAAAAAATTCTTTTAAAGACCTGTAACTTTTTAAAGAAGTGAGATTGTACCTTGATCTAAATTAGTTTATTTTTTATCTAAGAGGTACCCCTGAAGTATAACCTATTGGTTTCCTGACACCCTGCACATTAAGAAATACAAATTGTTGTAAAACGTGTTTGCATCCTCTAAAACTTTATAAAATTTGATTCTAACAATTAATTTTTGACACCCTGTATCTCAAAAATATAAGAAAATATGCTCGTAATCCACAGAAAAAAAATCGTCTTCTCTAAATCTCGCCAACTTCTAAATTTTTAGCATTCATTTCGACAACTCGTATATCAAATTTCATTCAAACATTTATATTGCAATTTTGAACAATATACTTCTGAATATTTTTTTTATCAAATTATTTTTATGAGGGTTGTTCAAAAAGTTCATTGTCTGACAAAGCAAACACCATTTTCTTTTTAATTTCATCCAGCAAGCTGTTTCTTTGAGTTTCGGAAGAGAATTAGCTAGGATTCAAATCTGGTAATTACAACGCATGTGGACACATGGTCTTAGAAGTTTGCAGCAACAACCAAAAATCTGTGTGCAGACTTATTTCCATAATGAACTTTATTGTTGGCCAGGTGTAGATGTTTAAACTGAACAACACCCTTCAATTGGTCCAGTAGTGAAGACTCCCTGGTGGTAGGTGTTCTATGGTCACCACACCAAAGAATCTCCCAGAAAGAATTTTTAAAGTCGATTCTAACTCTTTTTGTATGTTCTTTTACAACAAACTGCTTTTTAGCATCTCGAAATTCAGTTTTATCCATTTTTCAGAATAGGTATGTCAAAAGTTTATTTGCAACCAACAAGCAACTAAATATACCCGTCGAAAGGTTCACACTTGACAAATATATAAACATTTGGTCAAATTTGCACCATCTCTTTGCCAACAACTTTTCGAACGACCCTCGTATAAACTTTTTATTAACATTTAAACTTTGGAAAGAACCTTGAAATTTGTACTTTTTGAGTAAAATTTAGACCACTATTTATTGCAAGTGAATTACGATCTGAAATTTTTTAAAATAATATAAAAGGCAATTATCCCAACTTTATTAAGCCAGTATCTTCCTAATTATTCTGAACCTTCCGAGAGAAATTACTAGAGTCGTGTAATGTACAACGGGTACTGTGCATGGCGGATCTCAACAGTTTGCATTAAAAAGTAAGATTCTAATTATCGAATAAGTAAAACGAGTGAGGCAAAAACCTTTCGTGTTGCCCAAACTTCTACATTTCCTTTTATACAAAATTTTAATGGTGTAATTTAGTATTAAGGATCAATTAAATATACAATATTATTTAATACAGTATATCAGGTCGACTGATTGTGTGTCGTAAATAGGCAGGTTATTTTTTAATCCAGATGTCCAGTATTGAAATATGTGTTACGTAAAAGAACTTCAACGTCTTTCTCTCAAAAATTACTACAGTAGCAAAAGGAGCCCACTGATCCAATAAATTCCTACCTAACTTTTTGTAAATTTTGTATATTTTTTACGCCCCTAGGCTCTTAGGAGAGTATTTTGCAGGTTTTCAGTCATCATTACCTTTTGAATCAATGTGATAATTCTAATAATTTGTTAATGATCTCATAGTAAGATCGTAGTTGAGAAGTTATTTAAGTTTAAAAAATTTAAGTTATGCCGTTTTCAGGTTAAGTTAGGTACAAGTTTATAAACAAAACGATTGTTATATGTTCCTCCTTTTTATAATAAATATATAGTATTGATTTTATATGAACATTTTTTATAGCTATTAAAATATTTTGTATTGTTATTTTTGTTTTTTTTTTTTTTAATAAAGTTGTGCAGTTTCATATTATTATTAGATAGCATTCATTTAATGAGAAAAAGTTCTATATAATTAATTTTAATAAAAGTTTTATGTTTATATGTATTATCATTTATACAGGGTATCTAGGAAATGTTGGGCAATCTCTGGGATTTGGAACTTGCAAAAATAACATTGCAAGGGTGTATAATTTTTTCGTTATTAGTTCTTGAAATTAAGAGTTGAAAATCGATTTTTTGTTCTAACTTTTGGTTTTCATTAAATTTATACAGGGTGGGCCATTAGTGTGAGAAAGTAAAATAATTCCCTTGTTACTCATAATACAGAAAAAAGTTTATATAAAAGTTGTACAGAATCAAGAAACCTAAATTACAAAATTAATTTGAAACATACAGGGCGATGAGTAAAAACGGGACATGCCAAAAATAACATTTTTTAAATGGAACACCCTGTATATTTTTTAACGTGGATTTCCGAGAAAATTCAATATATGGCAATATAAACAGTTTATCATTTTAGTGTGAGGTTGCCACGTTATGTAAAAAATTCTTCGAATTTTGGAAAAACATGACCTTGAAGAAGTTGTATTAACTTTCAGCTACTAACACTTGGAACAAAATAATTAGACAGATTTATAGGCAAATGTTAGACAAAGGCTCCTATATTATCTAATATCGGTATTTTATACAGGGCATTTTTTATAATATGATCATTTTTTGAAAGTTTAAACTTGATTTTCTAAAATTTTTCAAATGGATCACCCTGTATTTTATTGTTCTATTTTATTCAGATATAAGTCCACTTCCAACTTTTATTAAGCATGTTCTATATCTAAACTTGTTAGTTTTTTAACATTTCTGAAAAGACTTAATTTTTATTATTTTATAGAATACCACAAATAAATATTAAATAATACAATTAACTCAAAATGGAAGGATAAATTATGAACTGACAAGTTGACACAATGTGACAATTTTTCCAAAGCCATTTTGTGTATCCAAAAATAATAAAAATTAGGTTTTTCCAGAAATGTTGCTATATCTTAGAAACTAACAACTTTAGATGTAGAACTTAATAAAAGTTGAAGTGGACTGATATGTGAATAAAGTAGGACAATAAAATACAGGGTGTTCCATTTGAAAAATTTTAGGAAATCAAGTTTGAACTTTCTAAAAATGATCGTATTATAAAAAATGCTCGGTATAAAATATCAATTTTAGCTAATATAGAAGTCTTTGCCTAACATTTGTCTATAATTCTGTCAAATATTTTTGCTCCAAGTGTGAGTAGTTGAAAGTTAATACAACTTCTTCGAGGTCATGTTTTTTCCAAAATTCAAAGAATTTTCTCCATAACTTGGTAACCCCGCACTAAATATACTGTTTATATTACCATATATAGAATTTTCTTCGAAATTCATATGTTTAAAAATATACAGGGTGTTCCATTTAAAAAATTGTAATCTTTGGTGTCCCGTTTTTACTAATCGCCCTGTTTGTTTCAAATTAATTTCGTCTTTTAGGTTTTTTGATTCTGTACAACTTTTATATAAACTTTTTTTCTGTATTATGAATAACAAGGGAGTTATTTTACTTTCTCACATTAATGACCCACCCTGTATAATTAGGTGAAAGCTATGAAAGCTATGTTATGAGAAACTATATCTTGTGTGTTTAATTTACTGAGACCTATTTTGGCAGCTTCAAGGCATAGCACCTTCAGCAGACTAGACCACTAAAAAAAATTACATACCTGCTTTTTTAATTCTTGTCATTATCAAGATTGCCAACCATAAAATAATCAAAATTTAATGAGAAACAAAAAAGTTAACAATGAAGAATCAATTTTCTGTGCTCGACTTCAAGTCAATAACTTTACAGGGTGAGTTCGAATAAAAGACAGTTTTATAAACTTGTGTTATTTTTGCAAGGCCTACCCAGATCCGAGAGATTGCTTATCATTTCCTAGTCACCGTGTATGCAATCACATTGAAAGCATCACGTTCTGCTGTTTGTATGATTGACAATTTTAATAGTCCGTATACCATTGGAACAATAATTGGGAAAGCTTACTACTCGAGAATATAAATGTATTTTAAAAGTTACATTTATGACTGTTACGCCAGATTGATATTTTAAACCGGAAATTTTTGAGGGTAATTACTATTAAAATTGCTGTTTTTTGTACACATTTTATTAGAAAGGCTGCTCTTGTCTGTGAATAAAACATTTTTATTAATATAATCGTATTCTATTAATTCACATCAAATACACGTGCGATATATTTTATTTGAGCATTCACCGCCAGTATTTCGTGACTTTTGGACCTCGAATGCTTATATTAATTTAATGATTATCTCTTGGAAACAATAAATAGGTGTGATAGTACTATTATACTGTAAATAGGAATATCATTTTAGCTTGTAGTGGAAACCCATGTAATGGCCGCTGTTTGTTAGATGCGATGCACTGCATCGACGCTGTCTAGTCTATTTAGTTCTGTCCGATATTGTTTCTATATATAGAGCATAGCTATGTTACTTAAACGACCCAATAAAGATTCAAAATGAAACTCCTTATTTTATTGTCGTACTTAATTTTCCATAAAATGTTAATTGATATGCAAAAATAAATAAATATAAAAAAATATGCAAATATATTCAACATTATTATAGCATTCAAAATTAATTTTGAAAGCCTTGATCATCAGATTAACAAATATAACTACTCTGTTTCTCAAAGAAACTACACTCTCTTATTTAAAAATTTAATGTTTAATTTTATTTACAAAATCAGTTTCGTGTTTTAGAAAACGAATTTGATATTTTTATTTTCATCTTAAGAGAGGAACCCAAAAGAGAATATTTTTCACTTTTGTATCGATTAGGCCCTGAGAAAGTCCTTACATTCGCATATACAGGGTGTCCGCAAATTTCACCGACAACGTTTGACTGGATATTCACGACGATAAATAAATACGATCTACGAAAAAAAAGTTACATAAAAACTTTTTGGTTTTTGAATTACAGGCCTTCAAAGTTGTCAAAAGTAAAACTAATTTAATTAATAACTTCATAACCCTTTTCAATGTACATTGAAATCTCCCTTGGGCGGACATCAACGGGACCGACTGAAAGTGTCCCTTCCAGAGGGGTGTCCGACTAAAAAAAATACAAAAAAATCGTTTTTTTTTTAATGAAAAATGTAATTGGGACGTTTAAAACGTGTATGTATGTAAATGTTTTTAAAATAAATAAAAAACTTAAAATTTAAGCAAAAAATAAGGATTTGTTACCTTATAAAATACATACAAAATATGATAGAATATAGTAATACATAAAATGAAATGAAATATTACTTTAATGACGCAAAAATCCATATATTGTTGTTTGTCTCCTCTTTTTCTTTAAAATTGCGTCCAGAAATTGTATTTCTAATTTGGAAATAAGGTCCAAAGACTATATCTCCGTGATCTTAGGCTAAATGTTTAAGCTGATGGGTTAGGATAATAGCTTCACCATAATTTGGTATAGCCTCTGTTGGTACTGGAACCTCATCGACATCAGATTTTCAATTTCTAGTCCTGAATCTGGATCTTCAACGTACTTTCCATCTATATTCAAAAAATCATTAAGGTTTTCATTATCAGTCCATTCCAACAAATTCTTATTTTTGCATCAGATGTAACATCCTCAGTTAACTGATTTTCACATTATTTTCATGGTTAAATCCTGCTTTACGGAAGCAATTTTTAACTGTTTCCATTTTATTTTGTTTTTTTTTGGCCGTGTAAGAGAATATTTTCTTGTGTTTCTTTAGGATTCTCATCACTCCATACATGCAAATTATGAAGTGTCCGCAGTGTATCAAGACAACTAAATGTATGTAAAACTAATTGTTCACAAAACTTTAAAAAGAACTCAAGAACTTGAAAATTTAGATCCCAACGCACGTTTACAATATTGTCACTGGTTGGTGAATGGCTTCGCAGAAGATAATAATTTGCTTCAAAATTGTTTTGTACCGACGAATCTTGTTTTACAAGAAGCGGAGTTGTAAATTTTCATAATTTGCACGACAATAATGACATTACCTGATAGCCACAGCAATCAACATCTTGTTTTCATCGCCTATTGAACTCACAGTTTTAAATCTGTGACACTGCTATGCAAACCGAAACATACAGACCTGCAAATAATGTCATTTTTCTCAAGAATGGCTTTCTATAGGCGATTTTCTCAAGACATTTTTTTTTTTTAATGAAACGGCACTTTCAATGTTGCTGTAGATTTATTTGACTAAAGCTTTTAGAAATAATATGCCATAATACTCCAAATAAACGTGCGATCGGTAAAAGGGTTATGAAGTTATTAATTAAATTAGTTTAATTTTTGACAACTTTGAAGGCTTGAAAACCAAAAATTGTTTATTTAACTTTCTTTCGTATATCGTAGGTATTTATTTATCGTCGTGAATTTGCAGTCAAACGTTGTCTGTGAAATTTACGGACACCCTGTATAGGGTATCCCTGAATAGGTGAAACAATTCTTACAAGCCAAAAAATATTGGTGTTGAAAAACGGCCTTCTGAGATTGAACTCTGCTTGTTTGTGAAATAAAATCTGTCGTAAAATCCAGTAGGCCTTGGAAATTTTGAAAAATCTTTTTTTGTCACCAGTAAAGAGTCATTCTTGTATGTAAAATGTCATTGAGAAAAGTTTTTCTAAATGAAAATCTGAATAAGTGCAAAATTTAAATGTTAGGTCTATTTTTTAAACATTCTGTTAGCTGTCGTATTTACTCTATTTTACAGCTATTTCAAGTAAATTCTAAAAAAGTCTAAAAAATCATGACGGATTTTGTTTCTGCTAGACTAGATCATTTTTCAACACTTGTTTTTTTTTTGTCTTTTACAAGTGCTGTTTTACCTATCCTAGGATAAGCAATATAAAAAATATATATTTGAAGGCCCTATGTGCTTTTCCAGAACCTACACTGCTTATTTTTTTCCTTACTTCAGGAATGTCTTACAGATACACCTTGTATGCAGATGTTATACTTTAATTTGTTAGCCTGAAGGTAATTAATTAAATATAAGTTGTGCATTAGAGATTTCTTAAAACTACCTATTACTTTTGTATTTCTAAGGCCTGTTTAGGTATTTAGTTTTTCCTTAAACATATATTTTCTATTCACATTGTTTCAAAAATATTGGAACAATTGGAATTTTTGGCATAAATGCTTTGCTGTTGTTATTTTCATTAACATATCTCGTGATCGGATGAATAAATATATATGAAGTATAAATATTTGCTAATTTTCTAATTTATCACTAGTTATGTAATAATATAGGTAAGTACCTATCTGGAAAATATTTTTAAGCGGCTTTATTTTTGTATTAATTTCCTGCCTGTAATCTCATCCAATTAATAAACAGTAACTCATTTTGGTCTGACTGCCGATAAGTAGCCTCATAAATTGGTAAATACACTTGAAGTTTAATCCCCCTTCATTAAATTTAATATAATTTTGTTTACTACTGGTATTACCTAAGTTACCACATATATTAACCAGTTAACTTTAATTACAAAATGATATAAAAATAACAAATGTGAATAAGTATCTAAAGGGCGCCAGGTAGACTATTTAATTGCAAAACAATGGAACGCAAAAGACAAACAAACCTTTGAAGTTTGGTACCTGTTACTTTTATCCATATATTTATCGCTCAACTGATATGTGCGGCAGCCGGTTAACAATCGAGCAGTTATCTAGCCTTATCTTGACCTCTCTATTATTCATCGAATGCTTAAAGGTACTTAACGCCACAATTTATTGGTCGATCAGAGGTGGAATATGTAATTTTCAGTTATCGCGATCCATCAAAAATGTTTTGGCAGTGCTGCAGGAGGTCCAACGCGGATTATTCCACTAGGAATGGGCAAGATGATTCGAAAAAACAAAACAAAAACGGTAATGCTTTGACTTTATCTCTTTTTTTACGTAGGTAGTTAATGTGATTCTTTTTCCTTGTATTTAGGATCCCAGGAATCGTACGACATGGATGTCAGGATAAGTAGTATAAGCACCATTTCCAACGATTCCCTGAATTCAAATCGTAACGGATTCATCCCCGTATCCGCAAAAGTGGGACGCGTCCGTACGAGTTCATCATCGAGCGTCAAAAGTGCAGAATCTTTTTATAGTGTGAAATCCAGTGCAACCAGTGCACGCGGAGATGGAGACTTTTACAGCATTTGCAGCGTAGATTCATTTAAAAGTACGTAATTGTAAATTCTCTTTGTGCAGTGTCGTTTTTTATCTCAAGTGGTGTTTGTTTGCCGTTCAAACGATGCTGCTTTACGTAAAACGACCTGCCTGCAGCTGTACATATTATAAGGCTCTCTCAACACGTTAATGTAATTCAAACTTTGAACATGAATAATTAATATACATTGAAAAAATGTCACTTTATAAAGGATTAGGTATTTCTGATCTGATTATATTTTGTCTGTGAATACATACTCAACGAATTTAAATATGTAGGTACCATTCATAATATTGTATATAGATACATTTTACATTAAAGTATTGTAAACTTTATTGAAAACTATTAAATTAAATGTATGTTTAGTATTATATATTTTATACACCAATAGCAAATAAATATTTTATATTGCGGTTGTAGTTTTTATTGAAATAAGGTAGATTTGCATTTTTATTCAAGTACTAGGTACTACCAACAGAAATGAACAAATCAAAAACATTTTTGTGCTATTGAGATGTACATCAGGGTGGTCGCGAATCCCTTTCTCCATTTTTTTTCTACATAAAACACGTAAGAATGTAAGTTGTAAAAAACTTTTGCATTTTCTAAAACTTGATTTGGGAAGACAATTGCGCATCGTGTTACAGAAATACGGACCTACAAATTTTTACAAATTGTGTATATTTTTACATTCAGGGTGTCCAAGAAGAAATGTGACATAGTTCAAAAGTAGCGCTCGGTAAATAAAATAAATCGATTTAGATTAAAAGTTACCTTAATACGATTTGCATCCACAAAAGTTATACAGGCTTTCGAAAAAAAAATGTTTTTATAATAATTTACCCATTTTAATCAAATTTGTCATGGGGAAGTTTTTGAGATAGTTGAATATGAATGAGCTTATTTTTTACCTGAAACAGAGGTCCCTAAGAATAACTTAGAGTCTTTTGTTTATTGTCATATTTTTTTTGTTGGTAATGAAAAAACATATTGGTTGAGGTGGAGCCGTTACAGTTCACAGTTCACAATTTTTTCAAATTTTTCTCGGCTCAAAAACTTTTTGAGAAAATGGATGATGTCCATGAAAATTGTTAAAAAATTAAAGTACACATCTCTAGGCGGTACAGTATGCAACTGGGATCGCTGAAGCGCTGAACACGCTAGGTACGTCAGTTTCACTGCAAGTGACCTTTTAAAGAAGAAACATTTTAATTCTATTAATTTTATTGTGACATTTATTGGGAAAGTAGGCGACGCCATCTACACATTAAAAGTTCAATTAATTCACCGGGCTCTTACAGTTGGTTACTCCCTAATGAATTCCGCAATTTAGTGCAATTTCTGAGCGATAGATGGCACCATGAGAGTTTGGAATTATTTAATGCAGCTTGATTGGTCAATCGACATTCGATCGACTAAAGTGAGCGTTCCATTTCACAGAACGAAAAACTGATTACAATGATGTATTTCTCTCAGCTCGAAAATTTTCAGAAGATTAAAGTGCCTTTCTAAAGGCGGTTTCTTATACATCTGGGGTAGCTAACCACACTATGACGGTGAGTTTTTGTGCAAGTGCTTCTTTCGAGAAAAAAAATCGAAAATGTCGAAAACTGGTGGAGCTAGAGAGGAACCGAAAGCAGTTTTGGAATAGAAATTTGATTTAGTTTTTATTGGCAATGGCCCTCTTGAGGTATTTGTTTGTAACTAAGTAATGTATCTTGTTTTGTGTTCAGACTTCAATGGTTCGTTCACTGAGGAGTACGTTGTTGTGTGTTGTGACTTGTGAGGCAGTCTTTAGGGCCTTTCTATTTGGCAAAAAATAGCTATTAGTAGCTAATAGCAACTTAGAGTTACTCTGAACTGATATTAGTTGCCAAAACGAAACCCCCCTTTAATTTGCTTGTTGCTTTCTGTTTGTGGCTGCGCCTAACTGACGTATGGTCATTGGGCAGCTTTATTTAAACGTCAATTTTGACACCTTCGAAAGGTCAATAATGTCAATATTCAATATCATTAATCACTAACTAGAATTTTTGTGCAACCCACTTGTCCTATAATGCATAAATTATTTATGAAAGGGAAATCGAACCGAGCTATTTGTAGTACAACATAAAATATGTCTGAAGATATAACACCCTCCCTCAGCCAATACTTTGGTTCGTCCGACGATAAACAAGACCAATTAGATTTTACCCAGGAACTCACAGCGGCCTCTAATAAGATAAGCGACTTGAAACTCGAAGACAATCAAAAAAGTGCTAACAAGAACGAGCCTGAGGTATGTAGAATTTTCGCCGAAACGCCTCCACAGCCTAAGGACCCCACTGCGGCCTTTTTCGACCTGATAGGTAACAATCACACAACTGGAGCTAACGGGATCATCTCGGATTTGGGGATATCGGCCAGTAACGATGATGGGTACAGTGCTAGAGTGGCTGTGGGGACAGAGGCAGATAGGAGGAGGGACGCTTGGATACCTAATGAAAAGACAAGACAGTGTTTGATAGCTAACATGACTGCCACCCCTGGCACTTATTTTCCTGATCGAGATTTGCTCACCATGCCAGGTGTTCTACTTGAAGAAGAGTTGGTAAGTAGATTATTTATCACATTTAAAAAGGAACTACAAGGAGGTCCTTGAATATGTCCCTATATAAAGAAGACCTACACAGTTTAATGAAAGATTAAAGAAGGTTGAACTGGTGATAACCAGTGGCAAAGCTGCTAGACAGAAGCGTCATTAAAAACTCCAGAATTTTGACACACTTTATTCATAAAATAAGTGTTTTTGAGTTATTATTTTTGCCTAAAAATCATTCACTTGAATAAATTGAAAATAATTCTTACTAATCTTCACACAATGAAAAAAATGTTTAGAAATGTTTCATCACAAAGGCATTTTTAAATACTGTGTAATTATTAAAAGCCCCCTTGATCTGCCCCAGAAAATTCAAAATTTCTACACCATTGTGATTTTTTAGATTACATTCTTCAATACATTTATTTCTTCTTTTTATCTAAAGAACCACTTATTTTATAGGTACTTAAAATATATACCTAAATATATTTTAATCTATGTGTACAACAAGTCGTTTCTATTATTGTCACAAATAAACACGTTTTTTTACTGAAGAATTATCTTTCAAATAGCAGTCAGTTATAATTCTAGTTTTGTAATACCTTCTGCAAATACCATATTATTAGAAATGTAATTACAGCAACAAGTACGTACATATTTTAGTCAAGGAGGAATTAAATATCTGTGACACTCAACTACCAAAAAAACTAATCAATAAACGACACATTTTTTATTCAATTTCATATTAAACAACAATGACCTTTGCTTTAAGGGTGACGCAGTGGGTGAAGCGGTGTCTATGTGCCTTGGAGAGGCTGAAGCCGCGCAACGTCGGGTGTTAACCGCTAGTGACGTTACTCAAGATGAGCGTGGGTTAAGGGAACTTGTACAGGCAGGTGCCTATCACGCAGCTATCAATTTAACCGCTAGGTTGTTGACCATATACGGTCAAGGAAGGGGAAGAGCCGGCCATCCCAGCAAGCATTCACCGCATTCGCTACAGCTCTGGTTTACCAGAATAGCGTTGCTGGTCAAGACGAAGGCTTTTAATATCGCCAGTGCTGAGGCGGAACCTTTCGGACAGCTCGACAAACCAGATCTGTTTTATCAGGTATGGTTCATTTTGAATTGATAAATTTTCAGTAGTAAATATATATTAATACTTGGGGTATCTAAATTTATTATGAAATTCAAATTTTCGCTTTAAAGGGTCAAAGCATATAAACCAGGACGGATCTGTCAAAATATCCCACTTCTTGTATGTAAGAGGGGCTAATTTTTACTGGAATACCTTCAGTACAACTCACATAATAAATGTGTAGATCCCTAGATCTGGGCGAAGTCCGGAACATTTTTAAAATTGCAAAAATGTTTAAAAAATTTTAAACAATACCTATTTTATCTGAGTTTTTTACTTATATCTTGCAACCTATGCATTTTGGAAGAATATTGAAGAGGAAAAAAGTTTTAGAATTGAATTTTGCACAATGTACTGTAAGTTAAAAATGTTTAAATTTATTACCGATGTTGCAAAATAGCAATAATGGATGAAAAAAGGCAAAATAATCGAGTTTTTTGGGTAATTTTTTAAAAATATTTAGTTGCTCCGAGGGGATTCAAATTTAGGTAAAAAAAACTTTTGAGTATAATAAAACAATACACTAAATTTTATTAAAATCGGTTATAGTTTTCGCAAAAAAATTTTTTGAAAAAAATGTTTAAAACATTTTTAATTTTCAAAATGTTGCATAGCCTCAAAGCATCTAGATACTTGAAAATTTTTTCACATAGAAAAGACCACTCAACCTTTGAAATGGTTTTTGAAAAATAGAAATCGGTTGATTAGAACGGGCACAGTAAATTTTAAAAATTCCCTTTTTTTATTTTTAAACAATTAGATTACATTTATCAATTACCAATTTAATTTTTTAAGAAATTATAATTTTAAAGTACTTGGAAAGACGCTTTTAAAAAAAAATGTAAAATTCCGTTTATTGGTTCTCGAGGTATAAGCGGTCTAAGTTTATCGGCATTTACCGTTAATTTATAAACAATTTAACAATAATCTTTGATCCAATGGCTTAGTTTTTCCGAGTTCTAAGCTGGAAAAAATTTTTATATCCGTAAGTTATCGGAATTTGCACCTGTTTTGTTATACCACCTATATTCTTGAAATAATCTACTACATTTACATTAGATGGTATTAGATTTTTCGTTTTACAGGAACACCACAAAATATACTTTACCATAGTTTTATTTGCATTCCGTTGCAAAAAATAACATAATTTGTTTCCTTTTTTAAAGCACTGTGTTTAGTTTATGAATCTCAGTATTAGTGGCCTCTGATATTAACCTAATTTAGGTCAACTACATATTATCAGTCCACACTGATGAGATATGACAACAGGACACTAGGCGGCCAATGTTAATTCGCCAAACTGAGAATGGCCAAATATGTCGCTGGTTTATTTTATTACGAGTGTCAGTCAAATATAAACCGGACTTTTGTTTTCGCAGCAAGTGAACTGAGCGGAGTTGGTAACTGAGCAGGGTTATTGTAGCCGGGAAAGTGGGGAGGGGATTGACGCAGTTGCGCGCACTTTTCGCCATTTTGGCTTGTCAGTACAGGCATGTCTGAGCAAGAGGTTATACTGGCGATTGCGCAACTTGTTATTATCAAGTTTTTGACAAACGAGGGAACAACTTTTTGCATAGTATAGTAACATATGCTGAGACATGGGTTCATCACTATACTCCCAAAGCGAAAATGGCAAATAATCAAGCATGACGTGGCGAAGAAGAGGAAAACCTCAGCCTATGCAAGCAAAAACATGTTTGTCCGCTGGAAAAGTTCTTGCAACCATCTTCTTCAATTGGAAAAGAGTTTTGCTAATCGATTTCTTACATGATCGTCGGACTGTAAATGCTGCCTATTACTGTCAGTTTCTGGACAGTGCAAAAACCGCCTCTACAAACAAAAGACGCAACCGGTCAATCAGAGATGTGATTTTGTTGCACGATAACGCTAGGTCTCACACTGCCGCACTGACTCGTGATAAACTGAACCAAATGTGATGGCATCCTCCGTACAGTCCAGATATGTCCTCTTGCGACTTTCATTTGTTTGGACAACTGAATGAAGCACTAGGTGGACACCATTTTCAGAGCGATGAGGAAGTAGAGGAGTTTGTGTGCAACTAGGCCTTGACAAGACCTCAATTTCTTTACGAAGAAGGTATCTGCAAGCTCCCCACGCGTTGGGAAAAATGTGTAATTATATTTTGACTAAATAAATTATTTTTACAAAAATCCGGGTTATATTTGACTGACCCTCGTTTATGTATTTTAGTTGTCAGTATATTGGTTTACGATGAGGTTTTTGTAATACTGTAGGGAATTTTGAGACTATTAGTTTTTGCTGGAATTGAAACAGAATTTGTATAGTGCAGTATTGTGTATTACCTTAAAAAATTTGGTGAAGGACCGATATGTTTGTGTGGCTCCATTGTTGAATATCTGTGTGATATTATGATTTGACAACAAATTTAGTCTTCACAATAGAATTTGAGCAAATAAACTCATAATACATGTCTGAAGGTCAAAGATATCTTTCTTGGTTATGTCACTATTACATCAAATATTAGATACTTATCGTGACGTTGAAGATACTTTAAATATATTCATCAAGTTATCAGGAAAATGACTTGCTAATATTATTTCATCTAGTTCTATCCCGAGATGTACGGGGGCCGTCCCGGCTCCATAGCCTCGTTCTCGTTTCGCCTCCTACTTGCTGAACTACCAATGCACTGCAGCAAGCCGAAAGAGTCCCTAATGAAACTGTTCAGCATACTGGCGACCATTCGGAAGATGTTAGAGAATTTAAAACAGGGACTCTGTGAAGACGGCAATCCCATGGAGATAACCGAGTCGGACAGGGCAGATTCCCTGCGACTGTGGAACGGTCGCGAAGCGAGGGTCATGCATTCCATCATCAACTGCGCGCTGGCGTTGAAGGACTACGAGTTGGCCATGGAGCTGTTGGGACAGCTTTGCGAGAGGTGGGTATGAAAAATTGTTTACTGACGCCACAACATTTCTTGATTTATAGGGATGGCGCGCCGAGACATGCTCTTCTTTCGGCTCTAGGCAGGCTACATCTACAGCTAGGGGATATTGCGGGTGCGGAGGTTTGTTTTAATGAAGCGGCGGAAGCGAAGGGCGGCGTTCCGGGTGTGCGAGAACTTGTGGACAGGGGACTCCTCTCGGTTGCTCAAAGTCAGTTCGATGAGGCCTATGGATTGTTTCAGCAGGCCAGTACGTTGGAGCCGTCAAATATAATGGTAAGATTTAACTTAAATATTATCTGAAAGTATCAATTTTTTATTATTTTTTTTTGTGTATTTTGTTTCTAATATTTTAAATTGTACTGTGGTAAAATACCCACTTACTATTTCTCCGTCCTTCAGATTTTAAACAATATGGGAGTTTGCCTGCTGTATGGCGGCCATCTAAAGGAAGCCATAGCTGTACTGGAGTCGGCCATCTCGTCTAATCCCATCCACGCTTTGCACGAATCTTTACTATTAAATCTTTGTACACTATACGACATGGAGTCCTCAAAGGGACGTATGAAGAAATTTGCCCTGCTGAGGCAGATCTCCAAGTATCAGGCAGACGCACCCACCACGATCCTTGAAAAGCTGTATGGGTAACACTGCAATTTGTTTCGTGTCGTGCACTGAATTACTATCAGTTTCGTTTATTATTTATTCGGAATTATTTTCGGTATTGTTTGAGATGTTATGGTGTGTCAAGCTCAACTTTGTTATTGGTAAAATTTGCTCATTTGTTCAGTCTGCGATGCCCCAATATTCTTAAGAGGTGGTACCTCGACATTTAAAAGGTTTGATTTAATGTCTATTATTTATTATTCATTGGCTGTTGTTGAAGGTTAGACATATGGGTATCAAAAAAGTTGATGTTTCCAATAATTGACAATAAACGCCTACTAGTCATTTGAACTACTTAAAGTGCAATGCAGTTTTGGATTATAAATTAGTATATTTTGAAAAATTGCGTTTCATAGTAACACCTCGCTTACCATGCAGTTTTAAAAAGATAATTCCTTTCATAATAATACAAATTTATGTCAAATACTTGGATTTGGGCACTAGTGCTAATCCACTATATATTATTCGGAGTTCTTGTATACCATAAACAGTCTTGGAGATATTTGTGACTCCAAATAAGAAGGTATGTTTCTATACTTTGAGGTGCCACATTTTAAATAATATTTGTAGTAGAGGACAACCCTACCCTTGTTACATTTTTATAAAATTGAAAGTTTTAAACATTAGGTCCACAGGAATATAGATTCAGATGCATTTCTAAGAGGTAGATTGCACCAGATATTTCAGAAGTTGTCTTAAGTTTTTTGTTCAATTAAACCTTGTTCCACAAACTGTTTTTTCATTATAGTCATTTTAAAATCCCACTTAGAATCTTTTGTACAATTTTTGAAATATTTCACAAATTGTGGAACCAACACCAAAAACATTGACAAATAATTTCTAGTTGAGTAATAGGACTAGTCGAAACGTAGTGTCTTTTAACGATTGCCTAATTTGATATTCCCTCAGCTTTGGAAGAGTTTCGGAATTGATGCAACGTTATGAAATGTAATAAAGAAGTGCTAGTTTTGCGCGAGTTGCCAGAACGGTCAATTATTACACTACCCTCCTCTGTAAGCTATCATATATTCTTGTACGTTACTTTACCTGGAAAATTCGACAACTTGTGCCGTGCTAGTTACTTATACCGGATAGTATTATATGATGCCGAAAGTTATTGAAAGGTAGCAACCAACACACAATTTTGTCAAGGTTTTTTTGTATATTTATATGTTACGCTCATTTTAATAGCATTATCTGGATGTTTTATATTATATTTGTAATGTGAGAGTGTTGTGTCTCACGTTCATGCAACTGTGATGTCTTTGTTATCTGTATCACCGAATTTTAATAAAATGTACTGCAAGTTTGAAGGTTTTTTTATTTTTGTGTTTTCTTAACTTTTTAAGGATTTCAGGCACTAGGCTGTAGAGATGCAAATATTTTTTAAAGTTTGTCTTAGAGTTTGTTTATGGTAATAGGTTTTTCAAAGAAATTCATATAAAAGTGAAAACTCGTAGTGTCTATCATTTACTTTTAAACATAAGTAGAATGAAACGGATACAAAAATATAATATACCCATTCTTTGCAAAGACCCTTTGTCAGATTTACATCGAATAGTGTTTAGGTGGGGTATTTATAAACAATGTTGTTTATAACTCTTACGTGAAATAATTTTAGTGTCAGTTTGTTTAAACGTTTGGTAATTCCACAAAAACACCTCATGTCAAAATTAGTTTTCTGCAAAAATACTCGATGCTGATGAAAAATAATATATTTTAAAGTCCTTATAATCCAACCAAATTATACTTGGAGAAAAAAAAAATTGTACTTATAATAAACGTAAAAAAATAAATGTGTGAGCAGGGGTGGCGGAGAGTTAATTTGGGGGGTTGAAAAGTTGTGAAAAAAATGCGAAAAACGGGTTTTTTTCATATTTTTCGTTTTTTATTTCTCATTTCTGCAAAAATAATTTAATTTTGACAAAATTTTTGGCAATGTAAATATGCAATTTATTTTAAAATTCGTTTTCAAATAAAGCCAGAAAAAAATTAAAAAAGATTTGCAAAATTTCGGGTTTTTCCGGATATCTCCGGAACTACCCGGAATTTTAAAACTTTCTAAACGGCATATTGTTAGGTATAAAAAAACAACTTTTTTCTAATTTGAGCCACTCCGTATCTCTTACCGTTTCCTAGATCCTAATGCTATCCCATCCTTATCTTGGACACACTGTATATCTATGAATTCATCAAAATTTAAAAAAATAAGTACACTAATCGATCCTATAGAAAAAAAAATATTTATTTTATTTATTCATTATTCGACTTAGATGTTTATATCAATACTGTATAAAAATAAAGTTTTGAGTCAAACAAAAAGACAATTGTTTTTGTATTTTTTCTGTACAATTGAATGGTGTAATCAGCTTTTGAACATTTTTAAATTTAAACAAATTATCAACAATTACTGAAAAAGTCATTGTTGCGTCATTTTTAATTTTTTTTGCATTTTTTTAACATGTTCTTAAACTATGATTACAGATTTTTTTATTTCACCAAAAAGTGTGTCAAAACAAAAAAATTATCACTCGCAGAACTCTACGATGATTTTTCTAAGTAGAATTTTTCTTTCAAAAAAAAAACAAAATTTCAAGCATTTTCATTATTTAAGACTGCTTGAACAAAAGTGTATCTGCAAATTCAGGGTGGTTCCGAGGTAATGGGCCAAAATACATGGGTAGGTTCCCGAAGCAAAAATATTGCGATATAGCCGAACTTACCTTAGTCCAAAAGTTGATAGTTAAAGAGATACAGGGTGTTAAATGTAAAATATTATTTTAGTTTATTTCCATTTTTTATTTCTTAATAAATGCAAATATTCACACAAAATTTTGGGGTTTGGGGTTCTTTGGGTAGAGGAATTGAAATTTGTTCACATTTTGGTTGTAGTTCATAGGGGGCGCTGGCTACCGTAGATTGAATGTGTTGAAAATGACATAACAACTTTTTTTACACAAAAAATATACTAAAATAGTAAACACTAATAAAAAATATGCATTTTTGACAATAATTGCTCAAAATGTCCACCTCTAACTTCAGTACATTTATCAACACGTTTATTAAAAGATTGTCTTATTTTAAAGTATAAATCCTTAACGTGAAATGACTGCAGCATTTAAAACCTGTTGCCAAAGTTTTTCTCAGGTGTTTATAGTTTTTCCATAAACTGATTTCATGTAATCCCAAAAATGAAAGTCTCGGCATTCTATCTCACATTTATGTAGGTATACGAGTATACAATTTAAATTGTAAGAAACTTTACCGCTAAATTAATAATACCTGTAGGTAGTTAATTGTAATTTAATGCATCAGCATTGGAAGTTTCAAAGCCAAATATCTTGAAAACGGTGCGAGACAGCTAATTTCATAAATTATACATTTTTGTGTAAAAAAATTTGGAAAATAATAATTTGATATCAAAGGTGAGATACCTTAAAGTATAAAAAAGTTGTTGTTTTTAACACATTCAATCTACTGCAGCTAGCGCCCTCTATGAACTTTAACCAAAATGTGAACAGATTTGAATTCCTCTACCAAAAAAACTCCAATCCCCAAATTTTAGGATATTTGCATTTGTTAAGGAATAAATGAAGAAAAACTGAAATAATATTTTACATTTAACACCCTGTATCTCTTTAACTATCAACCTTTGGACTAAGGTAAGTTCGGCAAATTCACAATATTTTTGCTTGGGGAATCTACCTATGAATTTTGGCCCGTTGCCTCGGGACCACCCTGAATAAAGAAAATGTGAAAAGGGACACACGTTTGTGCCTCCCAATTGATAAATCGACTGTTATGCATTCCTATCACCAACGCATATCTTTCTTACAATTTTTTAATACTGAGTGGACATCTATTGCATAAACATAATAAAAATTATTTTTGTATTAATATTTTATTACAAAAATGTTACTTGCCGCCATTTTTGCACAACCGTTACGTCTAGTGAGCGTCTCTTTTATACATTACAAAAAATTGTGACCGCTTCACAACACGTTCCGTTGTAGTGCACACAGAAAAATCGCAAACTATTGCCCAACTGTTGTCTGCTGACCGTGCCTATTGAGTCAAATGAATAAAACAAAGCGACTCTTACAGCTGTCATACTGGATATTATTATTTTTCGTGTCTGTGAAATGATTTTGTTAGGCTGGGGTTGGTACCAGTGCCAAAGCACATGCCAATGGTTCTATAAGTTAGGAGGCTTCAAACATGCGCGTTTTTTTAGATTAGGTTCTGTAAATTAGATAAATGGTTGAGAGGGTTGTAATGTCGGTCATACTAAATGATGTCACAATTTTTTATCGAGACAAAATTTAAATTTTGAACCGCCACAAGTAATTTGCAAGTAATATTAAAGAAATTATTTTCTTTACCACCGTTATAGGTTACTGAAAAATTAAAGAGCTACCGCAAAAATCACCCGTTTTTTCACAGTTCAGATAACTAAAGAAAATAGATAAAAATATGTTTTTGGTCCCAAATTACTTGTAAAAAATTAAGATGAACTAAAAGTTTTTTGAAAATTTTCAAAAATCACCCCTACTTAGGGGTTGAAAAGACGCCCAAAATGAAGAATTGAATATTACCAATAAATATAAAAACTATTTGCATGTGATTTTTTTTATCGAATAATTCTTGATACAAAGAAATTTATTCTCATGACTGAAATAAGCATGTTGAATTAGATGGAATCATCCCCAAAAATAGAGAATATCAGAAATAATAGTAAAAATTCCAAAAAATATATATTAAGATAATTCACATGCTAATAGTTTTTATATCAATTGGTAATATTAAATTTTTCATTTTTTGCATTTTTTCAACCCCTAAGTAGGGATGATTTTTAAAATTTTCAAAATATTAAAAGCTATGCTCATTTCAGTTTTTTACGACAAGTAGTTTACGACCAAAAACATTTTTATGTATTTTTTTTTAATTCTCCGCGAATTGTGAAAAAACAGGCGAAAATCACAGGTTTTTTGCGGTCACTCTTTCCGTACAAGTTCGCTATTTTGAAAAATGGGACAAAATAAGAAAGAAGTTAATTTTTTCTTTCTGTAGTTTTGTATATTATAAATCTCTGTGATCTGTTTTGTTAAATTCTCAATAATTCTCTCCTTATTGTTCGTTCTCAACAACATCCTCCAAAAATATTTGGAAGAATTTTGCATACTGACCATAGAAAAATAATAATCGACAACTGTTAACGATTTTAAATGAAATATTGAAATACTGGGAAAAATTTACCGTTTTAATCATTTGATGGACACTCACTGATGCTCACCGACTAGTAATTTTTGGTGAAAAAAGCACTACACTATGTGTAAAATGTACAGTCAGCAAATGGTTTGATTTCAGTTTAACACGTTCAATGCCGATACTTTCCACCATCATACCGCCTAGATCATGAAATCATATTTATGTGAAATCTTGAAACTAGTGTTCTGTAATGTTTAAAATTGGCTGCAAATTTAATTTTTGCTTTTTAAATAGCACCACTTGAAAAGCACCTGCAGGACCACGGTACTGATAACACCCCAGTGCAGCACTATCGACGGGGACCAAACGTCATTTTTTTTCTAAATCAAATATCGAAGAAGAATTAATGAATCGTTTTATATTTTTTTTAAATTAAACTTATTTGATGCAGATTTAGGGAAAATTATTGTGAATCTCATCATCGCCTATTTTCCCCTAAATCAGGGGATGATAAAAACCTTTTATGCATATTTAATTTTCATTTTTCCACACCCTCACCCCTAAAATAGGGATGAAAATATTTTCATTAATTTTTCCTTACCTTGTTTCCATTGAGCATTGATTCCACCATAATTTCACTGTATTTATCGAAGATATAAGATTTTTGAAAGAAGAAAATCGATTTTCACTTTTTTCACCTATTCACCCTTCATTTCCACCCCCAAAATAGGGTGATGATGACATTTGCAATAATTTTCCCTAAGTCTGCATCAAATAAGCTTTAATTTAAAAAAAAATGTAAAACGATTTGTTAATTCTTCTTCGAGATATTTGATTTTGACATAAAAAAATGCCGTTTGACCGACAGTGTGCCATATCGAATGTGTTAAACTTCAAAGTTCAGTTTTAGTAAATTCAAAGAACCGAAACGTCTCCACATCTACTAAACGAACTCGGAAAATAGGATTAGAAATTGAGGACGTAACTAAAATCAAACCCGGAGGGTTTAACAACACACTGATTTTATTCAAAAGAAGAGTTATAATTATAAATGAAAAATAAAAAAGTATAAAGCGGACAACAGTAAAATGTTATATAACAGAAAGACATTTTTTCAACGTCTACCAAGTGAAAATAAAAAAAAAACACTGCCGTTTCGACAAACTTTTATTATATTCCAAAACTATCATCAACATACGAATTTAAATTTTCAATAAACTGTTATCTAACTGAATTCTTGTAATAAATTGTAAATAAATACAAAAAATAAAATTGGTGCTTACTGGGACCCGACGATCTAGCTGTACAAGTCATCTTCTGGATCGTCCTGGAAGTTCGCCTGATCTCCCGCTGTACCTCCCGTGGCGGCCGGGCCACCGGCGGCCGTTGGGAAACGGAAGTTCGTTCCGAACCCACGGCTCTGCTGAAGTGTTTGCGCGAACATCTCGTACTTGCGGATGTCGTTATCTGAGACGGACCTCCTGGCGTAACGCATCGCCTCTTCGAAGTGAGCCCTTGTTATTTCTGGGACCGGATCGTCCTCATCCAACTGAAATTAAAAAAAAAGATATACTTTATTCTGAAGGTATTAAGCTAATTCAGATAAGAAAAATTAATTTTTTTTAGAACGATGTTCTTTGATACTGGAGGTCTAGGCATGTCTAGGCTTATTACACCGAAAATATCTAATAAATAACTAGTAATTAATAATTATCAAAATAAAAGTTAAAAACTGTCTANGATTTATAATAAATTACATTTAAAATAAATAGTTTATGAGAATAAAGGAATTTTTGTAGCAACAAGGGTGCCAGACCTGAACTGATCCCCTCGTCCCTTCATAATGTATAAAAAAATTATTCCATTTGTAAAACCCTTAAAAGCGTACTTCATTGGTTCCCTTGACAGGCAATGATTTATTACTTTGCATCGAATATGATCCTACTATAGATCTTGAAATCACATTTATGTGAAATCTTGAAACTAGTGTTCTGTAATTGTTTAAAATTGGCTGCAAATTAAATTTTTGCTTTTTAAATAGCACCACTTGAAAAGCACCTGCAGGACCACGGTGTACTGATAACACCCCGGTGCCGCACTATTGGTCAAACGGCATTTTTTTGTCAAAATCAAATATCTCGAAGAATTAACGAATCGTTTTACATTTGTTTTTAAATTAAAGCTTATTTGATGCAGATTTAGGGAAAATTATTGCGAATGTCATCATCCCCTATTTTGGAGGTGGAAATGAAGGGTGAATAGGTGAAAAAAGTGAAAATCGATTTTCTTCGTTAAAAAATCTTGTATCTTCGATAAATACAGTGAAATTAAGACGCATTATGGTGGAATCAATGCTCAATTGAAACAAGTTAATTAAAACTTAATGAAAATATTTTCATCCCTATTTTAGGGGTAGAAGTGAGGGGTGAGGGTATGGAAAAATTAAAATTCATTTCAAATATTACCAGTCTTTCAATTTGCTGAACTTCCCCTAAATCAGGGGATGATAAAAACAGCTCCTGAAAAGGAGTTTTTTGTTTTAGTGATGCTTTTATTCGTGTTCAGCAACAACAAAAACCTTTTATGCATATTTTCTTTCATTTTAATTTTTCCACACCCTCCACACCATGTGTCTTAATTTCACTGTATTTATCGAAGATATAAGATTTTTGAACGAAGAAAATCGATTTTTTCACCTATTCACCCTTCATATCCACTCCCAAAATAGGGGATGATGACATTCGCAATAATTTTCCCTAAATCTGCATCAAATAAGCTTTAATTTAAAAAAAAATGTAAAACGATTCGTTAATTATTCTTCGAGATATTTGATTTTGACAAAAAAATGCCGTTTGACCGATAGTGTGCCGTATCGAATGTGTTAAACTTCAAAGTTCAGTTTTAGTAATTTCAAAGAACCGAAACGTCTCCACATTTACTAAACGAACTCGGAAAATAGGATTAGAAATTGAGGACGTAACTAAAATCAAACCCGGAGGGTTTAACAACACACTGATTTTATTCAAAAGAAGAGTTATAATTATAAATGAAAAATAAAAAAGTATAAAGCGGACAACAGTAAAATGTTATATAACAGAAAGACATTTTTTCAACGTCTACCAAGTGAAAATAAAAAAAAAACACTGCCGTTTCGACAAACTTTTATTATATTCCAAAACTATCATCAACATACGAATTTAAATTTTCAATAAACTGTTATCTAACTGAATTCTTGTAATAAATTGTAAATAAATACAAAAAATAAAATTGGTGCTTACTGGGACCCGACGATCTAGCTGTACAAGTCATCTTCTGGATCGTCCTGGAAGTTCGCCTGATCTCCCGCTGTACCTCCCGTGGCGGCCGGGCCACCGGCGGCCGTTGGGAAACGGAAGTTCGTTCCGAACCCACGGCTCTGCTGAAGTGTTTGCGCGAACATCTCGTACTTGCGGATGTCATTATCTGAGACGGATCTCCTGGCGTAACGCATCGCCTCTTCGAAGTGAGCCCTTGTTATTTCTGGGACCGGATCGTCCTCATCCAACTGAAATTAAAAAAAAAAAGATATACTTTATTCTGAAGGTTTATATTTTTTAGAACGATGTTCTTTGATACTGGAGGTCTAGGCATGTCTAGGCTTATTACACCGAAAATGTCTAATAAATAACTAGTAATTAATAATTATCAAAATAAAAGTTAAAAAGTGTCTAAATATAATTAGGCCAGACGGTATCTGTTTCAAAAAGTCCTTATTTGAGTGAATCGTATCCACGGAGATTTTCGACTTTTTGCCTTTCAAATATCACTAGAAATGAACATTTTTCCATGCGCATAAAAAAAAAAACAGGCTTAACTTTTGGCGGCACAATATGTTAAAAAAATTCGAAAAATGTCAAATTTTTCTTCCTATTTAATTATGTATCTTTTCAAGAGTTGATATTAGGCAAAAATGGAAGAGGAAAAAAATGTTTGTAATTAAATTTTTTACAAAATATGACTAGTTACAAATCGAATGAATCATGATTATTATTGTAAAAATTGAAAAAATCCCAAAAATGGGGTTAAAAAACATTTCTTTTTAGGGAATTTTTTTGGGGTCTGTAGATTGGGTATAGGACCTTCATACTTGGCTCAACAAAACTTCATGTTATGTAGAATTATCACACCAAATTTCATCAAAATCGGTTAGATAAATTTTGCATAATAATTTTGCAATCCAGATTTTGAAAAAAAAAATTGCAAATTTTCAAAATTTTGCACAGAAAAAAACCAAGGCCCTTAGATACTTGAAAATTTAAACACATATAGAAGGGCTCTCAAGCTTCCAAACGCTTTTTGAAAAAATCAAATCCGTCAATTAGNTATCTAATAAATAACTAGTAATTAATAATTATCAAAATAAAAGTTAAAAACTGTCTAAATATAATTAGGTCAGACGGTATCTGTTTCAAAAAGTCCTTATTTGGGTGAATCGTATATCCACGGAGATTTTCGACTTTTTGCCTTTCAAATGTCACTAGAAATGAACATTTTTCCGCGCATAAAAAAAACAGGCTTAACTTTTGGCGACACAATATGTTAAAAAAATTCGAAAAATGTCATATTTTTCTTCCTATTTAATTATGTATCTTTTCAAGAGTTGATTTTAGGTGAAAATGGTAGAGGAAAAAAATGTGTGTAATTAAATTTTTTACAAAATATGACTAGTTACAAATCGAATGAATCATGATTATTATTGTAAAAATTGAAAAAATCGCCAAAAATGGGGTTAAAAAACATTTTAGGGAATTTTTTTGGGGTCTTTAGATTGGGTATAGGACCTTCATATTCAAACAACAAAAACAACAACAAAACAAAACTTCATGTTATGTAGAAATATCACACCAAATTTCATCAAAATCGGTTAGATAAATTTTGCATAATAATTTTGCAATCCAGATTTTGAACAAAAAAATTGCAATTTTTCAAAATTTTGCACAGAAAAAATCAAGGCCCTTAAATACTTGAAAATTTAAACACATATAGAAGGGCTCTCAAGCTTCCAAACGCTTTTTGAAAAATTCGAATCCGTCAATTAGGAGAGTTCTGGCACTTGTTTAAACATTGGTCGAATTTTTGTGCTTATAAACAATTAGAATAACTGTGAATATTCAACCAAATAAAATTTTTTTAAAACAAGTTTTAAAAGTTCTTCTTTTAAAAAAAAAACAGAGCGTTTGGTCAATTAATTACGTAGTTATAGCCGATCAAAGTTAACCATCATTTACACTAAATGTACTGGGGCATCCGGGATAATTTTTCGAAAAATACCTTTGGTATTTCGAGTGCTTAACAGGTCTATGTTTGCAATACTTTTCTTCATTGGCAACCTACTTTAAAACGCGTTTAAAGTTATTTATGCAAGCAAGAAATTCAAGAAAATCGTACAGGTGGTGGTGGTGGGGGAAGCAGAAAGCGCGGCCGCTTCGGCCTGCTCGAAATTGAATCGGCGAATTCAAAACCGTGACGCGCTTAAAAAATTTTAATATCTCGGCTTCTAAAGGTCCGATTTTGATTTTTTCTTTAAATCGATATCTCACGATTTAAAACAAACAATTAGCGTATTTTCAAACGCCTATCCTTAACAATTATTGGTCTTTCAACAGTCCGATAATTGTTTATCTTTAAACTTCATTTAATTATCAACTTTATTTTTTTATTGTATCAAAGGTAAGTGCATAAACTTATATGTATACTGTTTATCAAAGATCAAAAATAAATTTATTTAAATATTCTAAAATTGTTTGAACGATTATTTTCAAAATATGTCGAAAATTAGTAAGAGTTAATTTCATTTGCTTAAATTTTAAACCAGATATGGGCAACCTTTGCTTAGCCGAGTGTAATTTCGGGACTTAATCAGGTGGCGGGCGTAGGCAAGAAATAAGTAGGTAGTAGTGAATAAAAAGGCCACAAAAATTTTTTATCCTTTCTTAACTGGTCCGTAAGTCAATTATATTGAGCGAAATGCTTGCTGGAGTAATGCCGCTTCATAATGTATTCTTTTAAAACAGAAACTGTTTCATTGCACAACAAACACATAGGTTTACCACTGTGCAAGATAAAAAAGTATTCATCAGTCCATTTGTCTTGGAATTAATAATAATAATAATAATAATTTATTTAATCCATAAAATCATAAAACATGACATCAGACAGGTCAATAAAAGTCAGTTTACAAAACTACGACACATAAAACAGAAAAAAGTAAAAAATGTGAGTAAAATATATTTTTTAAGTAACAAACTCGTGTATATTATAAAAACATTTCCTAATTAGATAACTCTTAAGTTTAGTTTTAAAAAGATTATAATTTAATTCAGTCTTAATGTCTAGAGGTAACTGATTCATGAATTTAATACCCATGTATGACGGAGATTTTTCATAAAACGATGTTCTATGAGAAGGTATTCTTAATATATTGCCATATCTAGTCTGGTAACTGTGACTGTCAGCGTTTCTAGCAAAATAACTTCCCTTTTTTAGAACCTCTAATATGCACTTATAAATATAAATACAGGGAAAAGTTAATATATTATTTTCTATAAAGTAGGGCTTACAAGAAGTTAGTGAAGGAATTCCAAATATTAATCGGATAATTCTTTTTTGTGAAATAAGAATTCTATTAACTTTGACGCTACTGGCACTACCCCAAACAATAACATTAAATGACAAGTGGCAATAAATTATTGAGTAATAAATGTCAATCAGCTTTTTGGTATCAAATATGGACTTTAACTGTAGTAAAGCATAGTAGCCACTATTTAACTTTTTGCATACATATTCAACATTACTGTTCCAGCTCATATCACAGTCAATAAAAGTACCTAAAAATTTAGTAGTATCAGATAGTTTGATTATTTTGTCATTTACTGTAACATCAAAAGAGGATATACGTTTATGACGGGAGCCAAATTGCATGCATATAGTCTTCTCAGCATTTAATACTAATGCGTTCTTATTACACCAAATTGTAAATTGGGTCGATAAAGTATTTAAATAATTTCGGAGTCCTTCATGACTATCCGCGGCAGCTGCAAGTGTAACGTCATCGGCGTACAATACAGTGCAATCAGTACTAACATGAGTTGGAAGATCATTTATAAATATTAAAAAAATGAGTGGACCAAGGATTGAGCCCTGAGGAACCCCGAGATCAACATTTTGTGTATTGGAATAGGTATTATTAAGCTTTACACATATTTTTCTAAACTGTAAATATGACAAAAGCCACGAAAGAAAATTGCCTCGAAAACCAACTGCATACAACTTTTCTTTCATGAAAGTATGATCTAAGCAGTCAAATGCCATTGTTAAATCGAAATAGAGTGCCCCCACATATTTCCCTTTATCAATATTTTTATAGATATATTCAACAAATGTATAAGCAGCTGTCTCGGTAGATTTCTTAGGACAAAACCCGTTCTGGCATTTGGTCAATATATTGTACTTATTAAGATAAAGAATCATTTTATTGTATATTATTCTTTCAACAATTTTGGATAAGACTGTTGGAACAGTAATGCCTCTATAATTTCGAATACATAATGGGTCGTTCTTTTTAAATATAGGTGTAACTACACTACACATTGACGACATTCTGTGTCCACTTTCCATTTTTTTAAACCAGACATGTTGATAGAATTTGCTGGAATATTTCCCGCGTCGTACACTTGACCGTACGCGAATATGCGATGCAAACTTTATCAATTGTTAAGTAATGAGATGACACGCGCTATGAGCGGTTTATATATTACCCCCAATAAGCAACTAGAATACTCTCGATCGTAGGAGAGTGCTTCAAGCGCATCGGGCGGCATCTGTTGTGGGCTTTTTAATTGTCATTTTTGATGTTAAAAATGTCATTTTTTGACACGCGTGTTAAAAGTAAGTTAGTTTTAACAAGTGTTAAAAAGTAACTTACTTTTAACACGCGTGTCAAAAAATGACATTTTTAACATCAAAAATAACAATTAAAAAGCCCACTTTTAACAGTTTTGTAGAAAAAATAGTGTATGATATACGTGTTAAGTGATTTTAATTTTGTTCATGAAGTTAAAAAACTCGCTATGCTCATTTTTTAATCATCTTACTCACAAAATAAAATCTTACTTTTAACACGTATATCATAAATAGCTATTTTTTACTTTAAGTGTGTAATCATACAAAAATTAATGTTTTCAAAATCCCTTACATATTTTTCCAAGTATATTAATTTTTTTTTATATTCACATTTGCGCCAAGTACCCTGTCTGACAAATCCAGCATGCCATGAGAGAATGGCTTCAGCATCGCCATTTTGTATTATTTATGAATACATATATATTTTTTTGAACACAAGGATGTGGTTAATAACATCCTTCAATATTATATTGATTTCCTTCCATAAAAAAAAGTCGCAAAAAGACGCTTTACTTTAACAATTTTTTTTATACGTAATAAATTTAATTATGTAAAATGTAAAATAACTTTAAATTAAAAAAGTCTGAAGAGAACATGACCGTAAAAATTTTGAGGTTTGTGTAGCAGGGAACCTAGCCTGAAAAAAAATTTCATAAATAATTATTTTCTAGCTTGAATTTTATTTTTTTTTTTTGGCGTCCTGTTCATAGTGTACCACACTGTATATCGTACACTTTTAATATTACTTATTATAACTTTTATATCGTATTCAACAAAGTACCTTTAAATTATTATTATTATTATTATTATCAATAATGAAAAATAAACGTTTATTATACTTACGTCCATGGCAACGTTCGGATTCGTAGCCCTCTCCCTCTCGCGTCTGATCTCGCTCTCTATGCTCTGCCTGATGGCCAGTTTGCAGGCGCGCTGGCAGATTTCCGTGAGATCAGCGCCCGAGAAACCGTGTGTCACTTTGGCTATGTACGTCAGATCTACATCCTTCGCTACTGGGGACTTTCTCAGGTTCGCCCTGAAGATGGCCTCTCTGGACTTTTCGTCCGGCAGAGGGATGTATATCAGCTGATCCAACCTGCCGGGTCTCAGGATGGCAGGATCGATAATATCTGTACAGACAAGAAAGTTTATTAAAAACGTTCGTTCGGACACAACGAATGTCTCCTAAATAAATACTTGCCCGGTCTGTTCGTGGCGCCGATGATGAATACATTTTTCTTGGCGCCCATGCCGTCCATCTCCGTTAAAATTTGGTTGATAACTCTGTCCGCCGCCCCACCGGCGTCCCCTACGTTGCCTCCTCTAGACTTTGCGATGGAATCTAATTCATCGAAGAACAGCACGCACGGAGCGGCTGATCTGGCCTGAAAACCAAAAAATTTCAGTTACTCAGAAACGATATTTTCAATTTCAATGCATTTTTTTTTCTGGATTGTTTATGACCAATTCGAAGAATAATGTACAAGTACAAAAATTCGCTTTTCAAAGATTTTGTTTAAAAGAAAATTACTTAATTAGTTTTCCCTTAAACTGTTTTAAAAATTAATATACAGGGTGTTCCAAAATTAATGCAACAAAATTTGGTCACAGATTCTTAAGACAAATTTAGGGGACGTTTTTTTTTTATTTTTGCCAAGTGGCCCCCTCTTTCGGAGTTACAACCCCCTGAAGTCCGCCCCTAAAAATAATCTTTTTTTTATATCGCAGAACTGTTATACGAGAATCACTAAATTTGGTACACAGTGGTTTTATGACATGTGGAATCTGACGGTGCTACGCTTTTTGGCAGGGAACTCCCTTAAAACAATTTTTCATGGGCCCCATTGTCTTTGGAACCAAAAAAATTTGGTCGCATATATAAATTTGTTAAAAATTATTAGTCTGCTAGAAAGCCAATAAATTAAGAAACTTTTCTGTCGCGATACTTTTTTCGTAAAACGCAATGATTTCGAGAAAAATGTCAAAATGTGATCGAATGCACATCGTGAATCGCGATTTTTCTCAAAAACAATAAGTTTTTAGAAAAAACTAGTAAGAGACAAAAAAGTTTCTAAATTCAATGGCTTTCTACCTAACTAAACATTTTTGAGAAATTCAAATTTGCGACTAAATTTTTTTGGTTCGAAGAGAAGGGGGCCCACGAAAAATTGTCTTAAGGGGTTCCCCACCAAAAAGCGTAGCACCATCAGATTACACACGTCATAAAAGCCCTGTGTACCAAATTTAGTGATTTCTCGTACAACAGGGTTCTGAAATATAAAAAAGACTAAAGGGTAGACTTCAGGGGGCTGGAACTCCGAAAGAGGGAGCCAGTCGGCAAAAAGAACAAATACGGGTCCTCTAAAGAGCAACCGCAAAAAAAGCCATTTTTCCGCCTGTTTTTGAAACTGACAGAAGCGACAGGGAAAATAATAAAAATATTCTAAAAATATCCAAATACTCGTCAGGAAAAATGAAAATGAGCATCACTTTCAGTTTCTCGAAAATCACCCTTATTTAGGGGTTGAAAAGACAAAAAAAGTGAACAAATTAAGAATCATCAACAGTTGTAAAATTTCAAATATTTCTATGTTGTTACCAAAATAATATGTATTATGAACGTGAAAATATCTAATTTCGTATTTGATACGGTCTTGTCCGGATTGAAAATCAACCCATAATATCCCTAATGGGGTGGAATCATCCCCATAAAGCCTAAAAATGCAAAAATATATTAAAAGTTACAATTTTTTTTCTTTTTCTTTTATATGTGATAATTGAACCGTTAATAACCCAGAATCACTAGATCCGAAGGAAAATACCCCTAAATGAGGGTGAAACCACCCCTAAGTTCAACCATCGGCTTCAAAGTACATAAAATAATTATTATGCATGAAAAAAATAGTGTTTCGAAATACATTCATTAGAATAATTTATACACAAGTACTCCCATACCCTCATTAATCATGCCTCTCAAGGGGTAAAATCATCCCCCAAATATACAAAAAATGTAGATAATGTGAAAAAATATTATTTTGATAACATAGAAATATTTGGGGTTTTACAACTGTTGATGAAATAAGGGAGATTTTCGGAAATTTTCGAAAAACTGAAAGTGATGCTCATTTTCATATTTCATGACGAGTTTTTGGATATTTTTAGAATAATTTTAAGATATTTCCTGTCGCCTCTGTCAAAGTCTCAAAACAGGCGGACTTTGTGGTCACTCTTTGTCTTAAGGATCTATTACCAAATTTTGTTGCATTCATTTCGGGACATCCTGTACAGAGTACATACATTTTATTTTGAAAAATCTGTAAAAATAAAGGGACTGCTATATTTGCGTCATTTTTTTTTAAGAATAAAATTGTAACGTGACACTTTGTGCAGCTAAAAAATTTATCCTTAGGGGGGTGTTTTTATGCATAATTGTGAGTGAATTTATAGGATTTAGGAAATTTAGCCAACATATTTCACTTTCATTTTATCTACAATAGTTTTGTGTTATGCCTCGTAAACGGTGGTGACGGTTGACCCAACACATGGAATATATTTATACAAACACTCCCTTTTACCCTTTACCAAAATTCTCAGACTTCCTAGATTTCATTGTTTCCTATTCTAGCAATCCTGAATATGTAATATTTCTCCCATCAAATATTAGTTTTGGTCCTTCGAACCGGATTTTTATATAATTATGAAAATTTATCAATGATTTTAAATTTTTTTCAATCCAGATTACATAAATGTTTCAAATTTCAATCACACTTACCTTATCGAATATATCCCTGACATTAGCTTCCGATTCACCAAACCACATGGTAAGCAGCTCGGGACCCTTGACTGATATGAAGTTGGCCTGGCATTCATTGGCGATGGCTTTCGCTAGAAGCGTCTTACCGCAACCAGGCGGGCCGTAGAATAGCACACCACGGGACGGCTGCATACCAAACTTAAGAAACTTGTCGGGATGTTCCACTGGGTACTGCACCAATTCTTGCAGTTCCTTCTTGACATTCTGTAAGCCGCCGATGTCGTCCCAACTGATGTTCGGTACCTCGACCACAGTTTCTCTGAGAGCGCTTGGACTGCTCTTTGTCATGGCGTAGCGGAAATTCTCCATGGTAACTGCGAGGGAGTTCAGAACTTCGGCGTCAATCTGGTCGTCTTCCAAGTCGATGAGGTCCATTTTCTCACGGATCTGCTGCAGAGCCGCTTCGGAACATAGAGAGGCCAAATCGGCACCTAGCAAACGAATAAAACGGTAAGCTTGGTATAGAAGGATCGCGTTAACGGCTACCTACCAACATGACCATGAGTTTCGGCAGCAATCTGTTCCAAGTCGACGTCGTCAGCAAGCTTCATGTTTTTGGTGTGAATACGTAAGACCTCCAAACGACCAGTAGCATCAGGAATACCAATGTCAATTTCCCTGTCGAAACGACCAAAACGACGAAGAGCAGGATCGATGGAGTTAGGTCTGTTAGTAGCGGCCATGACTATGACGTGAGAGCTCTTCTTCATGCCATCCATCAGGGTAAGAAGTTGAGACACAATACGTCTCTCCACTTCACCATGAGTTTTCTCCCTCTTAGGCGCAATGGCATCCAACTCATCGATGAAGATGATGGCCGGTGAATTTTTGTCGGCTTCCTCGAAAGCCTTACGTAAGTTACTCTCCGATTCTCCAGCTAACTTACTCATGATCTCAGGACCGTTAATCAAGAAGAAGAACGCTCCTGTTTCGTTGGCAACGGCTCTCGCTATGAGAGTTTTACCGGTACCCGGCGGACCATACAACAATATACCGCGTGGTGGTTTGACACCAATCGCTTTGAAAAGTGATGGATGCCGCAACGGCAATTCAACCATCTCCTTAATCTGTGCCAGTTGCTTTCTGCAACCGCCGATGTCGTCGTAACCAACAGCATTTAATGCTTCCTCCTCTTCTTCACGTTTTATCGGATCACCGTCGCAATGGATGACTGTGTCGGGGGCAACGATACAGTATGGTGCTGGATCTGTCTCAACAACCTTAAATTCAACTGCTCTCATGCCACCACGGACAACAAATACGTCATCTTTATGGATGGGCCGGTAAGCTTCCAAGAAGTATGGTTTTAAGTACACTTCGAAGAGGTTTCTAGGATGGATTCAAAATGCAATATAGAATTCACAGAAATGAATTATGTAAATATTTTTCATTTCTTTTTTTGCAGTCACTCTTGCGTTGTAGAAATTGATAATAAAAAATTTAAACATATGTATAAATAATGTTGTTCCTGCTAATGATAAACTGTTTATTTCAATTTAATTTATATCTATAATTTTTAATCAGCTAACCTTGCCTTTGAGCTTTGAGTTACTCTGTCATATAAATTCTACAACCTAAGCAAAGAAATCTATAACATAAACATGAATAATTATGATAACATATTTATAAAACACATTTTTTTTCTTTAAATTTTTTATCTTCTTTGTAAATACTTGTTAGATACACCTGAAATTAGGCATAAAAATTCAAGAGCATTTTACTGAGAAAAAATGAAACTGATTGATATATATTTTGGTATAACACTTGAGACACACATTTTTACTAATTGTGTTTTTAAGAAAAAGTCAAATAATCTATTGTAAATATAACATTCATAAAATAATATTTATACTCTTTTTATGTTAAAACGTTTATATTTACGAGAATTATTAAAAAATAAATAAATATGTAAAAAATCTTACCCTGTGAGACCTTCTACTGTATCATCTATAGGAAGCACATGGATCCTTTTACCATACTTTACATCTGGGCACGGCTGGATAGACACAACATCTAACAAACGCACACGGAGGTTATTTCTGACGTTTCTATTCATGCGGATTTTCTCATCGCTACAAGTGTCATCCGAAAGTACTATACAGACAGTTTCCTTCCGTCTTTTCCCCTTCAATAATACTGTATCGCCACGGAATAGCTGGAGTTCATCCATCTTGGCCTGTGAGAGAGCAACGACTGAATTGTCATCGTTGACTGCTTCTTCAACTAAAAGCCTGTTTGGACGATCTTTCTTACGGAGAATTGCGGTGGCCAAATCATCAGGACTATAATCCAAAAATAAAAATTAATGATACACCATGACAAAAATAAATTTAATGAGGAAAATTATAAACATAAAAATGTTGAAATACCACTTTTTTACATTATCTACTTCTAAATAATCATAATCCATTACGAATTTTCAACCTAAAAAGTTCGGTTTAGTAGATGAAAATAAATATAAATATATTTAGAAGATTCTAGTTCCACCATGATGACATGTACAAAATAAATTGTTTAATCAAAGATACCGGTATCGTAGGTTTTAAAATAATTCGTTTTACTTACTTCTTTCCATCAGCCATAATTACAAATTTAATTCGCAGGTGGTTATTAAAATTTTACTCTTAACTGTATCACAAAAAACTCGAGTCTACTTAAATAACGAAAGCAAATTCACACTGGATATGGACAAAGCTGACGACGATCGTTATAAATCTGACACAGGGAATGACGTAGCTTTTTGATTCTACGTTTTGACAATAGACAGCAGTTACAAAAGTAATAGTCATTGACCTTATAGATAGACAGATAGATGGTACACATCACAAAACATATAATACTCATAATTCATTCTTAATTTTTATAGGGATCTATCAAGCACATAAAAAACATTTAAAAATACAGTAGGTTTGCTTGGACAGGAATAAGCCAATTAATATTTCCATGCAGCCTATATTAGCATCGAATACCGTCGAAAGAAAAGGGCTCTAGAGCTCTAGATTTAAGACAAATCGAATACACCTATTTAAAATCAAATGCGTTGCGATTACGATCAGGTTCTGAAAAATTGGAAACACTCTTTGTCAGAAGGTTATTGTGTTGACATCTTTGACATTTTCGCAGTGTTATTTACATTATTACTTTTAATAAATTCTCTCCATATTAAATTTTTATTTGAACAATGGTTATTTCCTTGGACGATCGTATGTGAACTATTTCAAAATTTTTTACAAAATCCCATACATTTGAGGCATAATGGCAGGAATAAAAGGTAAGAGGTTGATATCAATAAACTTAAGAAATCAATGAGGCTAAAGGTAATTTTAAGCATGATTCATTTCCTAATTTTTTTAGATGGAGGCTAGAAAATGTATAATACATTATTGTAATACCATTGTTATAGTACAACAAAATCACGTATATATAAAAGAAATAATGATTTTTACATGTTTCAGTTGTAGAGAAATAGGACTTGTATCTTTCACTGAATTAGAATCTTTCTTTATGTTGACGAAATTAGTTGTCACTGTAAATAGTGTAAATCTTTATTGTATGTATTTATGTTTTATTGTTTCAAACAGTCTTGTTTCGTTTACTAACTTCAGGAATTAGGCAAACCATGAATATGAATAATTTTACTTAGAATCTGTTCAAATTTATTTGAAAGTGTATACATAAAAATTCTAATACTCAAATAAATTACTTATATAATGATAAAAGTAAATATGTGTTAAATAGAGCAGCTATAAAAAAACTATTTCGATAAATGATATTTACGATCGAATGCTGTTGAAATGAGGTTTTATAAAATATTGTTAGATACTCTAAAAATGTTATTGTTATAATAGCTTACATATCGAATTGGAGAATAGATTGTACAATAATTTTTATATAAGATTTTGAACTTATATATTTGCTAATATAATCTCATTTTTGTTCTATTGCTGTCTTTCCTCCTTTGGACGACTGTTGCTATATCCAGCGTAAGTATTTTAAATAAAGTTTAATTTGTAGCAGAAAAATGCAGTTTCTTTCCACAAATATATTTCAGGTTAATAACTTTGGCCTTTTCTGGTTCCATTGGAATGACATTAGTGATCCTGGCATGTGCTTTGCCAAACTACGGGTAAACTGTACAAATTTGAGCTTAATCATTTTGATATTTTCAAATTTCTTATTTCCAGACTGTGGTGGCCTTTTTTCGTAGTACTATTTTATGTCCTAGCGCCTATTCCAACTCTAATGGCCCGGCGCTACTCTGACCACTCTGGGGGCAGTAACTCTTGCATGGAAACTTGTATATTCATCACGATGGGCCTAATAGTGAGTTCGTTTGGTCTTCCAATCGTATTGACTAGAGTTGGCACCATTGCGGAGGGGGCGTGCTACCTCACAGTAGCGGGCAATGTCGTCGTGTTCGCGACACTGTTAGGATTCTTCCTGACATTTGATCAGGATGAATCGGACTATAATATGTGGTAGTTTATATGTTTGACGATAATAAATATACATAACTCTGTACTCATTTATTTACTTATTTAACTTAATGTAAGGATAGTAAGTTTTGTAAGCCTAAATAAAAATATACATTTTTTTTTTGAGGTATATTAAAATTTTGTTTTTCCTATCCTTTTTTTTTAACAAAATAGATGGTGAATACTAATGTATGACTTACATAATAATTTTAAATTGAGACGTTTAAAAATCCTATTGGGTCTGGTCGGGAATGATATCCTTTAATACATTTTAATTATGTAGTAATTATGGTTCAGAATAACTCATTTAACATTAAATATATGGAAAATTATCATGGTATGTTTACCAAGTACTTTAATTCTTTTATTTTTAGATGCCTGTATTTAAATATAATCAATAACTTTATTGACAAAGGCAACAAATATTGACAATCAGGAAGTATAAACAAATTTGCTATTCATGTAATACTTGTAAGTACATACTTCCTCATAAAAAATATTAAAAACACATTCACTAATAAGGCTAGAGCAATCTAGGAAGTCGTATCATAGTTATTAACTGGAAATTGAACTGGTACCTGGGTTAAGAATGGACATTTTTTTAACAGAATTGATGTCAATATTCAAAATTGTCAGTTAAACAATCATTGATTAAAGTTATCACGGAAAATGAAGAAAAAATAAAATGCATAAGAAGGCTGACGAAAAGGATACACAGAAAGGATGTATTCAACGTAACTGCAAAAAAACGTATGTTTCAATTTTTTATTATACCACATAATCAAAATGTCACCTAGATGAGATTCTAGAATACTTAAGTCATAGAACTGAAAAATATACAGGTAGGTACAGTTTTATAAATATTCCTACAAAAGCAGCACATATTCATCCTTTCAAGTTTATTTTTTCAAATCGATTTTGACTGACATGTTAAAAAATACCTGAGTTATCGATTTTCATTAAAGCGCTATCTAGCGTACAATTCGTGAACGATTTTTCCGTCGAGTCGGCGACAAGATGACAGCACCTACAATCACGTGAAACTTCAGTAATGATCAGCTGTCTTCTGGGGAGTGGTTGACTACGAAAGGGTGTTTTGGTGGTTTTTTTTCAACTTACCCAGGTAAATTTACGTTCCGACCGCGTCAATCAACACACAAGGTAAATAGCAATTAAACATTATACGAATTGGTCAAACTGACCGCATTGGGGTATTAATTAAAGGTAATATATATTTCAAAAATATTGACCACCCCTGCTACCCTTTCACTACAATGACCTATATTTAGCTTCGAAACTAGAATAAAATGCAACCCTGAATGTCCAGTAAATTAAAACGTTTATTTAGCTCTTAAATTAATTAAGAAATCAATTGATAACCTATAAATGTAATATATATGTTTTTATTTTAATGTGAAAATATTCATTAAGGGTGAAATGCTAACTAACTGCCTTTATTTGTTCAGTGCACTCAAATGAAAAAGGGCGATAACTTTGAATTATGTATTATTCCTAATTACCTCTAAATTCAGTCACATGACATTTCATGATCAATTTTTAAATTGCATTTTAAGGCATATTTAGCAACATGAAATTGAAAATATTGAAGTAAGTTACCCTTGAAATGAAGCTGTATAATTTTGGCAAAGTTTCTCTATTATTTTAGAAAGGAAGACGACTCGCGTAGCATCTGTAGCACAAAATCGTCGTTTTGCTGCATACCACCAGATAAGGAAATGACGGAATATTGGTTAATATCCGCCCCAGGTGAAAAAACCTGTCAGCAGACATGGGAGACGATGAACAATCTTACAAATAAGCAGAATAGTTTATGCGTAAATTATAAATTTCATATTCCAGATTTGAAGGTAATTCTCCAATTATCTTTGCAAGCTATCAATTAATATATTTTTTTATAAAATGTTTCTTGTAACACCTCTTCGGCATCTTGGGCGTCTATTCCTACACAAAAATGACTTGAAAAAATATCTATTTTTAATTTTTTAGGTCGGTACCCTAGATCAGTTGGTAGGTTTGTCCGATGACTTAGGAAAACTGGACGGGTTCGTGGAACAGGTGACCCGCAAGGTAGCGCACTATTTGGGTGAGGTTTTGGAGGACCAGAGGGACAAGTTGCAGGAAAACCTGATGGCAAATAACAGTATGTTGGTCGACTAAATTCTTTTTTTTTTTGGGAATGACGATTTGTATTGAAAGTCGCATGTTGTTTTTGTATATTCAGTCAACTAATTCTTTTCAAAATTCATTCAAGTCAGGGGAAAATATGGAATAGCCGTTGTAGAAGAAATACGTCTTATGTTTCGGAATTTCATATAATAGACAGTTGCACTTGATTACAGTCGGAACTACTATTAGAAAGACATATTTCTTCTTCTTCCTCCATATGATTCATTAACTAATTTAATGGAGAATCAATCGTAAGAATGTTGTATGGTGCATAAAGCAGTATTGTTCCGATTTGCTAATTTAAATGAAAAGTTCTTTATTTTTAAATGAGTGGCTTAGATGGATTTCCATTAAAATATTTAAAGAATTTTTTTTTATTGATATTTGATACACCGCAGTTCAATTTTGGATATATACTTTTTAATTTTTGGGCTTTTCGAAAACAGCAGTTAACGCTTAAAAAAGAAATGTTATTTTCATTCAGTTTTCCTTAAATTTGCTGTAGGAATCTCTAGACACTAAATTAATTCATTAGTGTTTTATGAGACCGTACCTTTAAGACAACATGATTTTATTAAATCATATGTTCAAACGAGATATATCAAACTTGGACTGTGGTCAGTTGAACCGAACCCTAACTTTTGTGATGGCATGCACAACATTAACAAATAACCAAAACTAATCCAACTAACCACCACAGACACACGTGCGAGCATGTCTCTGATTTTTTTGATTCAGTACATTTTACAAAACTACACAAATTTTACAATGTCAAATTTGCTGCCACTCGACAAAACGTTAAGGCCGTTCAAGTTTCCTGAGCTCGGGTAGAACATTTCGAGTCGGCAGTTTGGATGTTGAAATCATACCGAAAAGAATATTCGTTGCTAAAGTTAGATGTTTTTTTTTTATGACAGTTGCGATAAAAATAGCCGATTATACAGATTTTGTCATTTTGTAACTCAAATTCAATGTTTAGCAAATCAAATTCATTCTGCTGAAAACAAACAATCATCTTTCACTATTTATTACAACGAATCGGTTCAATACTCCTCTCTAATGAAAAAATACCTAACAATTCTTATATCAATAATAGCTATATTTCAGTATGTATTTGATATAATTTCAATTAGCGATTTACTTGCATATGTTCGAGATATTTTTATATTAAATTCTTTAATAAGTTGTTACTTATTTACAAAACCAAATGTGTTGATGGCGTCTAAATTTCGCCTCGAAATTGTTCTCCTTGGCCGACGGGTTGTCGGGAGGCCCATCCGGGCCTCCTGCGAACCCCTAGTGAAGCTTGAAACGTCTGGGCTACACTGTTAGATGATAGCGACTGGGACGGGGGGCCGAGTAGTACCTCGAGTAGTACCGGCGATCTGGTACATGGCTTGTGCTTGTTTGGCTGTGCTTGTGACGGTTGTTTGGTGGTGGGGGCAGGTGGGCGGCCGCCCGAGGACGACGGCGGTGGGGGAGGCCATCTGGTGGAGGACAGGGACTCGGAGAGCTCATCCGGCTTATATGTGACGCCGCTGCAATCGCCTTCGGACAGTACGAGCTCTACTCCCAACCAATCCCACCCACACGTTGACATGTTCCTACCCGTACTAGGGCCAGGTCAGTGGCCGGAGACCAAGCGCTTGATGCACACAGGCTTCTCACGCCAGGCGGCCGGGTCCCGCTCTTCGGGCTGGGTGGCGGGCAATCTTTATTCGGCTTTTTTGGACGACGGAAAAAATCAGTAACAGTAATGATACAATAGAAACTCGATTCCGAGGTGCTCGCTTCACTTCAAATAGATAAAACGGTAGTTATAAGGGATTACATGGGGATTTTTTTAAAATATCTGTCCTGCCATCCAGATCTGTTTCCGCCAATTTGGTTCGTGAAGGTATTTTGCTCACTACATACATAAAGATTAGATAGTTCATATTTGCCAAATATCATGGCTGTGTGGGACCTACATTTCGTTTAATTGGTTAGTCCTTTAAAATCCGAAAAATCTTGTCAGGGGGACAGATATTTTGGAAGTGCTTAAAATTCTCTTTTTATTAATGTTAGTATGTTAGTAAAGATTAATAACATTCGGAAGAAAAAAAATATATGTCACCTGTGGATATTTATCAAATATTTCTAAAAAAATTAAATAAATATAAATACAAGGAAATTAAAGTGGATAAAGAAGTGAATTCAGCGAAAGAAAATAATCTGGAGTATACGGACACAAGTGAATGTTAATAGCACAATAGATATAACAGCAAAAAAACAAATAATGGTATAGAAAATTGTATAAGCACTGCTTTGTAAACTGTATGGAGTACCTTTATGCCATTATAAATTGCTATTACAACTAAATCGGTAGAGCGTATAAGTGCTTATATGACATTAATTAACATTGGTTAAATTTCAAGGTTTATTATAAGTTTAGGTAACGAGGGTTCAAATAAAAACGTGGTCAAGTTGGTTCTGAAAATTTGGACGTAGGGCGTAGCGTATAGCAAATGAACTTAAACGTCATCTGTCAAAGCGCTATATCGCCGCTATCAATTTGAATATTTTCGTTTTAAAAAGCGTTTAAAATGGTGTTTTCTCAAGAACAAAAAGTGTTTATCATAGAGTCCTACTTTAGAAATGGACGCAAGATTGATGGAATATGGAAGTATTCTATTGAGGAATGTTTCATAGAATTTCAAAATCAATTTCCCGGCGTTGTTGAGTACAAAATTTTTCAAAGTGCAGTTCAGCGTTGTGTTAATGTTTTTCGTGAAACGGGCAGTGTAACAAGAAAAGAAGGAAGCGGCCGACCTAAAAAGCGGACTGAAGAATTAAAAGAAAATGTCCAACAAATAATGGAAAATGCGCCAAGAACTTCTGTACGTGTTTTATCACAAATGGTGGGAGTATCAGTCGGTACCTGCCACACAGTGTTAAAAAAAGATTTGCGTTTGTTCTCCTATCGTTTAACTTGTCAGCAAGAACTTCATGAAGTTGATTTTCCGCGACGGGCTGTATTTTGTGAATGGTTTTTAAACAACTACGGTGAACTTCATAATATCACCTTTTTTTCTGATGAAGCCTGGTTTCATTTAAGTGGTTACGTAAACTCACAGAATATGAGAATGTGGTCTTCTGAAAAACCAGATAACTTTTTTGTCGAGGGCCCTCTACACGCTCAAAAAATTGGAGTTTGGTGTGCTCTCAATCGAAGGAGGATTTATGGACCTATTTTTTTTAATGGTACTCTTACTGCGCAAAGGTATAGAGAAGAAATTATCGCTCCTTTTGTTAACCAGCTGGAAGAAAACGAAATTACAAACTTTTACTTTCAACAAGATGGCGCAAGGGCACATACGGCAGGCGAGACGATGAATATGTTGAGGGAAGTTTTCCAAAATCGACTAATAAGTCTCAATGCTGAACATGAATTTCCACCGAGGTCATGTGATATTACGCCGTGTGATTTCTTTTTGTGGCCTTACCTTAAAAACACTATTTTTGAACTGCCTATTCCTGATTTAAACCATCTGCAGGCTCGACTTATAGACAAGATTCGTGAAATTAACAATACCCCGAGCATCTTAGAAAATGTCTTTAATTCTTTGAGGAACAGGTGTGAAAAGTGCTTGGAACAAGGAGGGGGACACTTTCAGCAGCTGCTTTAATTTATTGTTATAACAAGGAGGGGGACACTTTCCGCAGCTCCTTTAATTGTTTGTTATTGTTATCACGATTATTCTTTAAAATAAAGTTATATAGTCATTAACGTTATTGAAACTGACAGCTGCTATACAGCTCGTTGAGAAATGAGGTTAAGTTGGTCGCTATAAGCTACTCCCTACGTCCAATGTGTCAGAGCCAACTTCGACCACGTTTTTATTTGAATGCTCGTTATAAGTACGCTACCCATTTTTAAATCGTTAAATATAAAATTATTTCCTGTAGACTTGATTCCTTTTATCATATCCGTAACTACTAGACCTACAGACATTTTGTCTTTTTACCATAGAAATATTCCCAAGGAGATTTTAAATTTATTTAAAAGTTCTCAAAAGCCGCAATAAATTCCAGCCACCATCTGTCCCGCTGCCCAACAGACGACCATCTCGTTCGGCAGTGGCTGAGTCGGATCCGGGCACAATTTCATTTGTTGTTATGATTTTTGGTTGTTTTTGAGGCAGTGCTGCGTTCATACTTATAAATTGATACAATTGAATCCCATTTGATTGGTTGTAGTGTTAAAAATATATATTCTCTGTATACACGTACACAAATCACTCCTTCTTGGCTTACATATACGTAGACTGTGGTATTGTTTTGATCATGTTCGCTTCTGGCAAATTTGTTGGTGGAAAAATTCTGCAACGTTTCTTTTCTGATTTATAGTACTAACAGGGCACTAACATAGATTTTTGTTTGTATGTGTTTCGGGATGGTGAAGGTAGAATTTTAAAAACAGTGTATAGTTCTATGTTCTATGTACATGTAGTCTTATTAGTCTTAAATATACAGGGTGTTACAGGAAAGTAGGACGAACCACATATTCTTTGCTAAAGTCAGTCTTTCAAAATACAAAGCGTCGAAGATAAAATTTGAAAAAGGTTTTATAATTAATCCTTTTATTTTTTTAAGACATTCAGTTGAAATTTTGGATAGACTTGTATCACATGATGGCACACTTTTCTTATTCTTATAGAATTTGATGTAAGACTTGATTTTTTTAATTTTGCGACTACTTTGGATATATTAGGATGATCTAATTTTTTGGGTTATTTAAATGATAAAGAATAATTGATTAAATTCATTTTAGAAACTAAAAAAACTAACACATTACCTTTTGTAGACGTTTTAATTATAAAAAATATTGACGGATCTGAATCAAGTGTCGATAGGACATCAACAAATACTAGTAGGTATTTAAATTTCGATTCAAATCATATAACCACGAAAAAGATGTAACAAAATGTTTATATGATAGAGCAAAATTAATTTCTTGAAAGATTCAAAGTGTATCCGAAAAATTAAAAACAATGGCAATAGGCTTAATATTGGAACAGTTTTCCAAATCAATACGCAAAATACAGGGAATATAGGGACTATATTAGAAAGAAATACTAAATAAAAAAAAAGGAATAGCTGAAAATGTTAGACAATATTTTGGATATGTGATTTTTTGTTCACTACACTTGGGGTTTACCATAAGAAAATTAATATATTTTAAAATTTCGGCTTTATATGAATATTGTTTTGCGTAATCAAAAATCTCACGCTGAGAAAAAAAACACAAATACAAAATACACATGACCGATATTGTGCACTTCAAAAAGTTGTTGATGTTTCAAAAATCTATCCGTTTTCGTCTTTTAAACTGATAATGACTTCTTTATTTTAAAAATTAAAAGTCAGTATCAGTTCTGATGACGAATACAGATTGATTTTCAAAACGTCAACTTTTTAAAGATCACGGTATGTAGTGCTACATATTTTGTATTTGTCTGCTTTTATCCGTGTGAGAATTTTGATCAGGCAAACTAATTTTCATAAAAAATAATCCTAATACTTTGGCACGATGGTTTATTTCAATAATTTTTTTCCACAGGTAGTAAAATGCAAATAAATAATGAAAAAAAAAACAGGGTAAACATAGTAAATCAATATTAAAAATAAATGTTCAATAGCACCTTCACGAATGCATATTTTAATGCATTTTGAAAAATTTGTGGTTTTAACCTTCTGTAACTAATTTTCATAGTTGTTAAACTGAAATTAGAGTTAATTTGGCTATTAGACGTTATACAGAAACTTATTCAAATCGGTACTATTTAAGGATATTTTTGTAGATTTGTAACGTCCAAATTTTAAGTTTGGAATTGGTAAATTAAACAACAGTGAGTGGGTTTATCTCACAAGTCCAATACATTGTATATCTTGTAAAATAAGCTTTAAACCAAAGTTTTACCAGAATGAAAAAAAAAACAGATAGTTTAAGGTTTAAGATAGTTAAAAAAACAAGGGGTTCAATGAGTATTACAACCCGTTTCCCCTTTATATGTTGGCATAGAATAAGTCTCTGCAAAATTTCAACTGAATTTCTTAAATAATAAATTACTAATAATTTTTTTTTAGTTTTAATTTTTTGAAGAAGAAGCACCTAAATGAGTCTTATTATTTTAGCTCAATAAATCTGTGGTTGACCTACTTTTTTGTAACCTCCTCCACATAAAACTATAATGGTTGAATTTGCCGATTATTTTATATCGTATATTTGGCTTGGGAAGGCTAGATCCGAAGCTAGAACTGTTTGACAGATTTTCCTTTGTAAGCTTGGCATAAATTAAAACTACATTTGACCTACTCTGACCGTTTTGGAAAGTACATTATTTCTATAAAAGAATTACATTTGTCGGACAATTCTGGTGTCTAACATCACCAAGCGCTTCTAGCGGCTTGCAATTCACGATGCTTATATCCATTAGAAGTTAGTGCTGAATTTTGAGCCCCATTCATCTTAAACTTTTGCGCTGGATGCATGCGCAATTTGAGCATATTTCTTAAAATATGATATGACCTATAATAAATCTTAAGTGTGGGAAATTTTGAATTATTTAAATTCTATTTCCACCATCTGCGAACACTTTTAGCGAGCTTGTAGGCAGGATATGCGTTTGATTGCCATTATGTTTGCAAGAATTTTCCCCCAATGATCGATATCCATGTTCTATGAAATGTTGTGTGTGTCTGGCTAATCAGAATCGCTTATTTTGTACTTTCTCCGTCTAATTATAGGCGATCTTCCCACTTACCTCACTAGATTCCAATGGGACATCGCCAAATACCCAATTAAGCAATCCCTCCGCAATATTGCTGACATCATCAGCAAGCAAGTGGGCCAGATCGATGCCGATCTAAAGACTAAGTCTTCGGCCTATAATAATCTGAAGGGTAGCCTTCAGAATTTGGAGAAGAAGCAGACGTAAGTATGGTTAATGCAAAGTTCGTACCAAAATTAACGAGCAGTTAAAAATGTCCCACAGTTTGAAAGTTGATTTGACATTTTTTATTATCTTCCTTAGCAACAGTGTCGAGATAGAAATCTTTGTAAGATGTTTGAAATTTTAGGATAAAACTCTCCATCTTATATAATAAAATAAACCTATAATTAAAAAAAATGATCGTCATCTGATTACCTGTTTCTGAGAAAATCAGCTTTGAAGTTGTGGTCCATTATTAGTTGTGAGTTAATTTTGTCGTGAAGTGGAAAAAGCTTTACTTGGTACTATTTACTTCATTGTTTTAGGGGGAGTTTACTCACTCGGAATTTGGCCGATTTAGTTAAAAAGGAATACTTCATTCTAGATTCCGAATACTTGCAAACTTTGCTGGTAATTGTTCCTAAGTAAGTCGATAACCATATTTAAAACAGGTGCAATTTTAAAATTTCTTTAATGCATTTGAGGAAAATCGGTAAACTTTTTTGAAGAATAAATGAATACGCTCCGTGAAATTGTCCTAAATCGTTGTACGTTCGCAGATCCCAGTTCCACGAGTGGAACACCACTTATGAAAAGATCACAGATATGATAGTGCCCCGTTCGTCGCAGCTAATCACCCAGGACCACGAATACGGGCTATTCACTGTAACTCTGTTCAAGAAGGTAGCAGACGAATTCAAGTTGCACTCTCGCGAGAAGAAATTTGTCGTTCGTGACTTCAACTACAATGAGGACGAAATACTGTCTGGCAAGAATGAGATCACAAAGCTCGTCACCGACAAGAAGAAGCAGTTTGTAAGTAAATACATTGGTTCGCATTCAATTATTTTGCAGACACGCAAAGGTAGTTAATTTCCGGTAAAGGGGTTTTTCTTTTTAGGGGCCGCTGGTAAGATGGTTAAAAGTTAATTTCAGCGAATGTTTCTGTGCCTGGATCCACGTGAAGGCCTTGAGGGTGTTTGTGGAATCTGTACTCAGGTAACAGGTTGAAAAAGATGTCTTTTTGTTTTACTTAATCGCTTTTGCTGTAGATATGGTTTACCGGTCAATTTTCAAGCTATCTTGATTCATCCCCATAAAAAGATGACGAAACGTTTGAGGGACGTGCTTAACCAGCTTTACGGTCACTTAGACAGTAGCGCTGCTCTTTCCGGGTCAAACGTGGATGTAAGTTTTGATTTAGTGTTTTTTTGTTGGTCGTAGAATTAATTTTTAATGTCGCTTTACAGAGTGTGGACATTCCTGGCTTAGGATTTGGCCAATCAGAGTACTACCCGTACGTCTACTATAAAATAAACGTAGACATGATCGAGACTACAAAAGTTTAGACTCCATATTCCATAACCTTAAGTCCATAGGTTTACGTTATACCTAGGTCATAAAATTTTAAACTCCTAAAGTACTGCATAACTACAGTTGTTAGTATTTGAATGTTATATTCTGCCAAGGCACATATTTATGAAAAGTAGGGCTGTTTAAATAATTTCTTTTTTGTCGAAATATTCTCTGAATGTATATAACAGTATTTTTGCATACATGTAATAAATAATGTATATTGTGCAATACCGTTTTAATATAGCGCGCTTTTGGGTAAACTTTTGACAATATTTTAAATAATGAGAAATTGCGTAATATTTACAATAGTAATTGTAAGTATCTTTTTGTTATTTCAGACAGTATTGAATTTGTTGTACATAAAGTGTATATACCAAAATATATAAACAATAAATAATTTGCTATTAAGATCATTTTTACTAAAGGAGACAATTCCATTGTACTATAAACTTCTCCTTAGTTGAACTTGTTAAAGTAGGCATTATGGTATTAAGAGGTTATTTGTTCCATTGTAATGTTGTTAGAATATTAAAAAAACTCAAACTGAACACTATTTCATTTATGTACGTTTTTCTTTGTTCTTCAAATTTAATTGAGAATGTTGTCAAAATTGCAAGCTTACATGGGAACTTTATAAATTAAAAATTTTATGCATAAAGCATATAGAAAAATTTATAGAATGAAAAAGGTAAGTAATATTTCTACCTACTACATTATAGGTGCAAGGTGAATATACAATGAGTGAGATATAACCTAAAAAATATATTGTTTCAATGCCTACTGGCAAAGTGTTCTAATCTGCACATGCTATGAGAGTATGACTATCTACTACAGTAGGTAAAATAGACTTTAACCAATGAAATTGGGAGAAACAACTACTCTGCGAGCTGTATTCTCTGTTCAGCACTAAATTATACCCTTAGCCTAGCCCTTAGTAGCTACTAAAATCATCCATCAGCACCATCACCCGACGGACTAGCTTTGAACTTGCACTTGCAAGTTCTTATTATGTGATGAGAAGTCTGATTTAACTATTAGCATCCATTAAATTATTTGTCGCTGTTGTTTACACATTTGGAATTAAAAAGAACATTAGGTGGATCCATATCTTAATTGTCATTGATATGGCATAAAGATAATTACAAGATCACTATTATCATGGGTATTAACGCTTATTTTGCACCAGTAAGTGTCAAGTAACAAGATAACGTATATTTTGTAGGTTATATCTCACCCAGACTAAATATGTCGATAGATCCGAACAACTAAATCGTTCGTCAATTGTGTCACCGATGGCATACTAATGAGAAATGATAATCTCAAAACTAGTCTATGACTGCCGATGAACGATCTTAGTTATTTACTAGATATTGGGGGGTGTAAGTAGTTTCCCAGAATAAAATAATTTTATTTTGGTATCTAAATGATAAACTATTGATATTACACTTTATTTTCTTAATAATTACATTATAAAACCATATAAAATTGTATAAACTAACCAATGAAATTCATCACTACTAAATGGAGTACCACGTGAGCAAAAATAAAGTCTGCAAATCCTCTTTCCGGACTAATTCCAAAGAACTGGTTCTTATTTTCTGGATTCACCTGCAGTCTCAGGCACACTAAAAATAAACATCCACTACAATACATGCTTCGAGTATTCATTTATATTTGCTATCTAAAGACGAATGGGAAATATTTTCCTAAAAATGTGATATTATTGCTTACCACCTAATACAAAACAGCTCACACAAGAGATAAATCCACTAAGGAATGAATTGAATGGGAATGTTCCAACGAGGAGGCAATAACCAAATTGTACAATACCGGTTAGTAAAATGTATAAGAGGTAGGCATCAATAACTTTTAACTTCTTAGGAGTTTTGCTATGATATTCATTGTAAAATTTGGATATAACTGCTGTAAGTTGTGCCATTTCGTGTAAAAAATTAGATGTTTTAGATACTCGGCAAACTGACGTGTCACAAGAGGTTGTTGTTGTTATCAAATTACATATAATCATAATCGAAAATAGAATGAGAATGAGGTATTCTTACATAGAAAGTAGAAAATTATTTTGTTTATTATTAGCATTAAGGAATAATAAGGAGTTAATTCTTTTATGAAAATTAAGCAAAAATATATAAATATAATTAATAAAATTACTCAATTTGAATTTATTGTTGCATTCTAGTCTAGGAGACTTTATATGTAATTCCATACTAGTAGTAGATCGTCTGTCTTCGAGGTGAAGAAGAAGAGGAAAAGAAAGCATAACATAACCTTGTTTTTAAGTACTAAACCTAAAACTACTTTTGTTTTTAATACTAGTAATATGCAGAAATACGAGAAGCTTGAAAAGATCGGGGAGGGAACTTATGGGACTGTATTTAAGGCGAAGAACCGGGAGACTCACGAAATAGTCGCTTTGAAGAGAGTAAGGTTAGACGACGACGACGAAGGAGTTCCTTCGTCTGCTCTCCGCGAAATTTGCCTACTCAAAGAACTCAAGCACAAAAATATAGTGCGTCTTTACGATGTATTACATAGTGATAAGAAACTCACCTTAGTGTTTGAACACTGTGATCAAGATTTAAAAAAATACTTCGATAGTTTAAACGGTGATATTGATCTAGATGTTGTAAAATCCTTCATGTACCAGCTGTTACGGGGATTAGCCTTTTGCCACAGTCATAATGTCTTACACAGAGACTTAAAGCCTCAAAATCTGCTGATTAATAAAAACGGTGAACTGAAACTAGCTGATTTTGGACTGGCCAGAGCTTTCGGTATACCTGTAAAGTGCTACTCTGCTGAAGTTGTTACTTTATGGTACCGACCTCCTGATGTTTTATATGGAGCGAAACTTTATACAACATCCATTGATATGTGGTCTGCGGGGTGTATCTTCGCAGAACTGGCGAATGCTGGTAAATATTCCTTATTTGATATATAAACATACAAAGCAGGTATGTTGTAAAATATAGTCACCTGTAAATGAATTTTCCTATTTTCTGTAAGTTACTTTAAGTTTAGATTTGAGATACGCAATGAAAGTAATTTTAGGAAGACCGCTATTTCCTGGGTCAGATGTAGATGACCAACTGCGCAGAATATTCAAGTTGCTTGGAACACCAACCGAAGAAACTTGGAGTGACATGGCATCATTACCAGATTATAAGCCCTTTCCTGCATATCAGCCTAATATGAGTTTGTCTCAGGTAAGATTTCATTTTTTGAAGTGTACCGCTTTTTGCTGGTATATAAATAATTCTAGGTAGTGCCTAAGTTAGGCAACAGAGGTAGAGATCTGCTTCAACGATTGTTAGTGTGTAATCCCATGGGTAGAATGTCAGCTGAAGATGCGATGGCCCACCAGTATTTTAGTGATTTAAATCCAGCCATAAAGAACGATAGATGTTAAGATTTATATTTTCTTACGATTCATAATGGTAGGTAGACTTCATGAAATTTGTCCGGCATAAGTATCTCATTCTACAAAGTAATGTATAAGTATATATATTTATTTTTTAAATAGGTAATCAATTTAATTTAGTTTTATCTTCGTAATTATCAGGTAAGGGAACATATTGAGTTAAGTGGTAAAGGCTGATTTGCTGATGTCTTGAAATTGTTATATTAATTTTGGTTTTAATTAGAAGTTAAATGTTAAAAAATATATATTTTTTATTTTATGTATGTTCAGATCTAGTCATGTAACATTTTTAAAGGAATACAAATATAAAGATATTTGATATTTTCTCTTTTTATTTATAATATTCAAGTTAGCGACTAGTACAGAGACAGCTTGTGGTTTTAATTATTTTTCATCTCGGACAAACAGGTTATTGAACAAACTTATTTTATTTTGGTATCATTGTACTAAGTGTTGGTGTGATATAACCTACAAAGTAACATATCTTAGATGTTACTGCAATTCAATGCCCACGGTCCGTAAAGAGACGGTCGTCACATAAGTCAATCAGCCAATAAAAAACAAATACATCACAAAATTCCTCAGTTTATCTTCGTTCAACCGTCATCTCTTTCCGACTCCTCTCCTTGTTATCCCATAAGAAAATAAGAGGCAAATTTAAAATTGTTACTTATCTTGTACCACGCACCTTTTAACATAAAATAATAAATTTAATCAGTTATGATTATGGTTAATTAATAGGTAGTATGAGTCTAAAATGTTACCTTTATATACAAACTGAGCCTCTACATTGGAATTTGGAAATAACAGGATGAAATGTGAAATTGTCTTGAATATACACCACGATCGGTCACCATTTTTGAAGTTTGGTTACATAATTTTTGATGTTTGGTTACATAATTAACCTAAAATTTTCTTACAGATATCTATTAATATCCATAAACTCTAATAAAATGAAAAGGGGAAGTGAATATATAAACAATTTAGACCTATCTTAATATTCTCTTGCCTCCAAAATAAAAACTGTGTATAAATTTTTCGGAGTTAAATAGAGAAATAAAAGGAAGAAGAGGAAAAGTTATTTGCACAGAACTTTTGACATTTAATGTTAAGAAAAATTGTTTACAAAAATATTAAAATCGCATTTCGATAGATACTTAAAATTTCCAATCGCTTTTCTAACAATCACATCAATTTGTTATACAACAATAACAATAAATTTAGTCCTTTTGAAGTGAATACAATCAGTTAAACTAGAAATTTAACATTTAACCTGTTTTCATTAAGTCTTGTTCTTGATGATAAACTTAATAGCTCGGCTTGAAGATCCAGTTATATGATTAAACAAATCGCGTCTTTTGCACCGTTCCACCCATATCTTTCTAAGTTTTTTATCCTTAGGAAACACATTAAATAAAATGTTTAAATTGTCTTGTTTAGCACTATAAAAATTATTATTCAAACTGCAACACTACACCTCACCCTGGCATTTTTACGTGGTAAATTAATAGTTTATATTAAACACTACACCATCAACTTATTAAAAACTATTATGAATAACTAACTAATTACTGAAAAATACCCAAACAACTATGAAAGATTTACTTAAATGTTTGGAAAAATGCAAAATTACAAGTCGCATGTAAACAAACATGAATCCTAGGTTAGAAATCTTGTGACGTATATGAGATAGTGATGGGACTACTCGAATGAAAATTATCGATTATATCGATTATGAAAATCTCTCGAGATATCTCGAGTGGTCATATAGAATCATTCGATTATTCGATTATTCGGATACGAATGACAGTGGCCACAGCGTTACTAATACGTGCACTACTCGAGCGAGTGCGCAGATGTTTCGATTGTTCCAACGCTCTAACGAGCTACAACATCTCGAGATAAGACGGCCGAGAGGATAGATGAGACAATCGAATATCACCGACATACAATAAAAAAGGTATGCAGGAATTTTATGAGTGGCATCGCGGGGGGTTAGATGGGAGCTTTATTTAGCGGGGATAAAAATTCATATGAATGAAAATAATGCCAAATTATGTTTTCTATATAATTTTTTTTTTTTTCAAAAAAATCACAAAAAATGGACCACTTTAGGCGGCGACTACTCATTTTAAACACATGCTGCTGAATCACTCAACTGGCAACGAAGAAAATATGGAAGAAATGCCCCAATCCGCGACAGTCATTCATTTACCTAACGTCAACATGTTTCGCATATGATTTGGGATAGACCGGAAATTTTCAAAGTGAACTTTCGATTATTCATTCGAATGATCATTCGATTATAAAATTAATTCGAATGGTAACCTCTCGATTATTTAATTCATTCGATTATTCCCATCACTAATATGAGATGATAAGCCACGCCCATAATTTCTGTCGTCTTTTTTACGGACCATGCTCAATGCCTACTGGCAAAATGCATTACTTTGTACCTACTGTCAGAGTGAACTACTAATTTATAGGTGTTTTTACACTACAGATTAATAGGTCTTTTTACCAGTAGGTATCACATATTTTATAGGTTATCTCCACTCAAAATATGGTAAATAAATCGTCCATCAATCATCTCATTTATGCATAATGTTGAAAACTAATGTTTAAAATCAGTGTACTAGGTCTGGTGATATTGTTGATAAGCAGTCTAGATATTGGAGTTGTAATTCAACGTCAAATGAGGCATGTAGCTTGTAGTTTTTCAAAAAATTTATTGTAATTATAAAGGAGAGGAAAATGAAAAAAATGTGTACAGATTATATTAATTTAATATTATCTACAGCAAGTCAGCACAGTAAGTTTCCATATAATAATATATAGTATAAGTTTAATAACTAAGTACAATAGGTATAATACAAGAGATACACAAGTTTGGCCTTCAATATCTGGCACACAATAAATTTATTTGCATGGCAATTACATATTTCCTATATCGAAATATACCTATTCACCCTAGTAGTTCTATTAAAAGGAACACGATTTTTATAATATGCGCTCTTAGTTACCGACCTCTACTGAGCATTTTCAGGAAAACCTAAACTGCTTTTTTAAATCCACACAAAACACAGACCTGAGAGAACACTTCAAATAAATCAAATAACTGAAAGTAATTCCTTTAGTTCTTGCATGCATTTAAAAAAGCACTTTGGCAAGTTATTAAAATCAATTAAACAGGTTATGTAAAAGAGCAAAATTACTTCAATTACTAAAGGAATTCCTAGTATCATTTTCGCAGGGAGTAAAGTTAAAAGTACATTTAAGCATCCTTTTTATCTTAGGAAAAACCGGTCAGTCTTTAGTCAACCTTTTTTTGCAATCTCTTTTATCTCTTGACTTTTGAGATTCTTATAACTAAATTAAGATATCATTATTGTAGCAGTGCTGTTTAAGTCGCGTTTATAATCAAGCAGTAAAATTAATAGTAGTTAAAGGCGATTTGATTGGATAGTGATAAAAAATCGTATAAATAGCAAGGTTTGATGTCAAGGTAGAGAAATTTTTCAAGAGAAGTATCAAAATAAAATTTGAACTACTAGCTATTTTCCACATTTTGATTTCTTTCAATAAGACAGGGTTTTAAGAGGGCTCTATAGCAAATAGGCAACCAGCAATGCATTTTTATAGATTTTATTACAGTTAATCCAAATATGAATTTATGCACAAATAACAGACTTTCCCCCATTTTAACGCAAATTTTCTATAAAATGGACTTAATTTGAAACTCAAATAACTTTTTGGTGTAAAGAAATTTATAATTTACGATGCCGCTTATTCAAAAGCGGCAAATTACAAATTTCTTTACAACAAAAAGAAATATGAGTTTCAAACTAGTGATGCACATAATTGTATGATTTGAATAATTGGAAAGTCAGTATTCGACTATTTCAATAATCGGATAATCATCCGAGTAATCGGATAATGTTTGTGGAACGGTATCAGGAACCTGGAACGGTATGTGGAACTGAGATGCGGCTTGTTGGACATCTGCGGCCGCTCATATGTAGGGAAGATTCCGTACATCGCGCGTCGATTCTTTCGATGATTATTTCCGGAATTACTTCGAACGATTTAAATGTAGTAGACAATGTATGGGCACATTTTGACAAAAAAACAGCAAATATAAAAACAACTTCCACCAGTTCAGCTGGTAATGGTGCGACAATGTTTAGAAATGCCTCTCCTAAAAAGAACAAAAAACCCTTTCGAATTCTGGTCAAAACACAAGAATTTGCTCCCAGAATTGTATGAAAAGGCAATCAAATATTTGTGCAGAAAGGGTATTTTCTAAATCCGGTAAAATAACTAGTTCGAGGAGAAACTGACTGTTGCCTAAAAATGTAGACACTATAATATTTTTACGTTCGTTTATTTTATTTCTGTTAAACAATTTTGCGATCGATGTACCTATCATACATTAATTTTATTTTCAATCAAAAATGATTTATTTTTGTTATTATTAGTCACAATGTATTATTTATTTTTTGATATTTAATTTTTGTATTTTTATATTTATATTTCTATATATTTATTTTGTTTTTTAAAATAGTTACGTTTTCAATATTTTCACTCCAATAATGTATTTTTATAATTAGTGATTTCTCCATCTATCCTCCAACGAATTTAAATTTTGTGTGAATAGAAGTAAAATAACTGAAGGCGTGCGGCAGTCCACTATACTCGCCCACCCTCCGTACACGCTAGGAGCTAGGACGTGAGAGAATCGATGCGAGACCAGATTACCCGATTCGACCGATTATTATTCGACCGCAGATGGCATCAGCTTCGTAGTCGGCTTCTCAAATCGACGAATACGTACCGATTATTCTTTTTTAATAATCGGTAGGTTTCGATTATTTCAATAATCGGATAATCATCCGAGTAATCGGATAATGTTTGTGGAACGGTATCAGGAACCTGGAACGGTATGTGGAACTGAGATGCGGCTTGTTGGACATCTGCGGCCGCTCATATGTAGGGAAGATTCCGTACATCGCGCGTCGATTCTTTCGATGATTATTTCCGGAATTACTTCGAACGATTTAAATGTAGTAGACAATGTATGGGCACATTTTGACAAAAAAACAGCAAATATAAAAACAACTTCCACCAGTTCAGCTGGTAATGGTGCGACAATGTTTAGAAATGCCTCTCCTAAAAAGAACAAAAAACCCTTTCGAATTCTGGTCAAAACACAAGAATTTGCTCCCAGAATTGTATGAAAAGGCAATCAAATATTTGTGCAGAAAGGGTATTTTCTAAATCCGGTAAAATAACTAGTTCGAGGAGAAACTGACTGTTGCCTAAAAATGTAGACACTATAATATTTTTACGTTCGTTTATTTTATTTCTGTTAAACAATTTTGCGATCGATGTACCTATCATACATTAATTTTATTTTCAATCAAAAATGATTTATTTTTGTTATTATTAGTCACAATGTATTATTTATTTTTTGATATTTAATTTTTGTATTTTTATATTTATATTTCTATATATTTATTTTGTTTTTTAAAATAGTTACGTTTTCAATATTTTCACTCCAATAATGTATTTTTATAATTAGTGATTTCTCCATCTATCCTCCAACGAATTTAAATTTTGTGTGAATAGAAGTAAAATAACTGAAGGCGTGCGGCAGTCCACTATACTCGCCCACCCTCCGTACACGCTAGGAGCTAGGACGTGAGAGAATCGATGCGAGACCAGATTACCCGATTCGACCGATTATTATTCGACCGCAGATGGCATCAGCTTCGTAGTCGGCTTCTCAAATCGACGAATACGTACCGATTATTCTTTTTTAATAATCGGTAGGTTTCGATTATTTCAATAATCGGATGATCGATTATTTTTCATTCGGATGATCCCATCACTATTTCAAACCAACTTCATTTTATAGCATATCTGCGTTAGAATGGAGGAAAGTCTACTATTTGTACATTGATTCATATTTAGACAAACTGTGTAATAAAATCTATAAAAATATATGACGGGTTGCCTATTTGCTATAGCCTCTTAACAAATTACCTCTTCAAAAATTTGAAAAATCCATTACAAATTTACGATTTGTCGTTAATGGAATTAACTAAAACTATTTATGGATATTTGAGTGACGAATTTAGTGCTGCTATTTTTAAAAAGCTAGAAAATTATATAGTGTATGGTTTTAATTTATAATTATAACTTATTATAAATAAATCAAGATACATTTTCAACGGAAATATCAGATATTGTATTGTAAATGTAAAACATATAAGGCGATTCTTAAATCGAAAAATTTTTTTAACAGCCTGTATGTAATGCTCGAAATAAAATTTTTTCAAGTTCTACAGCTTTCCATAGTTGCAAAAAAAATTCAAGCTGAAATTTGCAAAGAATTTATACAAGTCGATCACCTAAAACAAATGGTACGTTGCGCCTAATTTTTTTTATCAGACTGGCGGCTTTTGAATCTTTTTCTAAATTCAAAGAACCGAAATAAATGTTCTTGAAATTAATACGGGACATTTTTATTTATAAGTTTTTTGAAAAACCGTATTCGAAAAAAAATATTTTAACCAGTTTTACGTGGTATAAAAAAAGTGACCCAACCTAGGAATCACCCAGTATAATAGAGGTATAAACCCAACAAAAAAGCAATAGTAATAAGGATGCTATAAAAATATATGTTATATTGCCACTCAATTTCATTAAAGTCAAGATGCGTTAGTGCTAGAATTTAATAAACTACAAAAAAAGCGTACATTGTGCCAATGAAAAAATAAAGCGACTCTGTATATACAAATCACATGTTAAGTTACATCTTACTCACTACAAATTTAGCGACACATCAGTAAAAAATATATGATATCATTTCATCTCGTACCTCTCCTTTGGAACGAACTGCAAAATGTCTATATCTCATATACTAAAATATTTCTTCAATCTCAAAAATCTTCAAAAATAAATAAACAGGAACAATAACAAAAAAATTACACACTATATACAGAAAAGGAAACGATATGGTACTAAGTGTAAAATCGGACCTTACCGTGACAGTACTCCTTGTGGGTTGCGGTAAATTTTTAAAATCCTAATACACGTAACTATTGTAGCAATATTATAACCACGGAAAATTTGTTTGAACAATTTATCGGGGAGCGTTGGGGACTTTTTGCTTGGCTTTCTTCGGTTTCCTCCACTTGAACCTCTCCCTCTTTCAACTGCTCTGCAGTTCGGTCTTGGCGGCGGCTGCCGCCGCTTTCTTCTTCTCGATGTATCGTCTCCTGGCCATCTGGATCATGTTCTCCTTTCTTCTGTGGAGGATCTTCTCGCGTTCCGAGGACGACTTTGAGAAGCGGCTTCCTAACGTCATCGTATCTTCCCTAAAAATCATATTATTTAGTTCGGAAACGTTAAAAAAAAATTGGTTCTTCTTTTACGTCTCAACATTGTCCATGTTAAACTCGTCCCAATTCCTTGTGGTGCTCGGTTCGGAAACAGACTGCAACAAAGATAGCGGCCTGCTGGACAACTGTTCCAAATCGAGGTCTCTGAACATGGGCGGCATCACTAGTCTACCGTCCAACACGTTCTCGATGGTCAGTTCTACGGAGCGAGTAGCACGCAGGTCTTCAATGATGACGGACAGCGGAATATGGGGAAACAGGGTCTGTACCTTGAAAAACGATGTCAAGTTTTGGAAATATTCATTTTTTTTTTTTTAAATAAAATTTGTAAATAGAATTGCCACTGTTAAGGGGGTATCCTCGTATAGATTGCAAAAAATCAATGCGAACTTCAGGAATTTTTTTTGAGAAAATTATACAATATTTTTATTTGAAATTTTGACACTATTTTATTTGTAGTTTAAGAAAACAAAAAAAAAATTGTATGATAAATTTAAATTAATTGAAGCGCATTGAAGTGATGAAGTAGGAGACGTTTTTTTTTTCCTCTTCATTTGTATCATTCTGAAACATATCAATCGGAGTTTTTGTTATTATAACACTTATACCTCGTCCGTGAACCTAATTTAAAGGTATAAAAAAATTTATTAACAAAATGGCGGCCATTTGAAAAAATTTTCCAATAGTTTTTCATTGTTTTTGCAAAAAAGTTATTAAATAATTATTTCTAAGAAAATACTTTAGATTAGTGGATTAGCTAATTAAACTTCCTTTAAAATGGTATTTTTTTTTCGATACGATGAAAATTCGTTGAGTAATCGCCGGCATAAACTCGGAAAATTGTCGAGAAAAATGAGTTTGATGTTTGAGGTAAACGAAAATTGCGATTTGTTTGATACGACTATTTATCCATTTTTCGCCTAATCAGTAATGCCTGCACCATAAAGGAGATCTTCCTGTTCAAATTGTTGTGATTTGGTAGCAGCTCTGATTTTTTTCGCTAATCGAGCTTCTTTTGTGCTCCATGCGGCTCCGTCCTTCGAAGGACATTTGCGAAAATAGCCCTAGCAGCTAACCCGTTTCGAATTTCGTTTTAAAGTTTTAAGTGTATTCCTGAAATGTTATACTTTGAATTTGCGTAATAAAAAAAATCGATTTTTCGATAGATTTATACGAGGATATCCCCTTAAGGCATGACATTTGGAAGGACTAAGATCCATATCGTACACGGGAGCGCAAATGGCTGCATTTATCGTGCTGACTCCCAACTGTGCCATTCAATTTGCTACAGTAGGAAGCGACCTGCTATATTGCAGGTACTTGTTTGCACGACTGCTACCCACAGAGGGCGAAGACAATGTTTTAATTGCCGGTGTTGCGAGAAACAACTACTCAAGGGCTATATGCCCCTACCGGCATTGAATTATACTCGCAACACTTAGGATCGTTCATCAGTTTAACCCACCAGGCACAGACCGGTTTCGGACTTATTAGTCCTCATCAGTGTATCATAGGTGAGACAACCGACGAACGATCCAGTTATTTTGCGTCGTATTATCACAACAAGGAAATACATTGTACGCGGAAGCGTAAATGGCTCCATCTGTATAGTTCAATGCCGGTAGGGGCATATAGCCCTCGGAGTAGTTGTTTCTGGCAACACCGACAATTAAAAAATAAGATCCATATCATTTCTGTCATACTAATTATACTCGAATGACTGGGAAAATACTAGGCAGGTTCATTCTCAACTTACAATTTTAAACCAAAGCACCTGCCAATACTTCTCAAGGATTTTTGATGCACTGAATGTAAATTCCGTCTCAGAATTTCTCTGTCACGTCAGGTTTCCGAGTGCGATAAACACGTTCTTTCGCTATGTTTGAAGTTATGTTACATCACGAGGTAACTTTCCCCACAAAACTAATTACAGCATGAAAATAACAGATTCTGTATGTTTTTGGAGTCGCTAATTACGAATCTAGACTTGGAATTACAATATTCAAAATGTTGGGTCCAATATGGCGGATGGAATAAAAAATGTTGGAATTTAGATATAAAGAAAAATTGATTTGAAATTTCTTAATGTGACATTTTAAATTAATTAATTAAAACTAGAACTTAAAAATCTGCAAATTCTCGACGATGGTAATTTAATTAAAAAAAAAAAAAAACACAAAAAATGATGTTTATGTAAAATATACCAAATTTTGGTCTTCAATAAATGAAAAAAATGTCGATTTCTTTTATATACAATATTAAGTTCAATGATTTCCCCTGATTATTGGCTGCTGCATTGGTCATTTCAATTTTAAAAGCACTTACTGCAATAACTAAAATGTAAATGTAATAATGTATCTTTCCCATTTTTACGCTTATGACATGCACTGACACACTTCAGCTTCAGACAAGGCAGAATTTCATGAAGTGAACCACTACCACAAAATTATTTCAGATTTAGATCAGATTAAGAAAAGTAAACATTGTGGTTTACTTTATTTATGACTGTCTGCAAACAATGCAAATGTCTGATGAAGGAAGCACTCTCGAATATCATTTAGGAAGATAATAAAGAACAGTGGCCCCAAGTGAGAGCCTTGGGGCACACCTGACAACAAAAAGTACTACTGGGATAACGCTAAGGATGACTATAAGATTAAAATTAAAATGTATTATTCACATAATTTACATAAGGTAACGTAAATTTAAGTAAATAAAGACTTACCTGTCTAGCCATTGCATCCAACTGGGAATTTGAAGCGGCGTTATGATTCTGACGTATAGTTTGAGCATGACTGACTTCAACGGAGAAACTCGGCAGCCATGACACGTATCTCGAACCTGAAAACGACACACTGGCGTTTAAAAGCGAACAAATATCAGTCATCCCATCTAACTCACCGTCAAAGTGAAAGAAGTGATTGAACGGTCTTCTCACGGTTTCCTGTGGGTCGGTTTGCAACTCGGGAGGCTCGTTGTGGGTTGTGGAGGGATTCTGAATATTCAGCGCCATCCGGCAAGTCGGGCAGGACGTATCTTGTTCCAACCAGGACAGCAGGCAGGTGCTGCAACAAACGGAAAGTGTCCAAAAAACGTACCGAGCATTATTGTCTGCATCACGAAAACCGTTTCGAACCACTTACTTGTGAAATAGGTGGGAACATGGCAGCTTCCTGGCGGCCTCCATCTTCTCCCAGCAGATGGCGCAATTGTCGGAGTTCTCCTGCAGTTCCTCGCTCGTCGCCATCGGATAGTTCTGCTCCAGGTGGTTCCTCACCCACAGGTAGTTCCTGTGCTTCTTGTACTTGCGCTGGATCTCGTGGAAGAGATACCTTAACTGCATGCATATCACCAGACTGGCCATGGAAAGGAAAATGTTGCTCCACAGCAGCATGTGCAGGTGATGCACGAGGTCGATTATCAGGGCGGTCAGTTCGAAGCCCAGCTCGGTGTAGTAGGAGATGGGGCCACGTTTCTCCCAGACCTTGTTCTCCTCGCTGGTGTTGATGGAGGAGTTGGATTCGTGGCGCATGTCGTACAGGTGGAGGGCGTAGCGAATGATGACGTGTAGGGTTCGGATGGCAAGCAGTATTACCTAAAATTGCGTATGTTACTGACTAACATTCCCATTCTGCGTCCCAAAATTTTAAACACACATTATAAATCTAGTGTTTTAACAGATTCTTTAAATGTTAATCGTGAATTTATATTCTTTACATCAAAATTCAAGGCGACTGTTGAAGGAGTAGTTCAAATGTCTCAGAGCCAGTTGCGGATGGTTATATTGAATAACAACTGGTGGAGTAGTTCAAACGTCTTGGTTTCATTTGCAGATTGTTGGTAATATCTAATCAGTATTGCTATATTCTATGGTGGCAGACATGTTTCTTAATATTGATAAACCTCGTTTATTGCATTATTATTTTCTATAAAATGAACTTGTAAGAAAAATAGTTTATATATCAATATAAGACGATTTAAATATGTAAATACTAATTTAAATCTTCTTCCGATAACCAAAAAAATTCTTAATAATTTTGATATATACGGTGTGATTTTCAAGTGTTTATAGTAAAATTTAAAGAGGTATTTAGAGAAGTGTAAGTACGTAACAATATAATTATTTTACCTCGGCGGACATGAAGGCAAAGGTGTTAAATCCTCCAAAGAACCCCACAAAGACCGAGACGAGCAGCATGAAACCAGAAAGGGCAAAAATGGCTGCCAATAGAGCCATCAGTTTTACGTGACTCCAGAACGGAGTTCTTGGTGAGAAAGACAACTGCGAAATAAAATGTATTTTATAGTTACAGTAATAATAAAAAAAAAAAAAGAAGTAATGATTTCTCAATTAGTAGTTAATTAGTCAATATTGACAAATTATGTAAAAAAAATAATTAGGGAAATGTACACTTTAAAATAAATATTGTCATAAGCCAAGGATATTTGTAAAACTAAAATAAACATTGTAATGTTCATTAATTGTGATTTCACTATGTAGAGAATAACTGATGTACTTTATATACAGAGTATGCAGACTTATAGGAAATACTAAAAAGTAGATGAAGTTTAATTTTTTTTTATAAATCCTAAGGACGCACATATTTGGAAATTATAATTTCCTTAAAATTGTAAATGCCTGATATATATTTTTTTTCAAATTCCAATAAAAAAAATGTATTAATAATTTTTCTATTTGTAATCTAATAAAACGGCGTTCTACACTCGTTGGTTTGGTCTGCTGTGATTTGTTTTTAATTTTTAATTATTAAAGGTTAACTGTGCAAGGAAAAGCATAAATTATTCGCGCAAGAGTGATTAATAATTAACCAAAAATGAAACAAAAATAAACACATTACATTAAAAATTTGTATATAAAATTAAAAATTTAACAGATTTTATAGAAATTGATACAGGAATATTTGGAAAACCAGGGGAATAAAATTTTAAAAAAAATTTTTAAATCATATTTTGAGGAAGCTATGCACATGCTTATGTCCTACTTAATGAAAAACTTATGACCTTCATTCACGAATATTTCAATTGTTCAAAATATAGTCATGGCCTACTTTTAAATATATTTATCGAGTTAGATTTTTTTTCTTAATAGAAAGCATAAACAAAATAGTCAAGTGTAAGTATTACTGATTCTTTTTCCTTTTCTGCTCACATTTGCATTGTAACTAGATTTTAATATTTGTTTTTTTTTTACTTAGTACTAATGACCTGTACCATTGTTTGCAAAATCGCAGCGTTCGTGCCATTTCTAATTTGTTTCATTGCTCTGTTTCAGAGTTCCCACACATGGCAGCACACTACAGGGCTTTTGTCAATTATGACAAAAGTTGAAAATTTTTGGAGCAGTATGTTTCTGTTTACGTATTATTTTAAAATTTAAATCAAGTTAAAAACCTTAAAATAATTCATTTATCTTATTTATTCAAAAATGTGATATGTGAAAATGATATAAATGTTGCAATTCAAGAATAACAGAGGAGTCGCCACACTTCAGGTTTGTCAGAAATCCAGCTAATTCCACAGACTAGTATTACAAAACTGACCCGATCTATCTGATTATGCCTGTAGGGACATCCTATAAATGCCTGTCTTTGAAAAAGTAGTTTACGTTTTTTATGAAAAAAATTCAATTAAGTAAATATTGTTTTCAAAAGTAGGCCATGACTATATTTTGAACAATTGAAATATTCATGACAAATGAAGTATGTTACAGTAAATATATGCAGATGTTTAACAATTTGTGTGACTCAATTTGCGAAATAAAATTTACACACACTTTCTAACATAACAATGTCTTTTTTTATCAATAAATATTAGTGTCCTATGAATTATTGTCAACTCGTTTCAAAATACCATCATTACAAATGAATAGCCTATTGTTACTTACAGTATAGGTGCTATAAATATTATCGACTTACATATTCAAATCTGTCTTTGCTGAGTTGCGACAGGAGATGTAGGAATCCGAGTAGAGAGAACCAGGAGCACCACAGCAGCACCTCGTCTATGAATTGCACGTTAATGATACCAAACACAAATATGAACTTGTAGAATACGAAATTCCAGAATTTGTCGCGGAGCTGCTGTTGCTCCGAGACTCTGAGTTCGCCGAAGACCAACTTCTGGACTGCCCTTCCTAGCAGGATCAGCCAGCAGAACGCCATGTTGATCATCGTCTGCAACAAAGTAATTATCACATATTTCCCTTTTATTTCCTTAATTTTTACAGTAGATTTTTCATCAGCTACAATTGGTGAAAATGAAAGTGGTTATATTTTGATAACGAAGGGCAGAATCGATACAGTTTGTTGAAGGATGATTTCTGGGCTTACTTAGAGAACTTTTTCTAAATATCGAATGAGACACTTGAAGATAAAAATAATAACAATGAAAATTGATATATTTTTTCGTAATAAAATTATTTTTCACAAAATTTTCATTTTTCTTAAAGTTACAGGTTTACAAAGGTTAAACAAAAGAATATTTTTATTATTATGATCCAAAAGTCAGAGCCAAATATAAATTTCAGTTGTTAAAGCAAAATTGCACAAATAATTACCGTAAATGAAATAATCCGTGGCTGCAAATAATTTTTATGCAGCGTATTCAGAAATGCTAGTCACATTGTGCGGGAATAGTTTCAGAGTATAAAACTTCTTTGCAAAAAGTGTGTGGCGTGAAGGACAGGAGACAACAAACAAGAACACTATATGAGTAAAATGTTCCAGTTTATTGAAACGCAAAAAATATATCTCAAGAGTCCCCCAAGTGCTTCCAAAACATTTCTTCTCAAACTCAATAATAATAATAATAGCAATAATAATCTGGGCAATATCTGACATATTGAGATATGACCCGTGAATTATTTGTTTTTAAAACAAATTGTAAAAGCTGAACTAAATTTATTTGTGCATGTGTAGAACATGTTTTGTATTTCAATTTACTACAATAACTTGGCCAATAAATTTTAAAATTAGAACATTCTCTGATACCCTTGCCAATTTTCAAAATCATTACAAGACTCTCTATCCGTCTTCATGCCAGAATTATTTTTTATATTTAAAAGCAAGACTTTTACTATTCAATCGCAAAGCATGTTCTGAAGACATCCCTACTCTGTTCACTACAGGCTAGGTATTTTTTTAACATCTCTTGCTTGCGCAAATTGTATGTTCAACCTCATTTGTTTGCACTTTAAATGATTGAATTTGTCTGTTTTCAAGAAAATTAAATTTCTCTATAATTATCGTTTTATTTTCATCAACAGGAGATATATATAAAAACTCAAGGTGAAAGTAAAAAATAGGGTGAAAGTAGTAAACCCATAAAGGTATATAGATTCCATTAAACTATTTTCAGCATTTATTTACGAGATTATCAAAATTATACTTATGTAGTCAATTGGGGTCAATTAAACTAATGACTGTCTTATGGCTCTTACAATTAGTTTTACTTAAATCGTCTCTGATCTTGATTATTTTCGTTTTTTCACGAGTAAAATAACATAATTTATAACAACTTCTTCAGTTGTCCATGTTGTTTTATTTATATTTTAATTTTTATATTTTTACTTTTTGTCTTCTGATGATAACTAACGTCAATTTTAATGCCTAAAGGCATTGAACAAAAAGTCGTCAACAGGTAACTAACGATCTAATTTTTTAAACTGAGAGGCCATAAATTCATGTTATTATTGTTGTTACGCTTGATAATCACAAAGATACCCACTAAAAGTATTGGTTTCCTTTTATTGTTATTGTTTACATCCTTCTAAATTTATAATTATTTATCAACTTGAGTTGGTCAAGGAACAGTCACAGAAAAACTGTTAATGCAAGGATCTACACATTTATAAACAAGGTTACCGAATTCATTTGTAATTGAAATTAGTACTGAACATGTTTAAAATTTAATAATGCTCCTCATATTTGACATTAATATTAACACGTTTTGCGAAGTGTATTATTTTCATCACTTTCAACTAAATCCTTCTGGTTTGTCAGGTATTTGATATATTCCTATTTGTAAATATAAAATTTGTTATTAACAATAATAATGCAGATTAAAAATATAACCGTTGCTTTGCTGTTTCTGCCTTTTGTTCAAGTATTTTCTCTTATTGTCAATGTGCCATTAGCAGCAAGTTATGTTTTCCCAAATTGCATAGACTTAAGGCGGTTTTCCACCAAACGGACAAAACAAAAACAGAACACAAACTTGTGTCGAATAAAACAGAACTGTAACTTTTCGCAAACTTTTTGAAGACTGGCGTGTTTTGCGACAGTTGGAGTTTTGTTTTTCGGGTCCCGCTCGAAAGCGGTCACATCAAAAGGTTTCGACGTGTTTTGAAACTCAAGTCTGTTTAGTGGAAACGGTCGTGTTGTGTTTTCTATTTAAGTGATCCAATCCAATATCTATGTTGGCGTTTTCTTCTTCACAAAAACAATATTTTAATCATTAATGAATTACAGGTATTAAAAAATATATATGTGTACGGTTAAAGTGTTTACTTGGCTAGGATACAAACTAACCAAGTAAACACTTTAACCGTACATATACCACGAACTCAATCGATGGATATCTGGGAAACCGCTCGAAGGATTTTTTGAAATTGTGATGGCGTGATACGGACGTGGAGCCTAAAATATTTTCAAGGTCATCGTATTTCCGGTTATACCGGAAGTTGATACTAACTTTCTTATTTTAAATGGAACCCCCTGTATATTATTGCAAAAAAATTAGGGGTTTCCATTTAAAAATTTCGAGTTTTCCACATATTCTGAACTTCATATTCGATAAAAAAATTTTGACCACCCTGTATAAAAACTGGAAAATTTTCATGTCAAATTCGATAAAGTAGGTCTTTCTCTACAAAATGTCCAATTTGCACAAAAAAATAAACCGGGAAAACTAAATTTTGCCGACAGTGCATCTGTCAATTTTTGTTTAAAAATCGAAATATCTCGGAAACAGTCAATCCTAAGTATGGAGTGTGCTATATATTTTCAACTAAAAAATGGATGATGTTTCCAAAAATGCAATAATATACAAAGGGTTCCATTTAAAATAAGAAAGTTAGTATCGACATCCGGTGTAACGGAAGTACGATGACCTTGAAAATATTTTAACTTGGTGGGCTCCAGTATCACACCATCACAATTTCAAAAAAATCCTTAGATAGGTTTCCCAGATATCCATCGATGGAGTTTGAGGGGGACATTCTGTAGACACACTTTTTTTCCAAGGACTTCAGTATAAACCAGCCATAACTAAGAATAAAAAAATCTTCTCTAAACATGTTGGCTGGTTATTGGAAAAATGTGTTCTGACTTCCTCGCGACAACCGGTGGAAAAGGACTGAAAACAAAAACATAACTCGAACAAAATGTAGCCCGCTTGATGGAAACAAGAGTTTTGGGTTTGTTTCAGTTTTGTTCTAGAAAACACAAACAGGACATAAACTGAACTGTCCGTTTAGTGGAAAACCGCCATTAGATTCCGCCTTTATTGGACAGAGGAACTAATAATGTTTTATAAAAAGATCTTAGTCTTAATTTAACCTTAATCTTAGTATTTATCCTAATATTTTTAATACATCTATAAAAATTTGGTCTTAATCTACTTTGAAGAACTTGATTTCTTCTTAGAAACGACTATGGGCATGGATAAAACATGGTCTTTTGCGTGTATTACTTTGCTTTGCATGAGCACCACTGTAAAATTTCATAAAGCTTTTGAAAACTTTGTAAAACACCTAAAGGTAATAATGACAGAGCGAAAACTTTCAGTTCCAATGTACTAACACATTTTTATCTCCAGTTTCAATAACCACAGATTTTTGGGCTTATCTAATGGGTTTGGATCGAACCCAAAGATTTTTTGTACAGTTCACATCCGCAGATAAAACTCTGTGTGTATGCACTGCTATTTACATTTTTTCATCAACGTTACTAATTCAATCACGGTTAATAAACAAAAGACATACGTACAAGGACACTATCTTCCAAGCCAACTGATCTGCTGTAAAAAGAAAACTGGGATTACAGAAAATCCTGCCGGTATCAGGCCGTGCCACTCGAGTAGGCCTCGGTCCTACTTGCAGGTCAAGAAGACAAAAACGGTAAACGGGTCGATACGCACTCAAACTGCAGCCGCTCGTCCGTTACCTCCGCGGTTTCAATTTCGCGAAGAAATTGCACAGAAAGATAAGAACCCAGGAGGGGAATGGAGATAGTTTCTCCATTTCTAACGGTGATGGGGGAACGGTAATTCTACATACATACGTTTTCACCTGTCCAACCATCGCAGTGTTATCGACATCATTTTATTACATGCAGTATATTCGGTTTTTCTTATCGCAACTACATGGATATTTGAAAAAAAATAACTAAAATCTAGTTACAGGATTTGATTTTACAAAGAGTTAGACAGACATCTCTCTGTTTTTATATAAAGTAGATAGTGGCCGTAGCGGATACCATACGAGTGAAAGTTACGAAATGAAACTGGGAGCCAGTAACGATATGGACTATTGCATCAAACAATCGAAATGCTGCGTAACGTGGTTATGGGAGTTATGGGGTCATGGGTTTATACGGTTATGGGGTTGGGGGATTATAGGGTTAAACAGATTATTTATAACCTTGATATACCCCGCTGTTTCTTAACAAATTTCGTCCTCACTCTTACTCATCAGGTCATCACATCGACTTTTTCCTCGACATTGGCAATCGTTCAAATTCACTTGCGAATTTCCTGCGAATCGCACCTACCCCGAGGCGCCGTATTGCGGCGCTTCCCATTAAAGTGAAACAGTGGCCAAAATCGCAGTTAAAAAATTCCGAGTAAAATTGTTGGCACGGCGACGACTCCGCACTCCAGATTTATCTTTTCCTATCGGGTTGGTTTCTGGCCGCTTTCGCCTCAGCCGCTGAACGGCTGCCAAGTGCGCTTATTACTGCACTCTTAGGAAAGAAGATTCCCTAAGGAAAATTCTGCCAAAAAAAATTCTCATGAAAATGTTCGAGACTTCATCACTTTGGATAGACAATTAGCCCAACACAGAATTTATTTTTTATGATTTTTAACCGCAACTGTGTTCATAAATTTAAACTGCGGATATAATTCGCGATGTAAATGAGTCCAGAGAAAGTTATTTTTCAAAATTACAAATATT